GACTTGCGATTTAAGTCCGGTGAATCTTGCCGTAGGGTAGAAATCTTCTACCGGTCTGTATTAATGAAAAACTCTCATTGGAAAAAGTAATACGTTACGTAAATTTCAGCATTTTGTATTGTGCTACATATATGACTTAGGAAAATTCTTAAAAGTGTGTGTGACTTCTTGGCTCTCGGCGATGCTTTGAAACTTAAGAATTTTTCGGCATTTGTATATTATCCGCTCTAGAAGCATCAAATGACTTCCAAAACGAAACCTTGTTTTGCACTTCCAAAGGAATCAAACCAAGAAGTCGTTTCTCTCGCAATAATGTTATTTTATTGATTTCAAGAAAGCTTGCCTTAAATGACGTCACAAAGAATAAGATGTCATGGCTAGAGGGTGGAAGCTTAGGCGCCGCAATGTCGGCTCACGCTATAGTGCTGTTAACATTTTGATTACGCCCTCATAAATTCGCTAAATGGTCCTAATTTACATATTAAATAATTGAAGAATATATTTTGGAATACATATTAAATTTTAACTTTATTTAAAAAATTTAAAAAAAGAACAGAGTGTGTAATAGATACTAAGTAGTAACTGTTATTGGATATTTTTTCTCAATATCTTTATTAGTAAATTAGGTTAGATTTAAATTACTGATTAATCTTACGTTAAGATAGATTGCCTATGGTGTATCAATGAAGAGGCTTTATTTTTATTTACAAAAATGAATTAAATTCGATGTCATGCGAAATTAAAGTTAAGATTTAACATAGTTTTAAAGTATAATTATGTGTTTTTACACGTTTCTATCATTGTTGTAATCACAGACATATGTAATGCTTAATTTGAATCAGTTAGGCTGATTATTTTCTTGTACAGTGTATCAACAATGCAGTACCTTCTTGATGTTCGAAATACATATTTTTATTTTATAAATTTTGATGAAGGTGATACTTTGACTCAGCCGATCGTCACACTTCATTCACTCACTTTTTTGTTTCACTTTGGTTATGGTAGACGCACTTGAATTTGATTATATTTTTTCCAATTCTATTTGCTGTGCCTTCAATTTTATAGTTTTGTTTATAGCCAGTTCAAAGGCAAGGCAAGTATTTGTATATTATAAGTCTCATTGTTCCCATACTAATTTTATCCTTATCCTTACGACTGACAATTGTATGCCTTTTTTGTGTCAAGGATATATCGAGGCGAGGTATGTAATCCTTATTATTTTAAGTTAAAGTTTTGTAACAACGTTCTTTGTGGTACTAGGGCTGTTCAATAAAAAGGAATAATGATTATGACGCAATTATCTTTTATTAAAGGTTCTTTTATTATTCGAGGATCTCTTCAAAGTTTTTCATGTTCGTTTATTCCATGTCATGGGCTGTTTCTTCGGTTCCGGGTTATAAAAGTGAAGTCTTGTTACGTCCATAGTTATGGATCGAGCCAAGAATCTTGTTATAGATGTTGAAAATAAACCCAAATAGCTTTGTGAAATTCTCTGTCTTGGTTGTAGCTGCACGTCTGAAAGCATTCTGGGTACCCAATGTGCCTTTTTCATACCCAAATGGTTATGTATAATATTATAGACACTTCCTATAGAAGTTTTAATAATTTTACAGAGATAAAACGCTATAAACGATAATTTTACGAACGCAAACGAACACGACGTAAACAAATGACTTTATTTAAAAAATAAAACAAAAGAGACTGGATTGCTTTCCTTATTATTATTATATCCAATATCTGGGCTATGACTGCCAGTAATTATTTTTTTTAAGCAAAATATTTCGCAATAGATCGCATTATCACTATTTGTTGTACAATCAGGAATACGTACAGCCAGGAAATGCTATGATGCATTAAGGGAACTCTGCGTAGCGACCACTTTGTTGGGATTGTTCTATTTAACATACGAGTAAATTTATTTATATTTACAACTTAGGTCACCTTGTGTTATAATATGGAAATAGATAGAATAGAAACATATATATATATATATATATATATATATATATATATATATATATATATATATATATATATATATATATGTGTATATATATATACTGTACGTAAAACACCCTAAGACTAAAAATCGTGTATTCGAATTTCCGGCACACGAACAATACCAAAAGGGTTGCGCAGATTTAGGGTCAAGTGGAAACTTCACCGCTCAATAGAGCCTCCTTAACATCACATGTTCAATGGGATAGGCGCGTGACTTGCTATATTCAATCTATTTGCTATAATTGGTCATCATGAAAAAAAAATCAATCGACATATGAGATATCTGGGTCGTAGATGTTTATGGTAAATTGTCTATATAGACTTTAGACCTCGAGTACGTAGAGTCTATAGGCTTGAAACTGCTATTGTTTCGCCGGGGTTTTAACTCTGAGTTTACCGATTTATATTTTAACATTATTCATGTTAACGGAGACGGTAAATCCATATAAATAGATAAAATAGTGTAGCCTTCTTTAATTTTTTTTTCAACTACAAGAAGATTTGACAGGAACTATATGCAACTGTTGCAAAATGAGTGTTTTGACATCACACGTGTATTTTGCTGTTTAGTTTTGTACACATGACATTATAGAAAAATTAGGACGTCAGTGTATTATTATTGTTTATTAAAACTGAAATAAAACATTTACTAGAATTACTAAGAGTAAAATCCCTTATACGGCCTAGCTTATAGTCCTGTCATTTGCTATGCTCTTGTGATCTCTTATGAATATGTTGATATGCGCAACTGATAATGTTGATATATCTTTCTTATTATTTTCTCTATTATTGTAGAGAAAACAATAAGAAAGTGTACAGAGATAGTTTTGGTCAACTTAAAACTTCAACTTCAAAAAAGAATCTGTAATAATTTTACACCTTGTAATGTTTGTATATACCTACATGTTTGAGCTCCAAAGTAGGTATCAAATAAAATGGAACGAAAGAATGGCGCCAAACGTAAAAAGATGCCATTGAGTATAAAAATGGCGCGCCTCTTGGCAAATAGAATGTAAAAAAGTCTGAATTATGTGTGTGTCTGTGTGCCTTTTAATCTCGTAAGGATTATTATTTTCTTCAAGCAATGATATTTAAGTTTTAATAGTTCGATGGATTTAAACTATGTCGTTATATAATCGGATTATCACAGTTTTTATTATTTGTGGCAACACTCGCTTTGATCAATGGGCTGTCCATGATCATGCAATAAATTATTTTATAAAAATCAATGCGCGGTGACGTGCCGCTGTTTTGAAGCCAATTAACCGTATTGAATCATTAGAATTTTTTATGATATTAAATTCAGTTACCACCAACAATTCCAATTCAAAAAAATAAGTACTTTCATTTATACTCAATCCTAATTTATGAGATCCGACAAAGTCGAGAAGATTTTTTTCATTTTCGACAAATTCCTAATTTTAAATTTCATAATAAACAATTGTGTTAAATAAACGCCTTACGTAAAAACATCGGCAACAGAAAAATTTTAAGCTTTTCTATTTTCTTTATATTATGGACTGTATCTGTATTTAATATTCGATTGTTTTGAGTTCTTAAAAACAAAACAGATACTTTAATTATATTCATTTCTCAGTTTAGTGTGCTATCCTTAGCACCCTATCTAAATACCTTTGTATTATCGCACTATAAATAAGGGTTACAATATAATCAATTGTATATTATACCTTTTAATCAAAAGTGCCTTCACTACATCGACCTCGACCACGTGGTATTGAATATTTGCAGGAACCCCTATAAAGGCGACCGCGCCACGTGGCGTGATTCGGGGGCGGGGGTGCACCTGGTTCGGCGCCTATACAGGTAAAAGGACAAAATAACACTCATAAGAAACCACGCGGGTTTACTCGAAATTTTTATATACTTATTTGATAATCGAAATGGACTTGTATGTTGTGCGGTTGAGAAAAATCCTAACGGACATTCACAAAAATACTGGTTAACATTACTGGGGTATCCCGCTTACCGGACATTTTTCTCTATTATTTATCCTCGAAACGATAATATGACAATTTAGTACGTACATATTCCTGCTTACATTATCCTTCTAAGCAACACAAATTCTACGTATTTTATCCTGTAATAAATAAATTCTCGATAAATATGCTGTATGCCTTAACCGCGAAATGTGTGAAAAAGCACACTACTTACTATTTATATAAAATAAAGCAATAATTTAAATATACAGTAAGAACTCCATGTAACGTCACTCGATTTGACGACGAATCCCCTAAAGCGTCGAAAACAATTTGCTTTGGTTGCTTTAGCAAGTCTTCCATACAATGCTACACTCTACATAGTATTATACCCACTCTCAATAACGACAACTATTGAATAATAAAGTACTTTTAAGTTGCTAAAATTAGTAAAAACCGCAAAGTTGTACGATCTTTGGTCGCTTATTATCCTAGCCCGCAATGAATTCGACTGTCGGCATCATGCATACGAACTTTCTAAGAAATTCGTTCTTTTGTTGACAAATTGGGATTGCTTGCACGTGTAGACTGTTGTTGACCATGACTAATAAGTAGGAGTCGCGGATTATCTTAATGTTTTTCTTCTCTTCATTTATAAATAACTCTCTATAACGTCAAAAAATGCACCCATGTCCCTTCCGAGTCGTTATATAGAGTTTACACTGTATATGAAAATATGTAACATGTAAAAGCTAACGGACAGAACTGACGTATTTCTGTTTAAACAATTGTTTAGTAGGGAGGCGGGTGCTCAACAATAAATTGGCGTGCTTTGTCACCGGCAGACGGCCAGGCGGTATTGTGAGCGTTTTATACGTCAGTTACCTCTTGTTACTAAACGTAGTCTATGGCTTACACTGGCTGAAAAACGCGGGAATATTTTTAAATTAAAAATATAGCTGTTCTATTGTAAGCTATATTTTAATACTGGCAAATTAGAAATAAATAATTACTGTTATAAGGTAATTAAAAAGTATATTTTAATATTAATGGGTTCCTAATATGTGCAAGCACGGTGTATTAGTTCCAACAGAGGCAAGCGATCCAGGTAACTATTTAATATTATAAATAAATAAATATATGAGGTTATTTGTAGAGAAAGTATATTTTAATTTATTAATTATAAAAGTTTTTTCTATACTTTATTATGCTTAAGTTTTAGCTTATGTTAGCTACGGTTACTTATATTGCGTACTTATTGAAAAGAAATAGAGTATTATAACTCGCACTTACAATACAGAAATATGCTTACTACACGCATTTAGAAATTGTCTAGGGTTACCACCGTTATTTTTTTTTACTTGACTCTACTTACCTACTTGGTACATCAAAATTTTATTAGGTAGAAGATAGTATCAGTATCAGTTAGGTTGGTACTTTTCATAGATACCTATTTTACAATCAATAGATTCATATAATATGTACATTGTTAACAACACCTCAACATAGACATTGTATATTATACATACACTGACATTTTAAAATTGAGATTCGTATTTATTTGTACCGGAAATTTAAAAACTTCCATTTCAATTTTTTTTAAATATTTGTATGCCTACATGTCTAGATAGCCAACCATTGACTTATGTTAAATGTTTTTAAAATATCACCTTATATTTCATTTTACGTAACAGTAATTTAAGTCATACGTACATATCGAATTGTAATAAAAAATTTGAATATTACCTAACGTCGCGAATATATAGAAAAATTTCTTGTATTATATGTGTGTAGCTTTTGTTATCTACCATATTGTAAACTCCACCAATTGCCGTTTTAAATAAACATAATCATAAGTATGCAATGTTATATGAACAGTGTTCTACAAGGCTTTGTATTTTAACAAGATTAAAAACTAACGATAATCCAGAATTAGTCTGGATTGCAATATTTCCATAGATTATACACGTAATCTCAACTACAAAAAGCTCATACTATTACAAAATATCCTTATCAAAATTAAAAGCAGATAGAAGAAAACGTAAGAGATAAGAAAAAAATGTAGTAGTCTTATATATACCATTATCTACAATTACTTTGCAAAGGCAATTCCACTGTTAGATATGCAACGTTGCACGAGTGGCCAGTTACAGGCGCTTTCTTCTCAGAAAACATTTTTTAAAATCATACTAAACATTTTACTTAACTTATTTATTTTATATATTTATTTTATATATTTTACTTATTTATTTAAACCTCGTAGGATTAACACTATATTTCAACCAGACGTCTATAATGTATCACGGGCAACAGGCGGCGTTATCGGACTAAAAATATACAAAAAGTCGAAAATTTATTAAAGGAATATGTAAAACACAAGTAATGCTTATAAAAAAACATACAAATGAAAATATTGCGCGCAAAAAATGGAAGAAGAGTTTTGCGATGTGTTTTCCATGATGCATCATTGCATTCACTAATCTCATATAAAAAATCCACTTTGAAACAAATATGTAAATACTTTAAAAACTATACATACATATATATATATATATATATATATATATATATATGATGTCAGGCATATCTCATCAAATCCAAAAGGTTATTGTCAGAAAAGACACAAACCAGTGCAACACGAAGGTTTTTTCTAGTAGAGTCGAGTCTTTGGTGGTAAATTCTAATATTTAAGTTTATCTATGGCAGCACCCGCTTTCGCACATGCGCTGTAAAATTTTTGATGTTGTAATTTGGCGCCATTTACCTACGTTTCGTTCGTATTGAGATTTGCCTTTTGATTTGATTTGGTGAAATGCATTCTATGACCCAAAAATTGTCTCACGCAAAACGCAAACAAAATAATATTTATTTAAGTATTAAATTTTTGTCCGATTGGTATCCCTTAGGTTAAGTAATCGTCTTAAATAATGAAATCATATTTATGTTCATTTTCTTTGTATGAATCCTACAAAAAAAGTAACTTTAAAAATATAATAGGCCTAGATCATTTTAAAATACCGATACAAATTTATATCATACAAATATTTCAATTGTAATTCTCCGTCAATTCGCGGTCGGGTCAAGTATTCCAAATTACAAAAACATTTGTTCCTATTATTGGGACAGATTTGAACCGTTAAAGGCTATTTTTTATTTGTAGCGTGCTCCAAATGCTGGCCAGTGTGGGTTTATAAATTATAAGTGATATTGACATCGGGAGATCGCGTCGCGCCGCAGTGGCTGCCGGCCCGCGCATGCGTTCTGTACCAAACACTAATGTATTGTTCGTGTCAAAACATTGCTTGGAAATCGGAGGCTCCGTATTAAATTCAATAAAAGTGCTACTTCATCACGACTACGTTTACATGTACACGTGTCAGGCGAGTTGCGAGAAAGATGAGGCTTCCGAAATTTGATATATGTAAGTCCTACGTGGATTTTAGTTTACATATTATTCTTTTCTGTTTTGGTCTGTAGCATGCTGGTTAATAAATAAAATAAAACCTGTGATACGTATTAATTTAACCATAGATATATTACTTTAATTTTGCGTCAAAAGCCTAAAATTATATACTTTTTGCTGTTAATGGTGTTGTTATCGACATTTTTATAAAGTAATTTGATATGAAAGTTAGAACGTTGTGAAATATGAGAGACATTAGAGAGTTAAATGTATATAATTACATAATATTATCAAAATAACTACAAAATGTGCCTATCACTTTATCTAACATTTAAAATTGCACTCAGCACTATACCATCACGGTCATTACAATTGAGACATTAATTTTCGATTAATTTAATGATCTGGTTCAAGGAGAATTCTATGGATCTATTTTGTGTAAAATAAATTTTTGTGATGTCTAAAAATCATCAGTTGAACGAGCATTGTCATGTTGCGACAACTGCAAACATTTTTTATTTGTAAACATGTGCTGTGTAAATCATTGTAGAGTTGATTTTATTTGCAATATAATCAAAATTGTGTATACGATAAGAACGAATAACAAGGAATTTTACTAATGTGCTACTTCATAAAATAATTAGTTTTGGTCGTTGTTCAGAAATAAATCAGCATTTTTTCCCCGCAATTTTGCTGATTCAAATACTAAAAACATTGCCTAAACCTAAGTAATTTTAACTGAAACTCGCATAATCATGCCTCGATAACATCTACACGTGAGAACAAAACACAGCATATATGCCTCTCCTTCTTGAAACGAACACGCGAAATCGTAAATCTATTTATCAACTCGGATATTTCACTCTTGGGAGCCTTGATAGAAACCATATCTACAAATCTCTTCACACACATCGTTACTATTTGATTTCTACACTAGCTGTTGTCCATTCATCGAACTAGACAGTCACCTAATCTTTTCATGGATAAACAAAATACTAAAAAAAATGTGACTGAAATTTCGACGTGATCGTGACTAAACAGGACGCCCAGAGCGGGTCACGCCTGCCAAAACCCTAATATTTTGATTTCTAATCCTAAAGTTACTCCGAATGGGTGTGTGGGATGTCACACGGTAAATTTTGAAGAAATTCACGCAAAAATACTTTTGTTGCGTTGTGTGTTGAAAAAATTATTGTCGAAATACAGAAACTACTTTGTTTTTAATTAAATAATGTCATCAGGATTCTCTTACGTTTTTCAAATACTATTAACTAGCGGCCAATCCCGGCTTCATACGGATGTTTATTATGAACATAAGATACAGGTATCACTTATTCCACGTCATTAAATTTGAATCTGGAGGCATCCCTAGCAATAGTGTATAACTGTCTGCCTTTGTGTACGGGACTTGATGAAAACAAAATGATAACAATAAATGACATCAACATATAAAAATAGCCTATATTAATCAGTGATAATGTAGCATTCAAATGTTGAAAGAATTTTTAAAATCGGTCCATTACTTTTTGAGCCAATTCGTTACAAACATACTTACGTACAAATCTTTCCTCTTTATAATATTAGTATAGATATAGATAAAGCACTACTACTCAGGAATGTCAGTATAATAAGCATAATTAGGTCAACAGTACGATTGTAAAATTAAGAATACACAACATCATAGATGCAGGTGGCCTGTAACATCCCCGTAGTAACAAACGTTAATTAGTCGTACCATCGGAGGCCACTTGAACTGTCTAGAACATCAATCAACTACACTTGTGGAACAATTACCCGTCCTCGATGTTTGTTATAGATACATTTCCACCAAATATTTAAAGACGTCCACGTTTTTTCGTAGCATTGATTTTCATTTCATTTCTTTGCCGATGAGTAGGGATGCCTACAAATTGAAATTTAATGACGTGGAATAAGTGATACATGTATCTTATGTTCCATAATAAACATATTTTATTTTATTTAGAATACTTGCGTGAACTCATAAAACAGAGATAATAGAAAGAAACGTGAATTTTTGACATAGACATCATTGCTCAAATGTCATTTTAGTCTCGCGGTGAACAGCAGAGTAAACCAAATAACCACATCATAATGAAAATACACATTTTAATCCGACGTAAGTTATGTTTACGCTTTAATTATGAATATAATTTTTAATAAAATTAAATAAAAAACCAGAAATGTAGATGGCGGCATGAGGGTAGTCTTAAATTTCTTGTTACTTGTGTTATAATGAATAATCCTTTAGCCATACTCACAGTCATCCATTAAATAATCTGTAATCAATCTAAAATTATTGCCCAATTAGACGACTGACTTAATAAAGCAATGAAATTGTTTATCTTCCTTTTAAAATAGGATAGAAAAATAAGTATTGTATGTTTGCCTTTTAATTTTTTTTAAATAGTGCCATTAAATATTAACACGCCAACAATAACATACAATTGGCGTGTACGATTGGTCCTTTGTAGTGCAATATGTGCATCCGCTCGCCAATGCTATATCTATTGAAAGCACCTCCATGTCATTGAATTTTACTTCCTAGTCTCACAATAATTTTTTACAAAATAATAATATGCTAGATAAAATATGTTGATGCATGCACTTAACAATTGATAAGCTTTTAAGGAATTTGCAATACCAAATGAAAATATAGTTGACGTGAAATATATTTCTATTTTCTCGCTGATTAGAAATAATTTACAATTTAACTTACATATTTATTACAAACTAAAATCACTCTATAAAACTTATTACAAAAGTTGAATACGACCTATATGAATTCAAAGATCAATCTCGAATAAAATAATCAAATTAAATGGCATATATTTTATTCAAAGAGTGCACTCATCTACTATCGCGTTACTACGTCATGTTAGTACAAAACTCAACGGTCCTATTGATACTTTGGTCATTTGCTTCACATTCTTTATGAGATTTATTGGAAAAAATATGTGCTACTTTGCATCAACAAATGTATGTAAAAAGAATTACACTGGGGAAATTATTCTACCTTCTTTGTTATTGTTTAATATTTTTAATTTATTTTTTATAGAACGGGGCGCAAACGGGCAGGAGGCTCACCTGATGTTAAGTGATACCGCCGCCCATGGACACTCTCAATGCCAGAGGGCTCGCGAGTGCGTTGCCGGCCTTTTAAGAATTGGTACGCTCTTTTCTTGAAGGACCCTAAGTCGAATTGGTTCGGGAATACTTCAGTGGGCAGCTGGTTCCACATAGTGGTGGTGCGCGGCAAAAACTGCCTTGAAAAGCGCTCAGTTGTGGAACGTCGGACGTCGAGGTGATACGGGTGGAATTTCGTATTCTGCCTCGACGTCCGATGATGAAACTCAGCTGCAGGTATTAATCCGAACAACTCCTCTGAACACTCTCCATGGTAAATGCGGTAGAAGATTCAGAGTGACCCCACATCTCTACGCAACGCCAAAGGATCAAGCCGCTCGGAGAGGGAGGGAGAGGGTCGTCGACGATTCGAACCGCTCTGCGTTGTATACGGTCAAGTGGAAGGAGCTGTTACTGGAGAGCCCCCGCCCAGAGGTGAGAGTAGTACTCCATGTGGGGCCGAATTTGCGCTTTATATAGTTGCATGCGGTGGCCCGGAGTGAAGTACCGTCTCGCCTTGCTGAGCACACCAAGCTTTTTGGAGGCTAATTTAGCCTTTCCCTCCAAGTGACCGCGAAACTGAACGTCGCTCGATATGTCAACGCCAAGTATTCCAATGCTGGCTGTGGCTTTAAGAAGAGTGTTTTCGAAAAGAGGAGTAGCGACAAGGGGTGTTTTTTTAGCGGAAAACGCGCAAACTTGTGTCTTCTTGGGGTTAAATTGGACTAGGTTTTGTCTGCCCCAATCTGAGACTCCACGTAGTAGACTTTCGACTTCAGACACAAGTTTGTTCCGGTACTCATCATCAACTACCCGAGAAATACCTGCCCGGCCAGTGTAAAAAGTATCCCCAGTGCTGTCATCCGCATAGCAATGAATGTTGCTAAGTTTCAACATATCATTGATGTGCAGAAGAAATAGGGTCGGGGATAGAACACAGCCTTGTGGGACCCCAGCGTTTACGGGTTTTAGGTCGGAACATGCTCCGTCGATGACGACCTTGATGCTCCGATCGGCCAGAAAGCTGGAGATCCAATCACGTAATTTCTCGGGAAGCCCATAGGCTGGAAGCTTCGAGAGCAGTGCTCTGTGCCACACCCGATCGAAGGCTTTCGCTATGTCCAAACTAACCGCTAGCGCCTCCCCCTTGGACTCAATTGCCTCTGCCCATCTATGTGTAAGGTATACAAGAAGGTCACCAGCCGAACGACCACGACGAAAGCCGTACTGATAATCGCTAATCAGCTGGTGGCCTTCTAGATACCTCAAGAGCTGGCAATTAACAATGGATTCCATTATTTTGGAGAACAAAGAGGTTATAGCTATTGGGCGATAGTTGGACGGATCAGAGCGATCGCCTTTTTTAGGGATCGGATGTATCAAAGCGGTCTTCCAGCACTTCGGGACAGTGCCGAGCGAGTACAGTTACCGGAAAAGGCGCGTTAAGACCGGAGCCAACTCAGGAGCACAAGTACGCAGCACAATTGGGGGGATACCATCCAGCCCGCTCGACTTATGAATGTCCAAGGAAGATAGTGCTTTGCGGACAGCACGTTGCCGGAATGTGATTTCCGGCATCGAAGAATCACACCGCGAAATGGTCGGTGGTGATAGAATTAAGCCCCCTAACATTTGTGAAGTCCACGGCGAGTGTGGACGGGGGTGTCTTTGTATAATTGCTCCGTTTGCCCCGAGGACGATTACTATTTTTGTAGAGCGCAGAATTGCCCCCCCAGAATACGAAGGGCAGCCTGTGCGTCCACCACGTCCACCACCGGGTGCTGAGTGTCCCGGTGGTGGACGCCCAGAGGGGGATTCTCCACCGCGAGCGCGTGTGGTACCCCCTGGGGTAGATTCTGTTTTTTCTGCACCTTCATATTACTTATGGGGGGGATGGGCTCCGGGAATCTCTCTCACCGCACGAAACAAGAAGGCGAACCTTTTGCATCACTTCACGCCGGTTTTCTGAGAGACAGTGGTACTGTTTTTCTAGGCATAACAATAGATAGTAAACTCCAATGGGGCCCACACATAGAGACTCTTTCGAATAGGCTGAGCTCTGCAGCATATGCAGTAAAGAAAATCCGACAGTTTACTGATGAGGACACGGCTAAAATTGTGTACCATAGCTACTTTCATAGCGTTATGTCGTACGGCATTTTACTGTGGGGTGCTGCTGCAGAGGTTCAATCCATATTTGTGCTGCAGAAGCGGGCTGTTCGGGGTATTTGTTGTGTTTCTCCGAGGGAGTCGGTACGGAATAAGTTTAAGGAATTAAATATTATGACACTATCTGGTCAATATATTCTTGAAGCCTTGTTGTATGTCCAAAAAAATATAAACGATTTTAAAACAAATGGTGACTTTCACCAGTATAATACGCGAAATAGAACTAATTTGAGTGTACGACCAACCAGGCTCCAAAAGATAAACCACTCCTTATATGGAAATTGTATTCGTTTTTACAACAAGCTCCCAAGCGAAATTAGAGAATTATCACTAAATAAATTCAAAGTCCTCGTTAAACGAAAATTAATCAACAAAGCTTTTTATAAATTTGAGGACTACTTAAATGATCCTAATCCTTGGGATTGAATTGCTCCAGTTCAAACAATTTGTATGACAATACTTGGCGATTAAAAAGAGTGGCGGAAAGTTTCTTGCCAGTTCTTCTTACCCGCTCTACGCCCTTGACTTGCGAACTGGTAGTAAATGTAAATTTACGATTAATTTAACTTGACGATTCAAAAGTGTACTTGGTTACCTACTTGAATAAAGATATTTTGAGTTTGAGTTTGAGTTTGCCCCGGTCGTGCCTGCCCATTTGGCTGAAGCCCGAAGGCAACAGCATGGCACTCCCACTAGGAAGGGGTTGACTGATTGCGCTGATGAAATAACCTCTGTCACAGGTTATTTCACCAGTGGGCGATGGGGTCGTCACGTCCCGACGCCGACGCCGATGATGATTCAAATTCAAAATCATTTATTCATTTAGGTAACACAATGTACAATAAAGGAATATAAAAATGCTTCTAATTTTACATTTACTGCCAGTTCTCAAATCAAGGGCGTAGAACGGACGAGAAAAACTGCCAATAAACTCTCTGACACTATTTTTAATAGCCAAGTTTTGTTTTAAAGAATGTTTGTAAGTAGCTGCAACCATTACAATGTTCCACATGACATCTTAAGTAATTAATACAGAAATCAGTGTGTCCACCACTGGGGATACAGGTTTTGGATAACTATTTTTGTAACAAAAAATTAAATATAACTACGATCAAAAACTTAGACTTATTCTTAGGTCTAAAACTTTTGTAAGTAAAGACATAATATTTGGTTACCTACGCAGTATACATTGTAATGTAGGTGTCTTTACACACCATAACTTCTCCATCTGTTCTCCAGCTAAGTACATCGGTAAATTACTATCATGCAATTTAACATTTCCAGCGATAAAGAAAGTGTGCAAACCAGCGATGTTGGGGAGAATCTGGCAAGCCAGCAGACGTGGTCTGACTCTGGATCACACGCCGTCGCATCATTTTGCCTGTTCCCAGTGGCAGACTGGACATAGACCAACAGCCTCATATATTGTTTACAGGTAAGTTTGAATATATTTGATTTGAAGGGGCATTAAAATCTAAATGATCTAGAATCATTAGATTACAAGTGATTGTAGGAACCGAAAAATTCATGAAATGAAAGCTGGTTTTGTCTTGAAACATACGAAATTATAATTAACTGCATATGTAAATATTAAGGTTGCGGAATAATTTATATAAAAAATAAATAATTGTTAGTGTATTTATTTTTTTATTTTTCTTTAGATTTTACTTTAGTTATAGGTAGTGTAATAAATAGAGTTTTTTTGTTAATGATTTATGCACTTGTACTTTATTTACCCTCTGTAGGTGTTTCTTTTTTTATTGTTCCATATTAGGGTTGCCTGGAAGTGATCGCTTGTCTGCGAAAAGGTCGCCCGTTGCCTAATATCTTATGTAACCTGCTTCTTTATATGTATGTTTTTGTATAAGGTAATGAAATATAAATAAATAAATAAATAATACGTTCGCTGATGCCGCTAAAGACCTCCTCCAGACCCTTCCATTCTTGCTCTCTTTTGACCAAACCTTGCCTGCAACCAGATTTTTTTTCATCATCTCATGTATTGTTCATCATTTTTCCTTTTTCTAATTTTTTGGTACCAACTCAAATAGTTTTACTCCAATTTGCAGCTCCTCTCAATGTGTGTCCATCTCCACTTGTCCTTTCGAATGCTCTTTGTAAGGTCCTCTATCCGTGTCCTTTTCCTTATGTATCTATTTTTAATCCTATCTCTTTTGTTAACAAAACTTTAACTTTAACCAAGCTTCTCTTCATAGCTCTTTGACGTACCTCATTTTTTTTTATTGAGGCATGTAGATGTAGTAAAAATGGGACATTGTTTATTTATTTTTATTTATTATTTAATAACACTTCGTTGCATTAACATAATACTAATTGAACATAATCAAATTAAAAGGAGGGCAACTGGCGGCCCTCAAGAAACTCAACCAACATTGTTCTTTGCGAATACGGCTAAAAAAAAACCTTATTAATTTCAATGGCCTAATTAAAATATTTGATTTCCAGGTGGTTATTTTTCCTGTCAGCACTATCAATTGGCTTAACAAGTTTCGCGTGCCAAAGACTGCCGCCTCTCTATGATGGGCCGAAGGTGGAGCTTAATTACTTCAAGTGGTTTATTTACTTCACGAACTGGGGATACATGCTCATTGTCCTACAGGCAGCCTTAGCTTTAGCTGTTGTTCATAAGTACAGGAATCAGAAAACCTATTGCATACGTAAGTATTAATAAAGACATAATTTAACGATTCCCGGTAAGGCTTATCCCATGGTTACCAACATTTATTGTTAAAGAAAAAAAAATATCTTCACATAATACTACATATATATTTAGATAAAAACAATAATAAAACGCAATTAAATAACGACAACAGAAAATTTTGATTTTTTTTTCCACAAATGGAGTTGTGCTTTTCCACGTTAAAACTTAAACAAATTGAGAACCAGAGAGCTTTGGCGTTGTTTAAAAATAGTTTCTTATCATTGGAACAATTTATATGTCTCCGAAATGTCAAGATCCTCGCGTGATTTCATCTAATTATTTCAAAGAATTTCTGCGGGAGGCATCTTTACATCAATTAATTCACATTGCACTGTCGCGTGTCATTGCTATTGAGATACTTGATTATCTCGTATGGTCAAGCACGTGTTTCATTCATCTAAATCGTGACCATGAGACAATACTTTAATCTTGTGCAATGGCATGAGATTAATTCAAACATTATATTATACGTAAGAACTGTTACCATGAAGTTAACAAAGTTTTAGATAAACGCCTGAGGAACTGCGGCAATACATTTTGTCTGAAATATTTGAGTGTTTCGAATATCCACTATGCGCCAATAAGAATAATAATAGATAAATCAGAGCCTATCCAATTTTCTAAATGTCCTAGTGCAATAATGCCCATAAATAGAAAATACACATAATTCCCTGTTTTAAGATAAGTCAAACATTATCATATTTTATGTCGTTAAACGTCATATAATTCTTCTTGTCTCTTCAGTTCACGAGTAATTGTATTGACTTCCTCATAATATCCTCTGCTGTATGCTTGTCATGGGGCGAGCAATATGTTCGTGTGACGCATTTGATTGATACAATTTCGCGTCAATTAAACTGGTCGAGTGGGACGTTAGCAATTATTATCCTTATTGGTTCCTCATTCCTGTTATTGACGTCGATATTGCTAACAAATAACAATTGTTATTGAGTACATGTGGGTTTTAATTGGGTTCCGATTTATCTATTTTTGTCTATGAATATTATAACTTTATCGCGCTAGTTTCAAAGATGTTTAAAGATTTAATAATTTATAGTTATGCAGACACTAAAAAGGAAATACGTTCATTTTTATATTTCGAATTTATACAATAACGTGAGGGGCATCTGTCATTAAAATCGAATAGTTTCATGGACAGGTAAATATTATTCGTAAAGGAACAAAAAGCGTACAGTCCGGTAACCCAGCAGACATATTTCGGTGTCTTTTTTATTGATAATTTTTGAACTTAGGGACGCTATATGTGACCATGGAGGCGGATATTTGCCTAATAAATATTGACTATATCACTAATACACTTTTTTAGTATTTGCATTAATAATATAAGTACTAATATTCTTCTAGCTTGTGATGATGAAGACATTCCATTACCACGTCGTCAGAAGACACCATTCCTGTGCCGTTTGTACTGGCTGGTGCATAATATTGCCACGGACCTCGCGTTCGTTATAACACTTGTATATTGGACATTGGTCCATGACCCTAGTAAGTGAATCTGAAAGATTTGATTTGATTTTATTTAAACATCACACATGTATATTGGACATTAAAAAGAGGGCGATCATAATATCATATACTCGTGTAAAAATGACATGAGCAAATTCTCATAACCGCTAACCAAATCCATGCATTGACTAGCCCGTGATATCGCGGCCCGCGAATCCCGAGAGGACATTTTGTGTGGAAGAAGTCGAATAATAATAATAGTAAATAATTAAGAATGCAATCATAAGCTTTCTTTGTGACCCTTTTTAATTTGCTGAAAATTAAATTCATACAGAATTAAGAGCAACTGAGGCAGATTTGACCTTTCTAAATACTTAAATTTAGCTAAGCTCACAGATTTTTTTTTAGGAATGCACGAGATAAACGCATTAAATATCTTAGTACACGGCTGTAACTCACTAGCGATGTTGCTAGAATTGGCTGTGACTGCGCATCCGATACAGGCTATGCACGCTTTGTTTGGCGCTGGCGCAGGTCTTATGTATGGGATATTCAGCGCCTTCTATTGGGCTGTAGGGGGAACGGATAGAGTTGGTCTCCCGGCCATCTATCCTGCTTTAGATTGGAACAAACCTGGTAAGTGTAGTAGCAAACCACAATTATTGTAGTACTCAAACATTTATAACTAAAATAAAAACGAAACATGTAAACGAATTTTGAACATGCCATCACTTTATATACGTAACATTATATTCATGTCCAAATTAACAAAAAGCATATGCAATCTGAGTCAAGTTAGATTCGTAAAGTATTTTTCTAAAGATCAATTAAGGGCAATTTTACACACATATCCAAAGCGCCAAATCTCTGGTCTCATGAGCACATCCTTACATACACACCAGCACATAAACACCCTCCCATACACATTATCACAGAACATCTACACGTGTCTCTCTTCTTAATAAGTTGAATGTATTTTATTTTGTTTTATTTTTTCCTAATTTCTGTCTTTACTGGCAACTGTTATCTGTGCTTTCTAAATATCTAATCCATTCTTAGCTTTACATAAATAAGCTTACGAAACATTGTTTTTTCAAGGTTCGGCGTTCGGTTTCGTCGCTCTATGTGCGGTAGTGATGATGTTTGCTCACGCTATCGCTACCGTACTCGCAATATTACGCATGAAGTTAGCTGCGAAACTTCGACCTTCGGGCTCACACCTCGACAAGTTCACTCTGCCTACACACTGAGGGTCAATTAAGCGGGATTAGACTGGTTTTCATAGGTCAATGGACTACCAAAATTTCAATTACACTATCAAAGGCGACCCTAATTGCACATGATAAGACATAGGTAGCATTTCTAATTAGGATACGATTCAGATAACACTTGCCTCGTTGAGGCGTCATATCTGCTTATATAGACTAAGAAATAACTTTTATTTAGCTTAGTTAAACCAAAGAAAACCAAACAGTTATTCATTATTGATAATATACAAAAAGTTTTCATTGCAAACCGTACTTCAAGTGACATTTGACAGATAGAGATCACTGACGTTCCAATCTCTATTTGATTAGCACTACTCGAGAATTCTTATTTCAAAAAGTTAAAGTAAGTTATCTGAATATATGAAGTTTGACAATTCGGACCGAGACTATAGATTTCATAATTCATTGTGACTCAAAGATTAGCAAAGTTAAGAAAACTGCAGAGAACATAATTTCGCTGATAAATTATATGACTGTGATCATCAGTATTCTTAAAGTAAGACCATGATCATATACGAATGAATTATAGGAATATAAGTAACTGCTATTGGCTTTGAGCATTTATAACGTTAAATTATAAGTATGTTTATTGTATTTTAAAGCTTTTCAAATCTTCATATGGCGGTTTAAGAGTTTAGGTACGTTGGGGCAGCTCTGGTAAATAGGGCTTATTCATAATATGTCATTGCATTCGCATATATATGATATATTTATAATAGATACATACAGCTTGTGTTAATTGCATGTCGTCAGTAGGTCAATTTGTAAATCAATAGGAGATTTTTTTAAATGTTAGTTATAGATTTAGAGTATAGATTTTATTACATGTTTTTTTAACTATGTACGTATGTCGAGCGTTAAGTAAGCATTTAACATTAGTCGTACGCTGGGTACGCGCATTATAAAAATGTGAGCTATTGCTGAGCTTCAGTACATTCTTAGCCCAGAGAGGCTAAGAAGTCGAATCATAAGCAAAGCGCTCGATGTGAGTCAGGCACCAAATGCTGTTCTCTGCCTATTAAGAGAATCGCCAAGACTAAAGTCATCGGAAGTTGTAGAACAATGTCCCAGTTTTCGTAATTATTTCCTATTCATAAGTAGCACGAATTTTGTATAAATTCGCACTTTAAGTGATATCGCATCTTTTCTATAATATACATATATCTATAATAAGATTCAGCGTCATAGCAGTGTCATCTTAGAATTATACAAGTTTCATCCAGCTCAAAGCGGATTAGTAGATTTTATTTTTTACGACGCGAGGTGAATTCTAATTTACTCAATGTTATATTTGTCTAAATTACCTACTAGCAGGTTTAACATAGTATAAAGAAAATAAAATAATTGAAAATACAATTATTCAAACTCTTTAGGCGTTAGTATGACACAGTAACGTATTTAAAATTTTAAAGCTTAGGTTTCCTACAAAAGCGGTGCTGTTAACTAACGGCCGTCATTTTACGGTTTTTTAATCACGGCCGTCTTTACTTTTTAACATAATGCAAAAAAAACATCATTTTCGCTCGTCTAAGTCACGTTTCCACTCATTGTATTAATTAAATATGGGCACTGCTACACGCGAAAAACGTTGAACTATTGTTTATCACCGCTATGACGGCCGTCATGCAAATGACAGCACCGCTATTTGACGTTACGGTGACACTCAACGTTCTCTAGAAAACCTACTACGATGTTATTTATAGACAACGTGTAGGTGACGTCACCCAACGTTACATTACGGCCGTTAGATAACGGCAACGCTTTTCTAGGAAACCCTAGCTTAAGCGATTTGACTTTATGCATCGTCTAACAAATGAAAGCGCAAAGCAATTGTGCGGGACTCCTGAAATTTGCTGCTCTATTTAACAGGCTATTTTTAAAGGAGACAAATGCAATTAAAAATAATACCCAAAAAGGTTCCGTTACCTACTCCTTATGAAGTTTAAAGTAGTTTTTGTGATTTGTAGACTTTAGTATGAATTGTTCCTAGCCTGAATGTGTATGTATAGGCACAACTCTGTGATTGATTTAGTGTTATTTAAGTACTGTCCGAATGCCATTTCTGTATTAAGATATGATTTAAAACAGCTTTTAACTAAGTATCGCCAAAGAGTTAATTTATTACTGCTCAAAAGCGAAATTCTGTACATTAAAAAGATATTCTGTCTGTTTTTTTATATTTAAATTTTCTTGTGGTATACCAATTTCGAAATTATAACATAAAAACGGCAAATAAAATTATAAATTTAAAATATTTGTTATGAATATGAAACGCCTGATTTAAATATTCCGATGTATTTAAAACATATTGCTATTTTTATATATGCAGTAACAACTAAGAATTCGAGTTTATTTTCATTAACAATGTGGTTTGTTTTAAAAAAGAATATATTTTTATCGAATATATAAAATTCTCGTGTCACAATGTTCGTTCCCATACTCCTCCGAAACGGCTCAACCGATTCTTATGAATTTTTTTATGCATACTCAGTAAGTCTGAGAATCGGCTACTATCTATCTTTCAAACCCCTAAATGTTAAGGGTGGTCCACCCTAAAAATTTTATTTTTTAGATATATTTTTTGTTTTTATTTGTTTATGATACAACATACAAAATTACATACAACCCTTTTCACCCCTCTACGATCAACCCCTATTTTTGAGGTTTATACAGAGAAAAATTCACAGAAAATCCTAAAAAGTTTTCATTCCAGAAAACCGAACAGTCTCTGGGGTAGCATAGCAATATGTTCCATGTTGGTATGTACTAAAAGGGTAGGCTAAGTAAAATCACATTAAGGAGAAACGAAGCCCACGGGGGCAGCTAGTAATATATATTAGTTTAAGAAAGCTGGCGAGCCAGTCTCAAGAATGTGTGGTTATATCAGTTATCATATAGAAATTAGCCCTACTCTTCCTCTGACCTAAAGGATCGACTTATCTAACTACTGACTGGTCGACCCAAAGGCCCTGGATTAGGTCAAGAAGTTGTGGCTTTAGTGGTCGGAATAACTTGTATTTCAGGTATGACATCGTTGCAGTGATTGGAGCCGCAGAATGTAGGTGTCGCTACAAATGGGTAGGTAATAGGTATATTAGAAACGTATTCGATTTGATATACGGAATCCACACTCAGCGCTAAGCCTATATATCCTATTATGACATGGGACATGATATGTATTTAAAGTTTGGTATTTTTTACATCCTGATTCGAACAGAAAATACTAAGAACAAAGATTATTTATTGTGGCATAAGCATCTCAGTATGGTCTAGCCGCTAGCGGCCACCTTAGGATATCGAGTTACTGATCCAAAATTCTAGAAAGAAAATTCACACAAAGGCGAATAACCTAACACTAGAATGCTGCTGAATTGATTCGTCGCGATGAGGTAAAAACGCCAGTGTTCATACTACAGCGCCAACGATAAAGAAATTACGGATAGGACTTTGTGTAGTTAGTGGTCAACTGAAATATTTTATTTGTTATTTATATTCTTATAGTAACTTGAAACAGAAAAAAATAACTAAGAACATAATATCACTTACCCGTACAAACAAAACAAGAAAACCTAAAGCCTCAATATAGCAATATTATGAATGCTATTCTTGAGAATTCAGACAAAATGAAGTGCCCAATACGCGCGTAAATGGTATTTTACTAAGTAAATTTGTACTCGAAACACTCGTACCAATTGTGACCGCTTTCAGCATTACATGATACGATTTACTTCGAAAATATATAAAAAATTAAGAGCGATAGCAAGGTCCCTCCTTACCTAAAACCAGTTTATTCCAAAATATGTAAGCCAAACAAAGTTGGATACATAAACCGCTTGAAAACGGTAGAATTCATATAACCTCATGTATATCTAGAAAATTTATTTTGAATTTTCTCCACCATAAGAGAGTATTTTTTGCTAGTGGAGTGCCAAATCTTGGAATTACATCTCAAATGGCTTCTAAGAAGAGCATTATACAATGCCATTATCGCTTTTATATTCAAAATAATCGCTAAATTCCCTAAGCTTTTTTACAAATTAGACTGTTTTCAACTTAGTTCTTTTGTAACTTACCTTTCCATTTTACTAATAATTTCTTTCCATTTCTGATATGTTTTTAGTGTACGTATCCGTTTTGGGTTTCTTTTGGCACACAATCGTCAAGGATAACACTTAAAATATTATAAATGTTATCTAAACTCGCATACGACGAAAAATGAAAACATATATACCAGACCAGTCTGCGGCTCCAGTCCTCGATACCACATATCAAAGTGTCTTAGGGTCCTTCAAGAAAAGAGCGTACCGTTCTTAAAAGCGAGCTATTTGGCTCGCAAATGCGTTACCGGCCTTATTGAAAGTGTCCATGGCCGGCGGTCTCACTTAACATCAGGTGAGCCTCCTGTCCGCTTGCTCCTTGATCTTTTAAAAAATTGATTTTACAGTTATTGCATTCCATTTATATACGCCAAGTAAACCAACTGACTATCAAGAACAAAATAACGTCTGTCTACCAATGCGCTCGAATAATATCTGATTTTATTTGATTTAAAATATAATTAACAGTCTATACCTACAGGTTAAGTATAAATATCGGTCCATATCGTTGCGAGTATGCATGCTGGGGAAATTTTACACATATACTATATGCTAAATAATATATATATATAATTAAAATGGATCAAAACAGTATTTCTTCGTTTGCCTGGAATCATACGTAAAATAAATCTTATATAGGTACTTACTGTTTTTATTTTAGTTTAGCGTAGGAACTAGCGGCCATTAAGCTAACAAACATTAACTTGTAGTAATCTATTTCATAACAAACTATTTTTGATCAATATTATAAAAATGGCAATGAAACAAAAGAATATAATTTTTAAATATTCTTTTTTTGAATAGGTACAATAAAAAATGAAACTCGGAGTAATTATATTTACATAACACTCCTATAATAAAGTATTCGATGCAGCGGTATTTAAAGAGTTTATAAAATAACATGTGCATATAAATTAAGTCTAGCCCTTTAATTTGAAAAGCCTTTAATTAATACTGCAATTAAAATGCTGTGTAATAAAAATAAAATACAGGTGTGATTTTAATTTCATTTTGCTCAGTATTTTTTACAAGGCATACAATATTTGATTCCGTACCAATATTATGTTTTGATCTAACGAGAAAGGAAAAATTAATAAAACCGAGAGAACCTATATAACTCACTCGTCCTTTTGGTTTTTCTTGAAGAGGTATCGTAGAGGTTAGAGTAGAGGTTAACATAAAGGAAGGAGCCTCGACTAGTTGAACCACTAAAAAGCTACAGGTTGCTAGGAAATATATATTAATACATAATATATTGATGTCGATGTTTAAAGTTATCAGATAACTTTTCTAAAAAAATGGAGCCCCAATATAACTCCAATTTATATAAATTCATAATAATATAAATTTAATTGCTTCAGTATAAAACGTAACACATGTTTCAATCATTGTTTAAATATTCGCTATGGAACGACTGCCGGAGGACGTGAAAGAGCCATTACGTTTAAGTATTGACATCTTAGGCCGATCCAATATAAATATATGGAATAACGATTCCAGATGGAAGAAAATGCGTATCGTATACATGTTGGTTTTAGCTATCGTTTTCTTTATAAGTGTTGGTTTGTATACCATTCAAATGTTTTCGGAGGAGGTTCCAATTTCGGAGGTAGCCTTTCAAGTTTCGACGTTTTTAGTTTTAGTTGAAGGTTAGTATGCAAACACCATAACTATCACCAGCAATCTAGCTTTGTAAACAAATATGGCATAAAATTATTGTAGCAATACAATTTGTTTCTCTTTGTAATTTAGTTTAGGAAGGATTTTTTGGCCGCTTTGTTCAAAAGTATTTTTGTAAGGAGAAATATCAAATATCAATAACTCCTACCAACCTGAGCGTGCGATATTTGCACAATGTCAAATAAAAGTACTGACTATTTAAACAGACTTTTCGCTTAAATAGGTAACAACGCGTGAGTGAATTTCGAATTCGAATTTCAAAAAGAATTGTTAATTAGTGTAAAATCTTATGCCAAAAACTGCAATGTAAGCAACCCTATACTTAATGTGACACTTATTATTACTTGTATTAACACATTTTACCCTACTGTTATAGCCACATGCAAAGCAATACTAATTCTACGGAACAGAACAAATATTGTTGAACTTATAGAAAAAATAGGCGATACTTGGAGAATAGACAATTTAAATGAACGGCAAACTCGAAACAAGGATTTTCTATTCCAAAGATTAAATTTGTGTCTGAAAGGTACTATTTATATATATTCACTTTCATGATAATGGCTGTTTTCTTACATCTTCACGATGTTCTTAAACGTTCTCGTTTGTGACTGTTTTTTAATTTGATGTAAAAATATACTATACAAACAGCCCAAATTTTATTTAATTAAAAATGTATTCTTTTGTAGTTTATTACAGATGTAGTATGATAACAGCGTGGACCACTGCGTTTGCACCACTCGTAATCGTACTTGGTAAACTTGCAATGGGACAAAACATTAATCCTCTCCTGCCTTATGGTTGTGTAATCCCTTTTGATCCATTAAAAGATTGGTTTCGGTACATGCTGGTGTATGTATTTGAAGTGTATGCAAGTAAGTTTTAATAAGTACCCATAAAGTTAGATTGCCTTAATTCACACAAAATTAATTATTAAATCACTTTTGATATTTTATGATCAAGACAATCTTGTTTTATTATATGTAATCCTCAATATGCAAGAAGTACAACATATAGTTTGTCTTTATAAGACTTATGACACAGATATTATTACATTACATATTAATTATTTACATTAATTGTACCCCACAATCCAGGGTGATGTTTTTAAGTTTATTCACGTCCTAACTCAACTATATACATACGATACTAAACATAGCAAACGAATTCTGATTAAAACTAATATATATTAAAAAGTTTGACACGTCAAGTTTATGTGTATTTTTTTAATATGGTTTTCCAGTACTCCCCTTTATGTACATCTATATAGGAACAGAACTCCTCATGGTTACTCTATGCGCTCTTCTTAGTGTCGAGTTTGCCATACTGAAAGTCGATCTTACGTACGTAAAACCAGATAACTCTTCAATAAAAATCCTCGTTCGTAAACATCAGCAGCTCCTGGTGTAAGTAATTTTTATATTGTTTAGACTACGTAGTTTACACTTAAGGAGTGTAATATCTAATATAATGCGATCTTTATGTAATTTCAGGTACATTGGTTCACTTGACGAAATTTTCAATATAATATTATTTTTAGACTTACTTTTTATTACTGTTATTATGTGCATATGCGGATTTGCTGTTACTGTAAGTATTTAAGCCTGTTTTAAGTAAAATAAAAGATTTGCTTGAATGTTCGAGACTTTATCTTATTATATTTCTAGTATAGTATTAAAGATTTTCACCATTATTAATACCCCACATAGCGTCCTAGCTGAAGTAAAATATTACACGGTATGGTATACTAATATGTTGAATGTTTTTGTAATAAATCTTGTGATTATTTTTTAATTGATTATAGATGGCGAACAACGTTGTGGATTGTTTTAAAAATGTATTATGTGTACTGTCTATATTAGTTCCTGTGTACATATTTTGCTACTTTAGCGAGCAGCTTAAGCAAGAGGTAAATAAATAAATACTACAATTAAATATGAACTTTTATAATAGCCATTTTTAATACATATCTACAATAATTGAAACCAAAATTTTGCCTTTTCAAGTGTGATTTTCAGCATCTTTATAATTATTCAATTTAATTAAATATTTTTTGTAATACTAGAGCCCTATGTACCCAATATATATAATTTAGAACAACATATTTCGATTCCTATACGTAAATAACGTTAGTACACAGTAGAAAACAGTAGTTCTAACCCAATCCGACCTGTTTATGACAAATTTAAAACAAACGCTGAGACGCTTTTATTATTTCATTTAATTTAATAAAATTGTGACTTAATCAGTAAAAACTGTAGTTTACTCCTGTTTCAGTGCGCTGATATTGCACAAGCGGCATATAACAACAAATGGTATAACGTTAGCGTAAGCTATAAAAGGATTATTTGTTTTATTATCACAAGGTACCGTTATAGTTCCCGGCAAGTTAGTTGGCAAGAGTCGATATATGCGCAATTCGCAATATCAATTTCAGCTATTTTGCTAGCAAACGTTTTGCGCTGATGTTAGACTTGATTGTTGATTTGGAAGAAAAGTATCGTTTTTTAGGAAAAAAAATATAGTATACGAGTGTATACGAGTACCTACTCGTAACCGGATTCATCATTTTTTCAGTAGCTGATGAATCAAGGAACTGATAGTTTGGGTATAAAATGGCACATTTTTTTTATATTAACATAAGAAAGTCGAGCTAAAATAAAAAAATGGCGCTCTTTTGGTCTGGGCCTCAGATTCCTGAATCTGTTTCATGATCATTTTTCAATCAAACGCCGTCAACTTGACGGGCAACGTCAACGTCGACCTCAGAGATGAGAGTCACCAGGCTGAAGTCACTAGGCCAACACTGTTCAAGAAAGTCGAGCTTACTAAAATTTAAATTATAGCATTGAAGTACAAATACTTGACGATTTCGTAATCTAGCCTCTGACATATAAAATAAACGTACACCACCGATAAGTTTAAGTCACTATCATAAGCTGTATGCTGAGTTTTGGGAGATTATCTTGTTCCTTATTTTACAGGGCCCAAAAACCTTGTTGTCTAACATCTTTGGGATATGTGCCTATAACACTAAATACATTCTCCAAGGTAAATGAGCTTTTATACATTATAATTTTTATTAGAAGTACGCACGAAGAATTTATTGTTCTTTATTTCAGGTAGTGAGTACATCATGGTCTTATTATTCAGTAATAAGAACAGTGTATGGTAATAAATAACATTTTAATAGAAACAAGAGTAGATAATTTTGTCTGTTAATAAAAATATTTTTTTCTTTCACCAAAACTTTCACAACTAGTTAAGGGAGTTAAGCAAATGATAGTCATAAAATATGGAATATGCACAATGCTGCAATTGAGATTAAAAAAAATTTTCTTTACTTTATTTTTATATAATCTATTAAAGCACATATTACAGATACTAATGTTAAACAAATGGTCTTATATGTCAATAATTCAAAATTCTTCATAAATTTTATCCATCACAGACTATCATGACAGACTTATGTTATTGTAAAAGTTATGTTTGATCAACCTTACGATTTTTATACCTTTTTAAAGGAATTCCGCAAAATGATCAACGCGAAATGTTTAGTTATTTTTATTTATTTAATTAAACCACTACACTCAGTCCTGCTTTAACAATAAATGTCTCGCATGTCACATTCGAAAGCCAATTTATATTTTTGAATTGATTATAGAGGTTATTTAATTTTGACAAAAGATAATGATAAAAAATAAACTTTAACTTTAAAATTAAATTCATTATGGCCCAATTTTTTATTACTACTATTTTTATTATTATTTTAAGTAAAATTTTCAATGTATAACAATAAGGTTTAGCACATAGTTTAAGCAATTCTCGTGGGAGTAAATTGTAACTGCAGATATGAATGACAAGTGACGGCGTGTGAAGGCGGTTTTTTTTCTCGAGGACCTTGAGCACCAGATCTTTCGGACATCACCAGTAAGATATGCACTGCTAATAAGTTCAGTCGGTCGCGCGCAGAAATCGGCGCATGACGCGTGCTGATGAAATACGAAAGTAATCAGTGGTATGTTAACGCGTATTGTTAAATCCAATAAATGAAATATGTTTTTTTGTAAACGCTTTCGTTGTATTTAATTTTACCATGAAAATAATTATTAACTATAAAAAGTAATTATTTTAAATTAGTCCATTTTTTATTTAATAATTTAGTAACGATTGATCTACGGTTTATATACGCACGACATTAAATACGATTTCCCATTGAAGTGCAATTTTGGACTAAGTAAGTACATATGTATATAGATTGTATTTTTTTAAATATAAGACTAGATACTTCTACATTATAATGTATTAAAACGCTTTAAAATGAAAATTAGATAATAAAATAATAATGATTTAATTCACATGAATAATCCATATTTTGTTAAATAGGTAATAGTAACTATACCTATTAGTAAACAGTAGTACATAGTTGGTTAGTAAACAACGTAAAATATTAGTAATATTATCGGCGTTTTTTTTTTGTTATTTATATTTATTGGGTACCTTATCAGCCACTTGTAAATGTTGACATCGTAATTTGTCTTCGTATTACAATAAAAATATATCCACCCTAAGTAAAAGTATTATAATTGTCTAAATACGACCACACCAAAGGTATCATGACACAATAATGTTAAAACAATAAAAAAGAAATTGTAAGTTATTCATTATTTATAAAAACTATGAAACTTCGATATTTAAACTAAAAGAGAGATATATTGATTGACTTACAAGTAAAAGTAATAAAAAGGCTTTAAACTCAATCTCTCCTATCTATCCACGCATGCGTGTAGTTTATTTAAAAATATTGCCTTTAATTAAAAAAATATTTGGAAAAAACTATATATATCAGGGCGTTAGCATTCTAATTTTGAAAATTCATGTTGAAATTTTTTTGATATATGTGAGTTTTTAAAACTCTCAAAATTTAAATAGTTCCTGTTTATAATATTACTATAGCAAAGTGATGATGATAAGTCACTTAATGTGCTATAATTTTAAGTTTAAATCAACGTAATTCTACGACGTATATTTATTAATAACAAAAAAAAATATCTTCTAAGAAAGAAATAACACAAAGAAAATTTACAATTAAATTTTTCCGGATGAGTTTTCTCGGATAATTCACTTGAATATAATTAATTATGAGACGTAAAGGAAGTATAATTTATTTGTAATATGAATTTTATAATTAAGATTTGCTGAACATTCGATCTTTGAAAACCTGCCAAAAACTAATTATATCTGTCAATCAATTGGACTGTATTTATTTATTAGTAAATACAACTTCTAAAATTAAAAAAAAAACGTAATAATTTATACTTAACATTTTTTTGTTTATTGAATCGGTATCATGCTTTTGCTCCTAATTAAATTAAATAAAAACGTACATTACATAATATCTAATACCTAAATAGTTACTGAAATCTTTATCTTTTACTTATCTTTATCTTTCATAATAATAATAATCATAGCAAATAGTTAACTAATATAAAACAAAATATAAAATAATTGTGTTTTATTATAAGATAATCCCGCATAGGTACTATTTAAAAAATATCGTGTATTGAAAAGGATATGACGTTTTACCCGTTTTCTATAGCCGTGATCAATTCCTGTAGTCAATGTAATATCGTGTCAAAGGAAACTAAGTAATCTTAGGAATAACGATATAGTAACGAAATCGCATTTTCATGCACAACGCGATGTACGAACACGCTTCCTCTTTTGCCACAGAATTAAACATTATTCAATTCATTTTTCTACTTATACTTACTACTTACTTATATATATCACTTGTAAACATTTCCTCACTTCCCGATAGGGCTTGATCGCAGATATCTGCTTCCTAAACTGAGAGAAATGCAAGTAGTCTTATACGCTAAACAATCGTTTTTTCAGCCGAACTGAACCCTAGACATCCAAGCCCAGTTACATTTTACGGTTCTTGATTTGTATCTTGCTATTTAAAATAAATAGTAGTGAATTAGTGCTAAGTGCAACTAACTGTAGTAAAACAGGTAGTTCTTGATTAAACAATGTTGAATTTTTAAATAATATCGACTATAATAACAAGTTATATCACATCTAGGACAACGTTTTGACAAAATAATTAGTCGAATTATAGAGTATGAAGTATATACACGCAATTTGTGATTAATTTAATATGCAAGCATTTTCTTAAAAATGTTCTTTACGATTCAATAAAATAAAACCAATATTATTGTTTCATTCCGTTTATAATTATTATACATAATAATAATAAATAATATTTGTTTAAAATATGAGAAAAAAACAATTTACATTATATATTTACATTATACATTTCCTTATTAAAAGATTATATATGTATAGAAATACCAAATTGTTTATTTATATAATCAAATTTTGTGCAAATCGCTTAATTTTGCGATGCATTTTCATCATTTTAAAATATTTGGGTACTTGTGTAAATGTCTTATCAAAATCCGATTGCCTTGACTTTTAAAATCCAATGCATAGTAATAGGAATGCACTGACCTCTACTATACTTTAAAATTAGAGTTTTATGTTTCAAGTATCTATTGCAACATCAAATCAACTTGATCGATAGTGTGTGGACCTTGATGGTGTCAAAACACCTTCTATTTTCCTTTAGCTTACGCTGATAGATATGATCTTTTACTAAAATCTTACACATGTTTGCTAAAATCAGAATGCCAATGACTACAATTTCATTATTTGTTCGCAGATTTAACGACGAAGGGTATCAATAAGGCATAACCGACTTAAGCTTAGCCATTAAAAATGACTAAATTAGAAAATTGTAAGGACAGTGCGCCGGATCAGTTCTATGGATGCTGCTTAGCCAAACTTAGGGAAGGAAACGAATCACCGGATCTTTTTGCAAGGTCATGGAGCGGAAAGATGTCACCGCTAGTATGGCGTGTACCGATATTTGTATGGGCAGTCAGTATTATTACGTGGTCCGTCGTCTGCTTCTGGGGACCTCGGGAAATGTTCCTACTATATATGACACATTGGGGCCTTGTTATGATATTTTTGGAATCACTCTTCGGTATATTAGTGTGCATTAAGAAACATCGTGGACATTTTAAAGGTATAGTAGGACATAATAGATTTATGTCACGTTGTGACAGAGATAAAAACGACACCGGTTGCTAGGTGATATAATTAGCTGAGAGCTAGATCCAATTAGTATTCTTAGTAAAATGGGCACAATGTATCATTAACCCTACAACATGCAACTAAAAGGTAGAGCACTTCTGTACCGTAATTAATTAGGCTAAATAAATTTGAAATGATAGTTGAATAAAATTACCTACGAGCCAGTTCTAATGTTCTTCTAGTATGTGTAATATCAAAATATGGCTTCTAAATCACGATGGAATAATGTTATTAAAAATAGATAATTACTTAAAAATCATAATAAAACGTACGTAACTGAGTTAGTTTTTACCGCTTTCATGATGAATGTAACAATATTTAGGTCAAAATAAAATTTTCGAAACAAATCTTTATTGACATTACGTATAATTTACAAAATTAAAAAAATAATCAAATTTTGGAAATTCTTCTGTAAACGATTATAAGAAAGCCAATACGAAAACCATTATACTACAAAGAGGTTTTATGCCCTTGAAATACGTCAATGTTTTTAATAGTGTTACAACTTCAGATTACGCAACTTACGAGAACCGCAGGTTTTTCGCCTTTGACCCTGAATTCACGAATGCATTACGAATGTTTTTATAACTGTTAAATGTTTTTAAGTTTCGTAACGACTTAATAAATGCAAACAAAACAATCATTTTCGTGACACGAAGTATTTTTTATCAATTACAGCTGTTTTATGATAGTATAAATATAGTTTTATGTTTTATAAAAATAGGTAATTGTGTGGAATTAACTTTATAACAATTTTTTTGAAATGAATGAAGAATTTATTTTAAAAATCACTCCAGTGCCTCAGTGGGTTATGCTCTCTTAATGACGATAATACAAATAGTGAAGTGGTATCCAGATAGGGGTACAAGATTATAGCCCTATGAACCGCCTCCGTAGGTATACTTAACCAAAACGGATATTTGAAAGGTGTCGAAACAAAAATTCTTTTGGTATATATGATTAAGAAACACGTGCAGAATTATAATTTTAGTGCCGATTACATAATTCTACAATTACAATTTTACTCTAGTATGTATCTTTTGTTTGGGAAGCATTTAAAAAATATAATTTTAAATTATGCTTTCAGATCGGTCGCAAGGTCTACCTTGGTATGTGAGGGCATACTGGGTTTTGTACAACATCACTGTACCGCTGGCCTTTCTTATATCTCTCTTCTATTGGGCTGTTCTAAGAGGAAGTAAGTGAAACCTTTCTAACGTTCTAAAACACGCAACTTGCTGTACGGCAATTAGGTATGGAATCAATAGTAGATTTCTGCAATTCCCAAATCGATTATACGACTGTAATTACAATCGATATGTAGGAAAAAGGGAATATATTTTAGTTGCGAATAATTTAATAGTAGGACGCCGCTTTTGCATGTTTTAAAAATATTCATGTATAATACGCATTTGTTTTCAACGTTTTTATGTTTGCAGCGGTTGCCAACATAAACTACGCACCTGACCCGATCTTAGACGTAATGTTACATGGAGTAAATTCTGTTTTGATGCTGATTGAACTGGTGATGTCTCGTCAGCCGAGTCGTCTTCTCCATGTGATGCAGCCTCTATACTTTTCTGGTGTTTATCTACTCTTTACGCTAGCACATTTTTTTGCCGAAGGACACGATCCGTAAGTTTATTATCTCTTTTTCAAATCTTAAAGAAACACCCGTTGGACAGACTTAAACGCGAGTTTATATAATTATTTTCTTAACTCGTTGTTTTCTATACTTAACTGACTAACTCTGAATGTTACGACTATTCGAATGTAATTTATATGTTTAAACTCATCATAAAAGCTTAATTTGAATATGTAGGTACGTACTAGTGTGTACGGCGTAAACCAAAGATATCTTTAGTTTTAGAAAATTAGTTTGATTATTCCAATCTATTAGTATGATAGTTCGAAGTTCAAAGAGATTATTAAAATCCTCTATTTATATATGTGTTCGTCTAAAATTGATATTGCTAAAGTCAAATTGAGTTGTTGTACCATGCTCACCTTCTTTTAATTCAAGTTAATACCTGACTACAATAATTTATCCTAACTAAACAATAATTGGGGAAAAAATAAAATTACATATCTCTACGTAGAAGTTCTAAAAAAAATATTTACTTACTTCCATTTGTCTAAATATCTTAATATTTTAGACAAAAAATACAGACGTCATGTGTTGACAACAAAAACTATAGAACCTATACTATAAAACCTTCAAACAGTAAACCTTGTAACGAAGTTACATCTAAGTTTACAGTTTGCACAAATATCAAACAATATTTGTTTGTACAAATATTTTGCACTTTGCCTTTGCAAACTAACATGCGTATACTATAACCTACTACTTATACATTATAGGTGTTATTAATAAAGGTACTTGAAGGTAAAGAATATTTGGCGCATGTATTTTTATCGAAGTAACTCGCGAGGGATGGACGGTGGATAGGCAAAATATGTCGCTTAGTGAACTCAAGGCGGCTGGACCACTTCGTGGTTTTTCTTTTCATTTATTTCGTGAACTCTTGGGAAGTTTTTATGGAGAGTATTGGAAAAAAGGCTATTTTAAAAATTATATTAAGGCTAAACGAAGTTCGTGAGGACAGCTAGACAATGATATGAATAAACGGGTTTTCAATTTATATCGGCATCTTTACGATTTAGATATTGCCTAAATATTTATTGTTATAAGTTTCACGCTTAAATTTAAATCAGTCGTTTTAAATATTAAAGTCATTTATAATTTTATTAAAGTATGCCATAATTTCTATGTACGTCGAAATATAATAATGATCAAAAGAGATATAATACTTGAAATACCTAAGGAAGGAAATTGCAAAATTGAACGCACAACAATACATTGCAAAAAACCTTGAAGGTACTACTTATACTATTAGACCTCCCAAAAACAATTCTATAGCGATCGTATAATAATGACACCATGGTGACATATCCTTCCAACTATGGGAAATAATTAAGCAAAATAATATTCTTTTTAAAAGTATGGCTTAGTTACTTTATTGTGTTAAACGGAACTTATTATTTATTTAGAGTTACTTTTTAAAGATTTTAAACGGATTAAATTATCATACTTAATCATTTCAGATCAGACCTTGCGTATATCCTCGCATGTCAAGGAGAAAATATTAATTATCCTCTGACCATTAATCTTGCATGACTTTCGAATACTAATCGCTGTAATTGTTATAAAATTTTCATTTTTAATTTTTCTTAGATATCACCCAATGTCATAAAAGAAATTCACCTGAATATATTATTCAAGTATAATAAGTTGTTATTTTTATAAGGTATATCAATAATATTTAATTAATATAAAAACAAATAAAAGTTTAATTAAAATTGTAATGCAGCTAAAGTTTCCAATAAGTAACTTTGCTATATCTCGTATTCAAGGTGACGCCAAAGGCCAGAGACAAAAATACTTTGAAATTAACTCACGCTGGGCAACATGACAATGTCCATACATATTCTATGGTTAAACTCACAAAAAAGAAATGTTACAATTAAATTTCACTGTGTACATTTTTTTAAGCGGAAGGCGGTCTGTAACTTTTTTCAACTGACACAACAAAATACTATTTTTATATTTGAGTACTATGAATTTAAGTTTTTAAAACTTTTATATTCCTCAGAATTACTATTAACATATGTACTTATTTTATCTTTTCAGATGGGGCAATGCTTTCATATACCCGGTGATAGACTGGTCGAAGCCGATAGAAACGCTCATAGTGTTGACTTTGACAGCATTATTCTTCGCATTAATGCATATATTAACCGTAGGAATTTCAACGGTTCGTGACTATACTTTACAGAGGCTATCCCGGAACAAAAGTGGTGTATACAATGATGGATTTGAGCCTTGAAAAACTAGATCTCAGTGAAGTACTGATAAGATAATGAAATAATTATACTGTTGATATGAGGGTGACGGCCGATGACTACTTTAGCTGTAAGGAAATTATTTGTGATTGTTGTAGTCTGGTGCCAAAGATTTTTACAATTATTATAATTTTAACAAATCAGAATTCAGGGTTGGAAATGAGTGCAAACTCTTCGATTATCGATAAGTAAATAATGGAAACAATTATTATTTACTTGTAAATAAATAATATTTATTTTGTGATAACATTAATATTGTATTGTGTATTAGATCATTGTGAAGTAAAAAAACGTAATTTATATTTAAATTGCCTATTATTCGATAAGTAATAATTATATTATAACATAAAAAGGATTTTATGATTGGTAAGATGTATTGTTATAGAGCTAAATAAGTTGTACAAGTATTTTTATCTTAGGATTGTATGAAATAAAAAAATATATATTTATTTGAAGTTTTACTGATATAACATATAATATAGGGTTCGAATTTCATATATAATGTTTTCATCATAAATATACCAATTGTACAATAATCAAAATACTTATAAGCAAAACTTCGACGACTTTATTAGAAGTATGGGTTAAAGTTAGTATTGTTCGTTACCATGGTTACAATATAATATATAAAAAAGTATGATTGCTATGATAACAAATGACGTACCTATTTTAGTCCACATTTTATTTGGGTAATATCATAGAAAGGGCATTTTTGTACATCAATAATATTATAAGTACACATGACAATATTAAAATGCCCTTGAATGAATGAGGTCGCAAGCTCATTTATTTACTTACGATCAATACTAATAATTTCAGTAGGTATATTTCTCGTAGGTATAGAAAACTCTTATTAGTCGTATTATTTATTTGCCAAAATTTTGGGTAATCTAACTTTTTACCCAGAAAAATCTAGTTTCTCCTGTTACTTACAACGATTTTCTAAATAAATACATATATCTATGATAATATCGATAAACACTAGCATTAAATTAAATGACAACACTAAAAAAATATTAAAATTAAAGATTTGCATAATTTGTAGCATCACAGTACCTACAGGAATTTCACAACTTACAATATTTTTCATTAGAAACATTACAATATATCTTTTAAATTACGCTTTACAAAATATCAATAACCAAATAAATAACGGCTTTCAAATTCTCAATACAGATAATACTAGGATATCTAATAATCAATACATTTAAAAAGTCATAAAATATACTTAACACCACTATCAGAAATCTAATCAGTTCAAACAACTGAATCTTGTCGCGTATTTGGCCGCGGGCTGCGAAGTCACATTGTAGTCGCGAAAATGGGTGCGATAAAGAAGTATTGTAAGAAAGAGTTCCAAATTCAAAAATTCAAGTTCGAACATGATGATGGGGAGGAGTTTTTCATAGGTTGCTTTCAACAGAATCGTTCGTGTCTGCCCCTTTTAATAATACGGGGTTTATTATTTTTATGTTCCGTGGCTATAGTGGTATCATCCATAGTGATAGTGGCAGAAACAGGAAAAGGCGCGTTCTGGCCGATATATATGACTCATTGGGGAATTTTTTTAATGATGGTCTCTACTGGTTTTGGATTTGGGATTTCAATGCACCGCTATATGAAGGGACCTATTGGTAAGTTACAAATAAAGTGACATGTTTGAAGCTTTGCATTCTGAGTTAAAGTTATGCTTTCAAAATGTTAATTTTTATATTTTACATATAATATTTACCGGGACTTTGAATGATAATACACATATAACAAATCGGAGGGGAACAAGAAAATATTCGTAATATCAAGTAATTCGTTGAACTGAGGTTTGTTATGTTGAGGTTAGATTTGTCTAAAATTCGTTATAAAGAGGTAAAAGAATAGTTTTATTCACGTCAATATTACGTACTTATCTTGTTATAGCGAACAACTTCTACTAATAAATGATAACACATTTTCATCAAATTACTATATGTATTTGCTATGTATTTAAAAACAATTAGGTAGATAATAATTTTTTTTTCTTACATTAATAATCAAAAACAATTAACAACGTGGTTATAGTAGCTTAATCTCAATTTTGTTCATTGATTAGAAAAAAGTCATTGATAGTTGTCTGTTTACCACCGGTATGAGTTATGACATCCAAAGCGCAATCTAATTTCGTGATGGCTTTCACTACATCGTCCCTCAAACCTCCCTTTTTTGAGAAACACAGATTTTATTGTATTCAAAGCATTTTAAGCATCTTTTATTGTGAAGTTATGCTCATCAATTTCACCCTCTTCTTCCTCGTCTTCATCCGCATCTGCATTAGTAACTGGCAACACAGATGTGACGATGTCAGCATCAGTTAGTTCCCCACAGATGGCCAAATCATTATCAAAGGTAACGAAGTCTTCGAAGTCAATCTCTTGAAGGTGTAATTCTTCTTGAACTTTTTGCCAGGTCCTAGCAAGTTCTGCGACTGGTAAATCGTCCTCCTCATCTTCGCATGTTACTTTAAACCCACTTTTCTTGAAGCAGTTTGCAATGGTCTTTTCAGTGACTAAATTCCAAGCTTTGGCGATCATCCACATGGCTTGTAAAACGTCAATTGTAGTTGGTGTTTGACGTTCAACATCAGCAAGAAATCGTCTGACAACTTCCTTCCTATAATGCATTTTGAAGCTTTGGATGATGCCCTGATCCAGTGGTTGTAGTTTTGAAGTGGTATTTGGAGGTAAGTACTTTATTTTTATATTTTTCAGGTTAGGAATTTCTCCGTGTGCAGTACAATTATCGATGAACATTAGAATTTTTTTGTTTTTTTTCTTCATCTCTTTATCCAGACTTTTAAGCCAATTGCAAAAAGCATCACTGGTCATCCAAGCCTTATGGTTGGACGTGTAATCTGTTGGCAGATTATTGACATTCATAAAACATCGCGGTTTTTGATATTTTCCGATGATGAGTGGCTTTAATTTGTAAGTCCCAGTACAATTTGTTCCCAGCAGTACTGTTAAGCGAAGTTTACTGTTTTTCACACCATTACATTTATCGCTTTTGAATGATAAGGTTTTGTCAGGTAAACATTTATAGAATAGTCCAGTTTCATCGGCGTTAAAGATGTCTTCGGGATCGTATCCGGTGGTCAGCTCTGCCAGTTTGTCTTTCCAATCATCACATACTTGTTCATTAACACTACCACTTTCACCGCATATTTTTGGAAAAACAACCTCGTTTCGTTTTTTGAAATTTTGAAGCCACCCGTTGCTAGCACGGAACCCTTCATGTCCCAATTCTACTGCAAACCGCTGAGCCTTTTCCTGAAGAATAGGGCCTCCGATTGGGATTTTTTGTCTCGGCACTGTTTTAACCACTTTAACACACATTCCTCTACGTCTTTGAACTCGCATGATTTTAATCTTTTACTGTTTACATTCAAACCACTTTCTTCTGAAAACTTATCTTTAGATTTTAAAATTGTAGCCAATGTACTTGCGGGAATCCCGAACTTATTAGCTATGTCTAATTTTTTCGTCATGGGATTTTGGTCAACATAATTAATGATGTTTCGCTTTTCTGCGACCGATAAGGAACACCTTTTACGTTTCTGAGCCATTTTAACTTAAATCTTTAACAATAGTGACGAGCAGAGGTGTTTACATTACTTTCCATCAAAACAACAATAATTACTTTACAAACAAAAGCGTGTCGAAACATGTCGAGACATGAATCACATTATAAGATTAAGAGTTATATTATTGGTGTAAACTTTATATAAAGGTTTTGGGTTGGCAAAATTCGTTAATTAGAGGTATGAATACTTTTTCTTGATAGTTGAAAATTCGTTATAAAGAGGTGGTACGCAAAGAATGTTCGCAATGTAAAGGTATATTTTATATTGACTCTTATGGACAATTCAAGGGGATTACGAAGAATTTGTTAAATCGAGGAAGTCGTTATATTGAGGTACGTTATATTAAGGTTGCACTGTAGTTAGTTTTATAAATAGAGCGTGCTTCATTTAAAAACAATTTTATATAAAAATGTAATATCTGTATGTAACTAATTATAACTTATCTTATAATATTTTACAGTATGGTGTTAAAAATATTTGTACTTTAAATTAAAGGCCATCGAAAAGTCGTAACATTTGTATTATGCATTATTATTATGTATTTAGTTAGGCAAGGAAGGGTCGTATTATGGATAATTAAAATAATACTATGTATACACATACATACATAATACAAAACTGGTGAATACTTCACTTGGAGGCACAAAAGATTACTATTTATTAAGCTTTTGATTCTTCATTATGTCTATAATCCATTTTATCTTTATTATATCGAAATGTTTATCTCGTTGTAGGATATATATTTAATCAAATCTACACTATCACTTCTAGGAATATGACACTATAATATACCTGCTTTATCTGTGGTGACGAATTATTTTCCTTTTATATAAGTGCACAGTAGAAACACCACGGCAGCACGCGGTAAAAGATGATAATGTAACGATTAAATATCGAATATTCAAGTGGACAAACAATATCGGTGTGCTATCCAAATTCAATTAAAAACACAAATTAGGGGGAATCAATTGGTTTGCATTAGAAGACCGCTGATCACCCAAATGTTTTTCCATATACCTGTTTTTACAAATGAAAACTCTTATAATTTAGCGAGGATATTATGATTACATTGCCACCTAAAGATCCCTGTTAACGCATTTTTTTATAAATCTAGCGAAGAATTTAAAAACTGTTACTGATCGTTTCAGATACGTCATTTGGACTACCTTGGTATATAATTGTGTACTGGTTCATATATAATGTGACTGTACCTTTAGCCGTGTTCATTACGGTCTTCTATTGGGCATTTTTATCCGGATTAGCAGACTCTGAAGAAGTCGGTAATATTATAATTCCATATCTATTTTTGATTCTAGGATTCATGTTATCCATTACATTATAGATACCCAAGAAGTAGGAGCGTTAGCCTAGTGCCCAGGCACGTTACTTAGGCTGTGGATTCGAACCTATGTGCGCGTTTAATACTTACTTTTACGGACAAGAAAGCATCGAGGGAAAACCCAAAACCCGACGACGTTTAGCACAAAAGGATATACAGAAATCTGAGGCCAAGATTGAGTTATATATATTTACAATAGGATATGTCTATTTCTATTCTTATCGATCGACTATTGATATTCCCTTGAATTAAAAAAACTGTCTTATTACACATTATTTCTAGAAACAATTTATCTCTGACAGTTTGTGTTTACTCTGTTAGTTAAAACAACATATTATTCTGTATAAGTATTAGTCTATTACAAACAGTCTCAAGCGTTATTAAGTTTACAAACCAGTACAAAAATTATAGACTTTACGAAGACAGCTAGAAAAAATTAAACCCCTTTTTTTTCAGCTGGATTAGAATTTGCACCAAACAAAGTGCTGGATATCTTCATCCACGCCATAAACAGTGTGGTGATGTTATTACTACTGCTAACAGCTCGTCATCCCATGTTCTTACTACACTTCTATAATGTGTTTGGCGTTGCCCTGATCTACATGTTCTTCAGTATTATTTACTGGGCAGCCGGCGGCACTGACCAGTAAGTTTTATTAAATTTCATGACTACATGTAATAAATAGCTTTCGGTAGCATAAGTTTGCTCGTATCTAGTATATCTGTCATTCTTAATGTCAGACTTATTATAAAACATGTATGGTTATCATGTAATATCGTAACTATGGTAACACTACTATCATTCTACCGTAATTTTAAAAATTAACTGGGCGAGTGTAACTTTACACATAGTTTAAAATAGAAGTTTAAATCGAAATTTAAATTTCCAATTAAAACTAAGGTAAGGAAATAACATTAAGGTAATCTGTTGGCCAAAGTACAGAATCTTATCTTAATCTTGAATTCATTTTTATTATATGCATGTAACGTCCTTTTATCTTGTATAACAAGACTGGACATTACTCACGAAGAAAATTCATTTCAATAAGAGATTTTTTTACTAAAAATTACACAAGTGCTGAGAGCGGAGTAGCATTAATAATTAATATTAATGGCTGCGGTTATTAATTGTTTTATTTATAGGCTAGCAACCTAAGATAATCACTATTTCGGTGAATATAGAAGCCAGGAGTTAAATGCATTGCCAACCTTTTGATTACGTCGGTGATAACAAAACTTACTATGCGAAAACTTATTGAGTATCACATGTATTCACTTTTTTTTTTTAAATGTGAACACAAAACTTAAACCAGAAATTTCATTAATTTTGATATGAATGCACTGGTGCACTGCATGGCAGTATTTTTTTACTCATATTCGTAAATGTCATAACTTGTAAACTTCTTTTATAACGATCATAATTTTTACATCACTTTTCTGATGTAAAAAGAATGTGTACCTTTTTAAAAATTAAGTATTTTCACAGATTCGGACACACCTTTATCTACCCCATGTTAGACTGGGAGCAGCCGGCTGTGGCATCAATAGCTGTAGTATTATGTGCTGCTCTTATCATAATAGTTCATGTAATCATTACCTTGCTATCTGTAGCAAGGGATGCCCTTGGAAAACGGTATCGAAATGATAATTCTATAGATTTTTCGAGTAATATGTACAGTTAAGAAGTTGAACACTGTATTGAAAGCTAATTCCTACCTAACCTAACATAAGAGATTTTTAATTTATATAACTATAAAATGTTCCTTAAAAAAAGTGTATAAACTGTATGTCTGAATAAATTGTTTGAGATTTATACGTTTATGAATAAGGTAATGGAGCATTTAATTATGAAGTGCCTACTCCTATTCTTCGGCTGCAGCGCTGTACAGTGTACACAGCTTTATAGTGTAAGGGTTTATCAACGTATTGGATTTGACATACGGGATAGTACCAACTAATGGTAGGGGAGCCCACGATGCTAAATGGGGATTTACTCGAGCGTCGTAGAGACCTATTGGGATACAAAGCTTAGATAAAAAGAAGAAAAAAATGTTATATGATAAATTCCTTTTCATCGGTGGGGGAAGCGGCTATAGATAGTTAAATATGTAAAAAAAAACTGTTGCATGGACATCCTCGAGCGCGTCAGATATTGATAGCATCTATGCCCTACGTATTTTTAATAATGTACGTATGTTAATCTGATCGTTTGCATGATGCGGGTGGTTGTATTTAAGGGTTGAAAATTAAAAAAAAAAAAAATTTTTTACGCGCTCGGGAATTTCTGATGGTCAATTTTTTTTTACTAATCTGATCCTGTCTCCTTCACGCGCGGCCTTATATATGGGCCTCATATTTTGTGGAGGTACTTAACCGGGTACAAGGTATCCCCCTATATAGTAATCTGCCGCGCTTTAGTAAATCCCGAAATCCCCTCTTGGGCTCCCCTACCATAAATAACACAAGACATTATGCTACAGTGAAATTAGTCTCGAGAAATTTTTGCATATGTAGTGGTGTGTATATTACTCAGATCTTAGAGCGCGTTTCCACTATATCGTTCTGGCCTATACAAAAATGTTTCGATATCCTAACATTACTATTTAATATTATACTTATCCCTAGCAACACTCTGATTTTTGTTATCAATAAAAACAAGTTTTTATTTAAAAAAAAGGTTTTGACTTTATAAAAAAAGGTGTGTGCGCGATTCACACACGATAGAAGTGAAACTTCAAAGAGGAGAGACCGATATATATTTTTTTTTCCTTTCATCTAGGTTTTTAAAACTCCGGGGGGTCTACGGGGGGTCAAAATTTATTTTTGGCCTAGGACGCACCGTTTCCGAGATATTTCAATCTAAAGCAAAAAATCGTCACTTGATAGTGGAAAGTGGAAACACGCACAAAACCAGAATAAACCAGTTTACGCTGTCCGCAGGTGCCACGTGCAGTCCGGCGTCAGTCGCTTGGTACTGTTAGAACATAAAGCACACATTTCATTCAAAAATTATAATTATTACGTTAATTGTTAAATTTTGTATTTGTTGATTGTTGTTATTGTTTGTTATTATTGTTATAATATTTGTTGAAGTGTTTAATTTGTGTGTAAGTGTTGCAACTTTATATTGTTAATTAAAAATGGCTCCAGTGTTAAAACATGGTCGAGGCAAGCCTTTGACTTCTCAAACTAAAGAAGTTTTGTACTGTTTGTACAAATATTTCGAAAATGAGTGTAATAACAACCCGAGCAGTATTATGACTCCCACTCAATTAGTTGCTAAATCAACGGGAATTTCAATAGCATCCGTCAGAAAGGTAGTATCAGAAAGCAAATGTCGACCTTCAGATCAGGAAGTAACATTTAAATCTCCTAAAAAGAAACCGAATCGTAAACCTACAATAGTAATCGATAACTTTGATCAGCAAGTTATCAGAAGAACAATTCATGACTTCCACATCACAAATAAAGAAATTCCCACTTTGAAAACTTTGCACGCAAAATTAAAAGAAGATATCGATTATAAAGGTTGTGTCAGCACGTTACGAAAACACGTCATGTCATTAGGTTTTAATTGGAAGCAAACAGAAGATAACCGGAAACTTCTTATGGAAAAACACGAAATTAGATACTTGCGAATTAATTATTTGATGAAAATTGCTGAATATCGTGAACAACGCCGACCAATTGTTTACACCGACGAAACATATATACATACATCACATACCCTCTCGAAATCTTGGTCAGATGGAAGCACTTCAGGTTTGAAGCAACATATATCGAAAGGCAACCGCTTAATCATTGTTCATGCCGGTGGTATGGATGGCTTTATACCAAATGCATTGCTTATGTTTAAAGCCAACCAAAAAAGTGGAGATTACCACGACAATATGAACTATGACAACTATTCAAGGTGGATTCAAACTCAATTAATACCCAACTTACAACCAAATAGTGTTGTTGTTGTTGACAACGCACCATATCATAACTCAATACAAAATCCTGCACCGAATAGTAATTCTAGAAAACAGCAAATGATTGACTGGCTGACATTGCGAAACATTGAGCATTCATCCACGTTGCTTAAGCCTCAATTATATGAACTGATTCTGCAAAACAAGGCGAGATTTGTAGAGTACAAGATAGACGAAATATTACGACAGCACGGTCATACTGTGCTGCGTTTACCACCATACCATCCGGAGTTTAATCCTATAGAAAATATATGGGGGATAGTGAAAACATATGTCGCAAAAAAGAATGTCGCAATGAATATGAAGGTTATAATGTCATTAGCTGAAGAAAAAATGAACGCCATAACTGTAGAGGAATGGAGAAAAGTTTGTCTGCATGCTATTGAGGAGGAAAACAAATATCAGGGTAGAGACGCAGCTTTAGACACAATATCAGAACGAATCATAATTAATTTAAATAATTCATCTGATGAAAGCGAGGATGGGGATGATTGTGATATGCCTGGGGTTGATGAATTATTAGAATAAAACATTTATGGCCGGAGAACACCTAATTCATACACGTCTTCACTGAAGTGAAAACCGGCATTCACTGCTTGTAATATTTGGAACTGGCTTATCTGCCTCATACAGTTCCATAGATTACAATGCAGTGGATACACATTTTCACGTCCGTATTAGTACGTAGTGCGTATGCGTAGACGTGTACGCATTTGGTGTGCTCCAGCCACAAACGTATATTACCTTTAAAAAAATAAAAACTAAAAATAAAATGTTGTTTTTTTTTTTATTTGCTGACCATACACTACTACAAACGCAAAAATTTCTCCAAGCTAATTTACCTGTACCATAACGTTTTATGAATAGTTATTAAGAACTGGTATGAAAATAAAACGGTAAATATTTTTGAATTATTTGTAAGCTTTAGTTCATACTTACAATTTAAAATATTACTAGAATTTTGCTTATGTACATTAATATGAACATTGTTATTAATATTGTTACGTGTACTAATAATGATTTTCTCCTTCCTATAAAAATATAGGATAGGTTGAGAATATAGTATTCTCATTTAATTATATAGAATTTAAGTAATGTACTTAATTACGTACTTAAATATATTTTATATTTTTGTTTTTCGTTTGTTTTAATACAAGCTACGATTAAAGCCAATTAAGAGACAATTAAAAGACAATTAAGATTTGGTGATTTAACCAGTGTAGCTAAATAAATGTAGAGACCTAGTCTGCTGCTACTAATCACTATACTACGACGACGTCATACCTTGAAACGTTGAAAAACTAAGTCAGTCCGGCTGCTAAGGATATTAGATACTACTTCTTGACCTAAGCCACTGAGGCTTTCGGGCCAGTCTGTGGTTAAACTGGTTGAGGATCCTTCCGTTAAGTTGGGAGAAGAACGGCCCAACGTTCATCCTCCACAAATATGTGAAAGAAATACATGCCTACCAAAGATTTAAAAGAAGTTTACTAAAATATAAAAGTTACTTGTAATTTCTCGGATTTATGAATTTGACGAGTGTCAATTGCGCTTCCTATAGATTCTATAAATTAAAAATAATAATAATAAATCTGTGGCGCTACAACCCGTTTAAGCCTGAGCCTCAGATTTCTGGATCTGTTTCATGATCATTTATCAATCTAATAGGCAAGTAGGTGCCTGACACACACTGTCGACTTTTTGGGTCTAAAGTAAGCCGGTTTCCTCACGATGTTTTCCTTCACCGTTCAAGCGAATGTTAAATGCGCACATAGAAAGAAAGTAAAGTGCATAGCCGGGGATCGAACCTTCGACATCAGGGATGAAAGTCGCACATTGTAACCACTAGGCCAACACTGCTATAGATTCTATAGTATAGAAAAATCTGCTAGAGCCGCCTTGGATACAGAACCCAAACATTAAATATTAAATCTATGTGGATTAAATTTTCAATTAATATGATACAATCCGACATTAGTAATACTTAGAATCGCTGAATCGAACATTAAATATTTGGCAAGATTACTGTGAATGTGCTATCAGGAGATACGATATCGGTTTTTAACGATAACTTTTTCAGGTTACACAAATAAAATACCTTCAGTTGTAATGTGTCACAGCTATGAGTGCTATTAGGGAGTTCTTTAAGGAGGAGTGCCAACTCCATATGGTTGGTTTAGAATACCAAAAACCTTCTCATTTTTTTCTAAGTGCTTGGCAAAATACGCGATCACCAGTGCCACTTTTAATATGGAGAGTTCTGCTGTTCTTGACTTCTATAGGCATCGTCCTTACTTCGTTTATAACGTATGTTTTAAGTCCCATTTCTATAGGATTCTGGTTCATATATCTGACTCACTGGGGACTAGTTATGATGGTACTCGCAACTGGATTTGGAGTAGGAATCTCAGCTCGTTGTTATTTTTATGGGCCAATTGGTGAGTGCCTTTTTGTTTATAGATTTGTCAATATACTTAAAAAACTGGGTAAAACGATGCAACGTAAACATGCGTCATAATGTATGTAATTATTATGTAAAATATTTCATAGTTTCTTAAGAATTACAATTATAGAATGATTTATCAATATAAAAATGTACTTTCTATAATTTAAATTACTTAGGCCAAAATAAAAAATACTACTTATTATGTAACGGCATTTTATATAATTATGAATATAAATGGTTTTGCTAATACTTTTTTCTTAGGAACTCAATTCTCGCTGCCGTGGTATGTAAAAACCTACTGGATTTTATGTAACATCTCAATACCGCTGGCATTTCTCATCACTGTTTTTTACTGGACCTTACTATATGAAGGTAGTTTACTTTGTATATTAAAATAATTATTGTTCATTATTTATCTGTTTACAAATTCATTTGCATGAACAACCATTTACATATTAATTAGTTTCATGAAATAAACCAAACAATAAGTAAGTTTCATGTTCTCAAACGCTTTATGTTAGGTAGCCAAGAGAATACCTTTTTTCAATATTATTAAACTCAATGTCATGAAAGTTTCGTACGTTTATTATAACTACTATCGGTACAACTTTCAGAGGGTGTAGAAGAGGAAGTGAGTCGAGGTCTCGACATAGCCATACATGGAATTAACTCCCTAGTAATGTTTCTTTTTCTACTCGGCTCGTCACACAAAACTCGAATCGTACACGTAGTGCATCCCATCATCTTCTCCTGCATCTACGTAGTCTTTAATCTCATATACTACATCGCTAATGGAACTAATCCGTAAGTATTCATCAAGTTTTAAGTCAATTAAACGGCCTAAGTTCCTTTTATACAGTGATTTTATTCATTTAATTATGCAACATACGTAATCCTAAAAAAATAATTAAAAAGAAAATTAAAACAAATTTAAAAAAAGTTTGGTCCCTGTGGCAGTGTACCTTAATAACGCTGGCAGCATTTCCTCGCTGTATTGCGTTACTTATTCGTTGAGCCAGGAAAGCACCAGCTCTGGAGTCACCGGTATTATCTACCAGGCGCCAACTTAAATCTTTAATCTTTAAATTAATTCTCGTTTGTTCCAATATTTATCCTGACTAATCAAGACAAAAATAAGAGGGGACGTAAGGTGTTCCCATTGTTAATTGTGACATTTAACGAGAATATTTTAGCAATTCTACCTATACCTATACCTATCTAAAGCGGGAAATTTTGGATAGACGGTGTAGGGATTTATAAGTAATTAAATATGTCGGTGCAATGTCTTTACTGTGAGCGACCATTAACATTATATTTCAGGTTTTATAAATCAATTATAGGTCAAAGCAAATTAGGCCAGCACCGTTAATAGCAGCGCCATTGCTCCGACTTATTGTATATATATATATATATATATATATATATATATTTATATAGTACACATAGTTTATGTACGGTATCTGGGTGACAGGATGCTTTAATATTATTATTAGTGTTAGAAAATATTATTTTCACTCTTTATTAAGCACTCAGTTACAACAAAACAATAAATGCTATTTATGAATTGAAATGATATGACGTGCTTTTAAAATACTGAAGACAGTGTTAGCGTCTGGGTATACTCTCTCGCTGTAACTCCGACGATTTAGGTAATCACCACGCTTATAAAACTAAAAACGCCTCGTTCAGTTTGAATCCATGAAAAGTATAACACCATTTTTCCTATAACTACGGGAACGATGCCGCAGACCATAGCGGAAACCCATAGACTAATCTGATGGTATTTGACGTTGCGCTGCATCTTAAAAATTAAAGCTTGCATTCTTACCACATCAATCCTGCTCCGGACCACGATGACTTCAATTAATCCCAACCAGACGAAACATTGAAATACGTAGCTTAAAAGTACATATATTATACATACATACATAAGTACATATATAATATTTTTAATCTCGATTCGAACATCAACTAATGTTTACCTATTCAGTATTCGCTTTAATGTAGGTCACATGTGTATAATTGATTCACGTGTTTATCCTTTATGAATATTGATCATATAAATATATACTGGGAGATGATTTTTTTGTGATTTCTGTTATCTTTAATTCTTATTTATGAACGCAAACCAATAACTTTGTATTGTTAAGTTGAACTCGTAAGTTAATTAATTAAAAATTTTAATTAATTATATTATTAAGATTAAGGTACTAATGCTAAAATAACTTATATATCATCTACTTGAAATAAGTAAGCGAATACAAATAAATCCATATTTAGTACTATTGTACGAAACAACGATGAAAAATAATTGTTATTGTTAATTGTTAACTTCACCTTATAAAACATAAAAACCACCAATAAATATAAAGAAAAATTAAACTATATTATATAATAAATACAATTCCGCGGTTATGTAATTCAAAGTTAACGCTTGCTACAGGTGCATTTTACCCGTATATTTCGATCTCACTCGATTAAAATTTACGTAATTTTTTATATATTTTCTTTGGCTGCATTTCCGACTATATTGTTATCGAAGGTAACTTGTGTTTAGTTACACATAAGTTACTTCTATCGAACTTATGCGTATATACGTAGATATTGTTATCATTAGCAAAATAGCACTTGTAACTAGTATGATTAACTTCATACTATTTATTTCAGTTAACATTTGTTTCGGTAAACATAATGTATACCTTCAGAAAATTTTATAAAGGTGTCTCATAAGCTTTTGTTCAACGTTATTCATTCGAAGTTTGTCTCTGTCCATTCCCAAAATTTATTCAGTGTTGCACCTGTCGTAGCCATATTGTCATGTAATACATATAATGCCGTCCCTTCAGCTGTATTGAAAGGAATGGCAGAGTTTTGTTAAACTCTAAAAAATTACCTACTAATCGTATCCCACTTTACGTTTGTTTCAGGTTAGGTGACCCATACATATATCCAGTGGTATATTGGGGCAACCCTGGGATTGCGATACTAGTGATATTTATAACACTCTTACTGCTATTTAGCTTGCACTTCGTTACTATTGGATTGGCGGCAGCACGAGACGCCATTGCCAACAAGATTTTGCGACCTTCAGTGACAGTCCACGCTCAGGAGGACATTGGGTTGAGGACCAGAGGAGAATCGACAGTTTAAGCTGTTCTGCTATGCTACGTCCGCTTTTAGTCGAATTTTATGTTTGCACAGATTTAATAAATAATGAAAAATTTCTAGAAAAACATGCATGCAGGGATAAGATAGAATATAGATATAATCCTAAAGATACTTCTACAATTGTATATTTATCTATATTTTGATTTTAGTTTGCTACAAAATAAGCAGTTCTTCAATAGTTTAATTATGACTCAATTATATGTGTAATAAACTTGATTAACAGTAGTAGTAGAAATGTTCCCATCGATTATGTCCCGAATGTTAACTACATTGGTAGATTTTAGAATTTAAATAATATATTATTTATTATTTTATTTATTTATTTATTTACTCCCAATAATACATATACGTAACAAACACACATTTAATTATAATTTAATCCACGGTTTGTTACATACGTTTTGCAATGTTCCGTAGTCATAAATGATTGCGCAAACTCGTCTGTCGAAAGAGACATTCAAAATATCAGTCAGTAGGACAGTGGACATACATTTTCAAATCTAATATAAAATAAAGAAAATACATTTTTTATTATCATCACTTAATGTTTTAGTTTTTATTCTCCATTGTATTATGTTGCTGTTTCATTCTTGACTTTGACATCCAGTCGTAAAATCAAAGAGGCCTTTAAAATCATTATTAAACACATAACAACAATTTAGCAATATCTATGCAAGTAATAAATATATAAAATATTTATATTCATTGCACGAATAACACTTATAATATTATAAGTATTTTGTATATATAAAATTTTACACAATGTCGAATTCTTCAAATACCTCAATATACTCTTTATTTGTGTAAGTATTAATTTTATATTTAATTGTGCTAATACGATTAATAAGGATTATTTTAAATACCTACCTTTACCATTATAAAGATCCAGCTACTTACGTACTACGACTTGGTAGTATTACAACTTGGCCTGCATTTGTTGACATTGAGTCATGAAATCCAGTTCTGATATGCTAAAGAAAGAATTACATAAATGTTTACCAAGAGGGCTGAGTGACTGTGCAACATGCAACCTCCGCGTAATGATCAGACAACCGCGAAACGCTCAACAACGCGACGTGCCTGCCGTATATTTAATAAACCTTCAATAAACGGAAGTTATTAAGATCTCCCAATTTTCTTTAACACAATTTTCTCATATTACACATCAGTATTGACAAGTGATAAATGATATCGCCGATAAGACACTCTAAAATGTATTCGCGTTGTGAAATTATTATCTCACTTGGCCATCATTGAGTTGAGATGAACATTTGAAATGCTATAGTTTTAAAAAGTGAAAATGGTGAAATATTCCAGGAAGAGCTTTTCGCTCTCTAATTTGTGGGTGCTCTCTAATGAGAAATTAAGTGATTTTTACCTCACGTCATGGCAAAAGGGAGAGTCTCCGATACCTATGCTAGTCATGAGGTTCATGCTGGCAGCTGCGGCGGCGGGAATCTTTGCATGGTCTGTCTACTCTGGAGCCAGCCCGTATTGGTTTATATTTCTGACAAACTGGGGAGTGTTATTGGTTTTTCTGATGACACTTAGCGGGCTAAGCGTATCACTCGTCGCTACTTTAAAAAAACTTCCAGGTTTGTTTAAATCTACTTATTTATTACTATAATACGGACACGAAAAAGGCCTACAAAATGTATAGATAATATAACTGCGTATAAATTAAATACTACAATAATATTGTACTGTACGTAACATTAAACGTGAGACGTTTATGGTAGAGTTTGTTTAGTTGAACGCGATAATCTCAGGAACTTGTTTTGATATTTTTTCTTACTTAAGTATCGAATATAATCTTTATTAACTTGTTTCATTTTATCCTAGGAGCACAATCAAAGTTAGTGGATAGTACGTTCTACGTTTAGAAGCCTTTATGTAAAAGTTTTACATATCTATTTAACAAATTTATTTTACATTGTAGTACATCTTTAATTTTGGCCATAACAATCGCGTATCACCGTCAAGGCCAGTTAGCGGGATTTAATATAATAAAGGAGACAGTCTGATTTTATTTAAAGCTTGCAACAGTATATATGTAATTCTAAAACTAATGAATATACATTCATGATGATGAAACCTTACCATCAAAATATAACAAATTATTCAACTATTATTATTATTAGTCATAACAAAAAATTGAAATGTCCATTATTATTTGTTACATTAGGCACTATAAACCACTGTCTGTCTGATTACAGAATTCAAAGTAACGTAAATATATTAAATAAGTAGACTGCGTTAACTAAACGTCAAATTATTTTGTTAACTTATAAAATGTTAAGGTATAATTAATATAATTTTTCCCGGCACATGTATAAAAGATTTTTAAATTACAAATTTAGTTAACAAACATAAGATACAATGAATTTTTGTACAGTCAAAAATACATCAAGAACCGTAACAAATAAAAAAATACGTTTAAAAATCCCACTTGTACCGTCAATTCCTATTTTCTAAATAATTTTATCAGTTTTCCAAAATCCCAAGACCCCAAAACAGTATAAAACCCAGGACGTAATAATTTACCGGTTTTTTTAATGTTTCTGAGAAACCCACTTTTACTTCGCGATAGGAAACATTACGAAACGTTTTACAACGAGCACTACTCGATGACACCCGTAATCGACATAATGTTTACTTGACCTTGTTACCTTGTTATGAAACCATAATGAATGAATAAAAGATATTAATGAATAAGTATTTGTTGTGAATTCGTTTTTGTAACAGCGTCGAGATTATTGTCAACAGCTTCGACTGCACAAAAAAAATAGGAAACTGAAAACCGATAACGCGGTAAAGTTGTCTGTTCGCGGTATAGGCTTTTAAAGCTTATGTTACGTGGGTTTTAAACTTGTTCACAGTGTAAACACCCTTTATCCAGCCTTTCAGCTTCCCCCACTGCGGGATTTCAACTGATATTGCTTATTACTATGCGACGAAGGCGTCATAGATTGCGTGATAGTCGCAGCCTCGGAACCACGAACATGGACCCATAATTACCAGTCTTTGTGTGATGAAATACTGCGTAGCTTCGTTTATACTGACGATATTTTTTTCATATATTCCATGCCACATTAGTATTTTGATAAAATAAAACTATAATAATATTTAGCTTTATATTCGATTTGAAATAAACCTAAATAATAAAACTCAGATATTAAACGTACCTACACATTATTATTTTTATAGTAACAATAAAGCTATTACTTTAGTGACTCGAAAAAGCTCAAGCATTCGATGCGTCGAGTAACTAAGTAACGATATTTGTGTTTATATCTGTTAAAGAAGTTTTATTTAATTGTGTAGTAGTCGCTAACCAACATTCATTGACATCAAACGATACGAAGAAATAATAAGTAGGTTTCGGTTTTCAGATATCAGCGAAGGAAACCTACCATGGTATGTGAGTACTTACTGGCTCACTTACAACATCGCACTCATCATCTCGTTAATCATAACAGGACTTTACTGGATCCTTCTTTATAATCCAGGTAAACATAATGTGAACAAAGGATTCATTTGGCAAAAAACAACAATAAACAAACATTAAATTTATTGAAAATTTGTTATCCTGAGCTACCAAGTTTTAAACAATTATGAATTAAACATTATACGTCTTAACAATATTGTGGCCATGGAGGCTGCTAGGCACTAAACGTTATGTATGATTATTACCTCATACAATTATATCAAGCTCATAAACAATCGATTTCAATCGTTTCATAGAAAAATTATTTTCAATATCAAAAAGGTTGTTGGAATTCTGAATAACCAACGGAAGACATTTTAAAGTTAAAGTTAAAACTAATCGTAATTTTGTTTTTATCAGAAAAGGATGAAGAACTTGATAAAAGCTTCTGGCTCGATCTATCAACACATGGGTTCAACTCCTGCATAGTGTTTAGCGAATTCCTACTTTCAAGGACACCTCTTAGATTCGTACACATATATCAACCCATAGCTGTAGGGCTATGGTATTCGATATTTTCCGGCATTTACTATGCTGCTGGAGGTACAGACAGGTGAGTATTAATATTCACATTATATATTCAACTTGGCGTTGGATAATTATTTGAATGACCTCGGAAATGCCCACAATAATCTTAAATCACTGCATATTACAGTGGGTGGCAATCTTCTGGGTAGGTCCCAGGGTCTGTAGTATAGAAGCGTCTATAGTGTAGCGGTGTTGTAGTGGTTTCAGCGTGCGTCTCTCTTCCCTGATCGTAGGTACGATCCCCGGCTGTGCACCAATGGACATTATGTCTGCAATAGCACTCGCTTGACCTTTGCCTATTAGAAAGACCAAATGATCACGAAACAGATACAAAAATCTGAGCCTCAGCTCATAAAGGTATCGCCACTGGTTTTTAAATTCTATGGTAACATTTTTATTTTAATACAAATTAACGAAAGAATTAACCTATGAGTATTCCATCCATTGTAATGCGAAGGTTGCCCTTGTTTTCTTCATCGTACGTATTCGCATAAATTGTGATGATCAACTGCCACGTATTTAATGTAAAAAATTGTTTAATTTGCGTTAATTATTTATTTAACCCTAATTAAACGAACGTAACAAAATATTGTACATATTAGATTAAAATAATAAAATATGTTAATGATGCGAATGGTCGGATATTGCTATAACATTGCTTTTATACAAGCACTTTTCAGTTGAAAAGAGTAGGTATAAAGGAGTAACTTCTACTTGCCGTTAGCATTCTTATATATGTTGCATTAGTATTACTAATTATTACTAATCTTTTAATTAAAAGGTATTTATGACATTTAATGATAAACTTGACGTTAACAATCACTAGTTGTGTTGTGTACAGTGTAATGAACGTGAGTAAATCATGCTCATAGTATTGTCTTTGATTAACATAACTTTTATTCATTTAATAAAACACTATTTTGACCGGATTGAAGTTATGTATTATTATAAATTTAATTTAATAATTATGTTAAATAGTTGTAAATTTATAATAATACATAACTTCAATCCGGTCAAAATAGTGTTTTATTAAATCATGCTCAATTCGATTATTTTGCTCAACGTTAACAAACGTTATATAGGCTATATGTATAATGTCAGTTTTTTTAAAGAAAAATACGACTCGTTTCTGGCTGAATCAAGGGAAATTTTGAGTTGTGTATTGCAAACTGTTTGTAAAACTTCCCCTCGTTAATTATTGTATTTATAACTTTCAGCCTTGGCAATCCATTCATATATGAAATATTGGATTGGCGACAAACACACCGATCCTTGGCTTTGGTTGCTGCAGCGCTGGCAGCGCTAATCGTTCTTTACGCCGCGATGTGGGTTCTAACTATATGCAGAGACAAGATTTCCGTAGCTATCATAAGGACCACCAGTCTAGACCTACCGTTTACACCGCCTGATCGAGTTTCTGGTGCCGTATAGTTTAAGAATCTGTTTTAGGTTTATTTTCTGTTTAAGTAAGGTAAGGTTAACTTACTGATTGGTAATTTATTACTTGTAAGTACTTATTCCTCGCAGAAAAACAAACAATTTTTTATTTTGTGGGAAATGACATAATAATAATGATTTAGTTATATAAGGTTTATAGATTTACTGTTTTACGCTAGTAATATTAAACATTACCAATGTTTATAAACTTTGCTCAACGACCTGATGTTTTTGTAATGAACTAAGCAATACAGGTATTGTGTAAGAGGCTGATGTCATTATAATGTATAAATTTTCAGTATATATTTTAACTATGAATATGTAAATAATGATTACTTCTGAAAAAGTATACAGTTACGAGTGCACAGAGTATGGGGCAGAGGGCGTCCATCGCGTTCGGTCTTGAGCCTCGTATTTCACCTCGCTCCAAGTCTTTCTGGCTCTCATTGCCTCGTCTGCAACTGTACGACGCCAGGTTTGCTTGGGACGGCCACTCTTCCACTTTCTTTGCGGGTTCCAATCAAGCGCATGATTGGGATTCCTTTGGAGTCCTATCCAATTCCATTTGCGTCGGTTGATTTGCTGGCTGATCGGGGTTTCTCGGCCGCGCTCATTTTAGATGTTTCTTAAGTATTGCATTAAATTAAACTAGCAACATTTAAACCACGAGTGATCAAAAATATAAATTTTCATACAACACTTTAAACACTCTCATTAATTATTCTGGGTTCTCATTAATTATGCTGAGTGTCAATCAAGTTATCTAAATAGGACGATTTGTGACAGCAACCTTCATTCAATTTCCTTTTAAGTAAGAAATTGGTAAAATGATAAGAGGTTTAACAAACGTTTTGTGAGAAAACTCTGGGCATATTTATTATTATTTCAGGACAGTGAAGCAACAGTCTGCGGCGACCATGATCATAGGTCGCTCTATAATAATGTTTTGAATTAGTTCCCGGACAGTCACCTGCGAAGATTTTTTAAAAGTTATTCTTACTAAAAGTCCTCGCAAAATCTGGCTAAGTTAAGAGACCAATACATAACAGTTGATCTTGATCTTTACAAGTCCAAAAACTCTCTGAGAGTATGAATTAATAAAAAGCCTCATTGTTTATATAAATTCTTTGATACGCAAAGTAAAAAAAATATAATGGTCCAACGTAATTGTTAATCGTTTGGTTTATGTATATATTATATTAGTATAATAAAAAGTTGTAGTTTTACATGAACAATATTTAAATAATAGATTCGCTGCAAAATTTGAATAACTTGTTTTAACTGTCATCATTTATATATCTGTGCCGCGTTGCCTGCCACTGTTTGACGAGTGTTATAAATAATGATCACGCATTATAAGAAGCTATATTTTTTTTTCATAGATGTTGAAACTATTTGGTGCCTATTAAGGCAAGGGCACTTCTATGATTTTAATCTCTGGTACCATAAGATTTAATAAAAGTGTGCGTTTCATTCAGTTAATGTACTTAATTAGGTATTAAAAGTCATAATTATAGAATATATGTAATAAGTGATGTACAAAGTACGATTTTTGTATATTAAAGACACTTGTAGCTGTTTTTGTGCATTTTATTTCGAATTCTTAATTACAAACTATAAACGGGTTAGTAAAAAAAATATGTATTTTTACAACATTTATTTATAGCAAACTCGCATAAACACAAAGCAACCAATTAATACAAAATAAATAACAAGACTATAATATGATATGTGACTAAGAAATAACAAGACTTAACGTCTGTACTGTGCGAAAATACAACTCAAAAACAAATTTGTATATAATAACAACCTAATGTGTAAAATTTATAAATATAATTTTGAATTTAGAATGCTCTGCTCCGGATTTTTCCACGACTCTTGAATCAAATATGGTAAATTAATTGCCTCTATTAATTTTCGTCAAAACAATGCCTGTTCGCCGAAAGACCAAAAAATAACTTTGTTTTATTAGAAAATTGCTTTTATTTGTATGTTTTATTAATATTTTATATACACTTTTCAACAATATGAATAAGTAATACGAATCCGCAACAGAACATTAAAATACCAATATAAAAAGTAACAAAAGTATTTTGGACAACAGTCTCAAAAAATAAGCCATCTTATATTCAAGTCAACATTTCCAAAAATATATATTTCCTTATCTTCTAATGTAATGTAATGTAGCTAAGTATTAATTATAGTATGTATAACATCGATTGCGAGAAATTACCAACGTTTAAAGTTACCTTTGTACCTAGAAGACTAGTAGGTCCATCCATTGGTAAAAACTCTTATTAATTGACTTAATTAAAATGTATCCTATACAAAATACGACGTTTATACTAAAATTATTTTAAAAATCACGACACAGATTATTTTAATGAACTAACATAAAAGTTAAAAAAGGCTATAAAAAATCATTCATTCGACAACCATAGGTAAAAATTACCCCATCAGTCTCAATACTGTACGTTTTCACCTAACGTTATATTGCACTTAAGGTAAATTATTCCTTAAACCAGCAAAACTTAGACTTAACATTGTACATACTTTCAAACATTTACAATGTTAAAATTACAGAGATCGGTTATTGGCTCAATTACGACTTTATCTAAAAATATTTATTGAGCAAAGCATCTCCTTATTAAAATCCTATACTAACGTTTTAACCATCTTAGAGTTAGCTGAAGTTAGTCACAAGTGATGTTTTATACCACCAACGTACCCTGAATTTGATTAAATCGCATTATTACGAATATCCGAGCCATCATAAAGTTTGTGTGAGATATTCCTCCGTATTACCCATTTATTGTTCAATTCACCCACCAAACTGAAATATTTTTACGTACTGGTCATTCCAGTCGCTATGGAAACCAATAAATTATTCTATGTAATTTACTTGTAATTAGGAAAAACAACTAACCCGAAAATGGAAAGGGCCCTATATTTACCACAAAAATATTTGAATAAAAAAAAATAACTCTAATATTGCACGCCAAAAATAGATTTAAAATATAATTTTGCACCGAGTTTAGTTAATTATTCAACACCTATCTAGAGTTTCGCTGGTCCAAATATGGCAAAGAATTAAGCCTTAAGCTAAGATTTAGAGTCAAGTGGCTCGATTCTCCTAATTTGATTTGAAAATTTAACAGTTATAACAAAAACAGTTCATATACGTAAAATAAAAATAAAAATTTATACATTTTCCTATCTCTGAATCCAAGTATCGGCCTCAAGTTTAAATGCGAGCCAGTTTTTCATACTGTCCAAACCTTTGATTATTTAACGGCGTTTGTACTTAAATTTATCTCTTAATCTGGCCTTGTAGCTTATCAAATCTTTTCGTTTCATTGGTCGTACTTTACACATCTAGGTAACACCTTCAAATTTCTTAAATAACACCCTTTTAAGCTGTTGTATCAACTACTGAACTGCCTTCAATTATTATTGTAACTGTGCGTGTGAACAAAAAGTAAAACAAAAGAGAATCTGTGCATCTAAGCACGTGCAGGAAATTGCGATTTTTTGTAATACAATCTAGTTGAGAAACAATGAACCCGTTGCAGTCTCAAGTTGTGAATGTTTTTGAATTAAAACCAAGACAAAGGAAAAAAAACCTCAGCACTAATAGCGTTTATAATAGAGGTCCTAAGAACAAGTCCTAGCCTTGACAAAAAAATATCTGTGATGTTACAAATGGCTATCTGTTTGTAGCTAGTATTTTCATTTACCTCAAAACAAATACCAAATCCATTAATCTTATACTAAATCTATGTTTTTATATGATACGAAAAACATCAAGGATAACTAGGCAACTAAAATTAAGGTAATAAATATAATATATTAAAAAAACAATGACGAGTTCGGGCACAAAAACAATTCGTTAAACAATGCACGGAATTTCAAACACTGCCCTCTTCTGTCAAGAAAATTAATTAATATAAATGTATCCGACACGCTGTGTAATGGTTATCCTACAAACCTTACAAGGGATTATCTCCATATCAATTCAAAACAATCCATGAGATCTTACTATACTCTGACTTCCTAATTAGCACTATCTTTCTCTTCGTACCTAAACGTATCATAAAACTTCTTCACACACAACATCGCAAATAAATTTTGAGCACCCTTTTAGTATTAAGATTATAATTCTTGCCCCTTGCTGACAATCGTCCGTTAACAAAAATATGGTAATAATATCTCCATACTCTAGAGGTGCCGAGCGATAGAGACGCAATACCAGTACTCGTACATCGTAACGTACTTCCAATATTTAACGTAATAATTCGCATTCAATACCTCCGTTCCGTACCTTTATTGTACAATAACTGTAAACAGACGACGATATGTTAAGTTAAGTATTGCTTAGCAATCGTTTTTCATTTCCATAAGGAATTAATAATTTTCAGTTATAAATAGGTGGCCTTTTCAACACCTTCACGTGTTACTCTTAATCATTTTTCTACCACCAACCATTTCCTAACGTTATTTGAAATTTTTGGAGAAAATTATTAAATTATTAAAAAAAATCGCTAACTGTATGGTTAACTATCAGCGTCTTTTTCCAATTGTTGCAAATACCCCAGACCCACAATGCCGATTATGAATTTTACGAATGTTTAACTTCATTATTCAAAGTAAAAGAGTAAGGGCACTGTAACCGGGACGTGAGACAGCTAACATTATTTAGAGACAAAGTCGATATGGGAATTATAACTTCGGTAATTTTTTGCAAGATTTCCCCCGAACTTAGATAGTAGTGACCTCTCGCGAAGTTAGCCCTTATTAGGTATTAATATCAAGTAATGTTGACTATTTGGCATCTTTATCGCATCCTGAACCTGAATCAACTAGATGAAAGTATTGGTTTTAAAATCTAGCTTTTGTTCCATACATGTAAACTTATTCCTAATAATAGATACGAATTTTAGTATTAAAAGCTCTCATGTGAGTTCTTCACCACTTAAAAGCAAAACTCTGAAGGAAGACTCGTCCACTGCATCTGTATATAGCTCCTCCTGTATCAATGCGTTTTAAAATATTAATAAAATATAAAAGCCGCGATTACTCCACACACATATTGTGTAATATTTTATTCGGGTATATATTAATGTATCCCATCCAAAAGTCTATCCATAGAAAAAGGTCTGTCTATTTGACTAAGAATAGCGGACATAATATATCGACGGGACTTGACACACAAGGTTTTTCGACACAAAAAATTCAAACTCAGTAGAAAACTATATTCTTTGATTTATCTTATTATGTAAAGCACGCAACAGGTCGATGCATTTTTAAAATACGTACTATGTTATACAACTGTTGCATAATGAGGGTTAAAACGCGTATGAGATTTAAATAGAATACAAGTGCGCTTTAATTATGCTTTTTCTACACCTTCTTAAACATTGTGAGTTACCTCATATACTTAAGCGCAAAGCAAATAGGCTAAAAATTGTGCCTCGGTTGAAAAATATAATAGGAATGACATTAGACATTCGTAATTCAAATATACCTGAGTAAATATTTTTTACGGTTTCCTTTCAAGAATCTAGGCAGCGCTATTGTATATCTTGCACTGTTTAAACTACCAATTGTAATTACGTAATTAGCAAAAATATATAATACAAGTATTTAATTGTACATTTAAGTTCATTTTAGACGTTGATATACGTCGTAATTGAAATAGTCCAAGCAATAGAAGAAAATAACTAAATTCAGTTGATCACTGACCTGAGCAAGATGCACGGAAGGTGCGTCCAACATGAGTTCCGAATCCAGAACACGCTCGGACACACTTGCACGTACTGCACTGCACATCTGTCTGCAATACGAAAAGTCAATCAACAAATCGTTTTTCTTCAAAGACCAAGATTTTAAATGGAAATAATAAAAAACATGACTACTTTGAACCTATACTAAACTCAGGGAATCAATTCAGCTAGAGCTATTTAATACATTTTCTATTTTTTATTATATTCCAATAAAGATTCTTAAAAATTTTCTTAGTTACCGAGATCTCAGTTTTCAATATCAACAAAATTGTTACCATCTTCAATAACGATTCAATTTTATTAACAAAAACAGCAACTAAGTCGTCATTTTTATTAAAAATGTTTGTTGATAGCGATTTTGTAAGAAAAATTACTTACTCGCTATCATCATTGTGGAAGACACTGCCATGAAGGAAAAGATCGCTTCGCACAGTGAACACATTACTTTCTGATCCTTCTAACTGCTCTACCTATAAACACAAATATTAGCTTTGCTAAAAACAATATTTACATAAATTCTATTGAAGCATTCTATTGGTAGGTCCAATTAGAAATATTCGCTGGCGAAAATTTGCGAAGTTTTTAACAAAAATCCCTTTATTTTAATTGATAGAAAACCATAATTATACACATAAACTTCTCAGGAATCACTCTATCTCTCGTCTCCCTAAAGTCATAGGTTCGAACCCCGGCATCCGTGGACTTTTCTCCCAGTGTGCGCATTTAACACTCGCTTGTACTTTGAAAGCAAACATCGTGAGAAAGCCACCATGCTTTAGGCACAAAAATCGAAGGCGTGTGTCAGGCACAGAAGACTGATCACTTAATTGCCTATTAAAAAAATATATCACGAAACCAACAAATATCTGAGACTAAATGTCCTATTGCAACCTTTTTTTCTGGTTTATTTATTTGATACACTATGTACATATTTTTAAGTCGAGTTATTATCAGGTAACATGAAGGTAAAATGGATTTTTAATAATGGATGGGAATTTATAATATAGATAATAAATACCTGAACATCATCTTCTAAGACATAATCATCGGAATTGTAGTCCGCCTTCCGCAAAGGCCACGTGCAATGCGTACGCGCCGCATGATCATCCTTTACCTCCTCCCCAGTTATTACTAAATCATCAGGACCGGACGTCAACACGAAATTTCTTTCTTCTTCAAATTGCGATGTAATCACTAAGTCTTCTCCCTCTTCTCTGGCCTGAATCACGAAATCCTCTGTAGTTGTTATCACAAACTCTCTGTCGCCGTGACTGATCACCAGATCTTTCCCCTCCTCCGGATACGTCACAAAGTCTTCACAACTTCCCGGACCCAAGAGGGAATCCTTCACTTCCCCAGACTTTGGCGGGCCGTCCAAACTAACCATCCTCATATCATTCATGTCGGGTAACGCAACAGACTGTTCGTCCAACAATTTAATTTGATTTCCTTCCCAAAGTTCAACCTGGAATTAATTAATAATATAATAATTTTTATTAATCAGACAAATACAGTCCATTGATTGATTAGTGAGTTAGTAACAATAGTTTCTTAAGATCTATGTTAGAGAATTAGTAAAAATAAGGAAAAAGTAGTTAAATAAAAACTATCAGGTACAAAGCCCTGCGGAGATGTCGGAGCAGTGTCGTAAAAAGGGGCACTCAATTCTTTCGACTATCATCCGTAAGATGTTGCTGATTAATGGTTCAATAGTGTGGCGTTCCATCTTAGAATAATGAATTGGGATTAATTGGGTTACCATGAATTTTTGTCCAGTTTTTTTTAAAAGACGCTCTGGGTCACTTTCTGCATTACATGTATTTTGTTTTCTTTTTACTTTTGCCTGAAATATAATTATTTGACATCAATAGAATAATTAAGGAAAAAGATCATGTCATGGATTTGAATAAATACCGTGGATTTATCAGACTTCTTCATTGGTTTGTGTTTCTTTGCTTTGTTTATGTCACATGTGTCATTATCTTGTACTGCAATAGATGTGTCTTCTGAAATTAAAAAAGTTTTGTATAAGAAAAACCATCTTATTGTTCTTGAAAAATTATATACCAATAAATAATAAATACCAACACTAGCCTTGCAACCAAACAAGGTTCCAGCCCTCAAAAAAGATTGTGGTTTAGGAAAAATTAATTAATTAAAACTAGTCAAGGATGGGGTTGACCACGATAAATATTTCCATACATGTGAACATCATTAGGTATGTATGTATACCATAACTGAAGGGTATGAGACCATTTGGATAACATAAAAATCATAATAGAAATTAAAAAAGTTTTGTATAAGAAAACCATCTTATTGTTCTTGAAAAATTGCAATATATATACCAACACTAGCCTTGCAACCAAACAAGGTTCCAGCCCTCAAAAAAGATTGTGGTTTAGGAAAAATTAATTAATTAAAACTAGTCAAGGATGGGGTTGACCACGATAAATATTTCCATACATGTGAACATCATTAGGTATGTATGTATACCATAACTGAAGGGTATGAGACCATTTGGATAACATAAAAATCATAATTAGTTTAAAAATGTACTTTTAATATTGTTTTATATCTTGTAAATGGTGAGTATTGTGCAAAAGGGGTCCATTTCCACAGGCGACTAACACATTGTTACTAACGTTTAGCTATATGTAAATATTAACAACAATTGAAATGGTACTTAAGGGTATGGAAATAAAAAGGTTTTATTATTATTTTGTAAATTTTGCGAAAAAGCTCTTCGTGCCCACAAATCCGGATCTGCGCTTGTTCGCAACACACACAATTTCATGATAGCCATCTTGATACATAACATTATTTTAATTTTTAATAAATATTCTTTCTATAAGTCAACGATTATAAAATCAGTTCACCTTTTTTAAGGTATACCTTACATAAATATAACGAAATAAGGTCTTTTAAAATATTTGGTGTTTACCTAATGTGTGATGCCTAGCCTCGTGGTCGCGCAAGTGTTCGCGCCGCAGAAACGCTCGGCCGCATTGCACGCACGTATGACGACGGTCGCCTGTATGACGCCGCGAGTGACGTAGTAGCTTGCTCGCGGTGCGAAACGACCAGCCGCAATTCTATCAAATCATAATAACTTGCAACTAAAACCTCAGTTCAGTTATTTAATGTATTGAGCAACTTGTAATAGCAAAGTGCTACAAGTGCGAAAGATAACATATCAAATCTTAACTATGCCGTACCAACACTAAACTTGTTCTGCGCATGTGAGCGTACGAACCGCTAGAGAGAGAGAAAGACGTACTTTTTCATCAGTTCTATAAACATACACATTTACTTACACATAATTTTCATTCTTATTATTTGCAAAGTGCCGCGAGAGTTACTACAATACATGCAATAGCAATTGGAGACATAAGCGGGCCATAGACGGACCGCATGTTGCAGTCAAGACCGACTGCAAAATGCTGTTTGCTCAGGAACTGCTCGAGCGGTCCGTGTATTGCGAATATGAATTTAGTATGGAAACTGCAGATCGCCGTGCGGCGACCCGTTAGAGTAGTCGGTATCGGCTGCAACATGCGGTCCGTCTATGGCCCGCTATAGAGTTCGTTTATCTTTACGGAGTTTATGATTGAAGCATGTAGGTCCAGACGTAACAGCAAACAAGAAAATTGTTAAAATAAATACATGTTCTTTTGAATTCCACCAATAAGGCGTCACAACTCATAAATAAGATAGCAATTAACTGAAAGTAATTCACACATACCGGGTAAGTGCAATGGTAGGGTTTGGCTCCAGTGTGCGCTCGGCTATGTTCGCGCAGGCGACAAGCGTGTCGGAACACACGCCCACACTCTGGCCAAGGGCACGCAAAAGACGCACGCTCAACGTGCGAACGCTTGTGCGCACGTAGGCCAGATGCCCAAAAGAAACGACGCTCGCAAACGTCACATCTATCATTAAAAAAACTTTCTATTAATTATTAAAATATTTAGTATAATTATTAGGAATGTGTTACTTGTTAATACTAAGCTAACAATTGAGATAAATTTTATACGAGGATTGTAAGCCTAGTCTTCCCTCAATACCTAAACTAGTAATGATTTAGTGCATCCTACTTTCACTCTAAAAAATTCTACATGTGTTAAGTGTTCTTTATGTTTTATATTCTTCTTTACTCCTAGGAAAAAGTAAAGCTTTACATTACTTTTTTTTTGATTGTGAATGGTGGTTAATATTCCTGCCATTAGCAATACTTGGTTCAACCACACCATAACTGTCAAAAATATTTTTATGTATGAGTACCTATATTATATATTTAACTTTATAAACACCATTTCAGTATACTTACTTAAATGCTGCATCGTCTAGTGAGTGGTCTTCATTTATATGTTTAATAAGCTCTTCTTTCACTAAAAACAATTCTTGACAGGTTACTTCTAATTTACTTGAATTTTTAACAGGACATTCAAAAACACTTGGTCGTGCAATCCTGCATACTTTATTATGAGTATTCTTATGTTTGAATAACTTTTCTTCACTTAAAAATACCTTTACGCAATCTCCCACATCACACTGAAATAAATTTATGGTGCATTCAGATCTCAGCAAATTATAAAACTAAATGTTCAGATCCAAATAAGTTTGCTACATAAATAATATTTTAAGTAAATAACTAATCACTTTCACTTACAGTTTGTAAACATAAGACTATGTAGGGCTCATTCTCCATAAAACCAAATTATGTTGTCATAAAGATATTTTAATTTTCTGAGCTTTTAGGATAGAGAAATAAGTTAATCCATATTGCAAATTAACACTTTACAAAACTAGTATTAGTAATAGTTTATGTTATCCATACCTTGTATTTAGTTCTACTTTGGGAAATGCCATCAATAGAAAACCTCATATTTTCATTATCTGAATGGACTGTTTCTGTCCTTTCGTTAAATGTCTGCGGAATAATGGAGCTAAAATTTATCTTCTCTGAAGAACAAAATTCTTTCAGATGCCTACCTAAAATAAAATTTGTTATCTCTACAATGGATATTTGACTAAGAATAAATATAATGTAAATTGAAAAATTCTTACAGTTTCCAACAATAAATGGGTTTGAATCATCAATAAATGCCAAGCACACTTTATCATGTGAGCTATCAGCATTTTGTTTATTTTTCTTAAAGGGTATATTCTGAAAACAGAATTTCAGTAAAAAACAAGAAAATAATAATAATTTGCATAAAATTAAACTCTTTACCTGCCCTTCGGAATGTCTAATCAGAAAAGAGTCAATGTTCAACGAGGGCTGAATATCAGTTATATCTAAAATATGAAAAAAACAAATATTAAAATACTATTTATTTTAAATTAAACTACAAAAATTAATGGGTTGGGTTTGAAACCAGTTGCTTTAGCTTTAAGAAGGGTAATTCAAAAACACAATTCATACAAAAAAGCAAACCATCTTGATCACATTGCCTTTTTCTGTCTCTAAAACTTACCACTTCCTAAATCAGATAGACCAAATATACTTCCAAAACTCAAATTATAATCAGGAATTTGTTTAAAGTTAGTTTACAGTGAAAGATATTTTTTTTAACTCGAAGACCATCCCAAAAGATACAACTAATAAAGCTGCCAAATTAGTATTAATCAATTAGTTGTTTTAAAAAAATGAGCATACCTGAATGAATAGGAATCAAACAAGTTTGTTTAGGTTCTACTTCTGAGAGATCAAAGCTTTTAATTTTGACATCATTGACTTCACTCGAGGTTTTCATATTGTGGCCTTCTTTTGACCCATTTTTTGGGTCAGTTTCTAGCAATAAACTTGCGTCGACATGCTTTTCTCTAATTAACTCAAGGTCCTTGTTGATTGATTTAAAAGTCTTGGGGTTTCTACGTAATATGTTTGGCTTTTGTAGTCTTTTCTTTTTACTTTTTTCTTGACACAGGAACATTATAATACCTTCATTTAGCCGACGAAGAGTAATAAATGTACGCTGAAACTACATTTAATATGCTTATAGCTTGCGTTTATGTAGTTAAGATATTAGGTATGTATTAATTCGATTTATACAATAATTAGATATACTAAATTTTTATGTTATCATTCGCTTTTGACATATCATTATAACGTTTACCTTCTTTCTGTTACATTTATCACAATTTACAACAATGTATTGTGATTTATAAGATTCACAACAGACAAAAGATATTTTTTTTAACAGGTTTTCACTCGTGGTATAAAAATTACGATGAATATAACACACAAATTTTACAATTTTAAAAAATAAATTTAGTAATGAACTACAGATAACAAGCAGTGGTTTAATTAATAAATATTTTTATTTGCAAGGACTTTCAATATAGTTTCTACAGACTAGAGGAAGACTATATACATTTAAATTTTGAATAAAGAGTGTAAATTATTGGTCGTCACGAATTGTAATTTTCATAGAAATTAAGTTTTCGACTTTCTACATACACTACTGTTAATCGTTAAGACATCTTGAATAGAATATACAGACGCCACATACAGTCAAATAATTTGAAATTAAATTGGAAGTCATTAGCAATTAAGTGAGATTCAACTCCTAAACTAAAACAACAATAAATATAAATCGTCCAGCCAATGCATATGTAAAGGTTTTTGTTCAAAATGATTGAAATTTTGTTTCAAATACTTTGTTCTTCGCTTAAATTTCACAATTTGCATTATAGCTGTGGCAGCCAACTAGCAGCAGCTCCATAAGCCATTCAATTAACAGCCTAGCCTTTCAACTAAACATCGCTGTTTAACTAGCGGCCTGAAAAATATGCTGCCGTAGCGTATTGTAGTATTATTTAAAAAATAAATTGCATCATTAATCCGCAGTGTTGCCACCTTCGCCCTTTTCGGGCTAGATCTAGCAATTTTCACTGTAGGTGAACTCGTTTTTTCATGATTTAACATGAAAACTTCGCACCACGATTACCAAGTTATGAAACAATTTTCGTCAGTCAAACTTTATAATCACTCACTCGTTATATTTTTACTTTTTCTATGGCAACATTGGTAACCCTACCTACTAATCATTCTGCTTCTTTACTGGGGAAGCCCCCAAGTTTTGAAGTATAGCCCGTGTAATTTAGGATGTAGGCTATGTTCACATGTAACGCGCGTCAACGCGCGATCAAATTTGAAGAGCGTTCAGATGATGAGCGCTAACGCGCGTTGCGAGAGTACTCGTCAGTCTAGTTCGGTAGAACGTAGAAAATGGACGTGGAAGAGGCTATTATTTTGTGGTTATATTATAAAGAAAAATATACAAAAAGAAAACGTACACATTGGGTTCATCCAATTTTGAAAAAAAAATACAAATTATATTATATTTTTTATACAAATTTGCTATATTCCAACTTGCTGGCCTTTTTTCTACTTCATCGATTAGTAAGTCGATGTCAATATTTTCAATTTCACTCATTTTAAATCCGAGAACAAAATATAATTACGAAAATTAACAAAATTACATGCGATCGCGATGAAAGCGCGCGCTCATGTGAACAGCAAACGGACATTACATTAATATCAAAGCGCGCGTCAACGCGCGATCACCTGCGTCTAGAGACTTTTTCTCTGAGCGCCGCGTTGACGCGCGTTAACGCGCGTACATGTGAACAGTTGTATGAAAATACCATAATCTCTAGTCGCGCTATTTGAAAACGCGCGTCAAGTTTTTGCCATCTGAACATAGCCGTAGTCGGGCAAATTTAGATTTTTTTGCTTTGTGGCGTAATGGACTAACGAAAAATCTTTATTCATATTTTGATTTAAATTTATGTTCATTTGATACAATAAATATTGATAAATGTACTGTTCAGTTTTTTGAAAATTAAATCAAGATATCGCACAATAATCAAGTTTTAGTAAAACAGTACGCATAAAATGGTCCGTTACGTCACTATATTCAAGTAGCTGTAATTCTAAAACTATGTGGTTATTACAGTAAATATAACCTAATAGAGCAAGATCCCAGGGCCGCCAGACGTCACGTATTTTCTGACGGATGAAATGTGGACGATTGGGTAGTGTTAGTATGTACTATGATCGTATGCCTACCTGCTAGCTTGGTCAAACGGCCAATTTCCAGGTATCAGGTAATCAAGGTACACAAAAACATTACTTACTTCACGTAAATTCTCATGGCTGATTTTTATATATGTTTTCGAGTGTATAGTTAAAAATAAATTGTCAATACTCCCAGACACTTTCCGTCGGCCATATTGCTTAACAGACGCTTTAAGGGTCTCAAAATAATTAGTCAACTTCACGTAAATTCTGACGCTCCATTTTTATATATGTTCATCCGACAACTATTTTAAAAGCTTTGACAAGAAGACAGACCGATCCAAGGGGCCAATCATCCCCTAGACTAAATTTTAATATCTCTATGAGTGAGAGAGCATTATCTACGCGCATGAGACTGAGTGAGACCGACTGCGCTGTTAAAGCCATGAAAATTACATGAACAGATATTTTATAATTTTTAGAACTGTTGTTGACAAGTAAATTATAGCAACAAAAATAAGAAAAAAATTTACACATAATAAATAATACTAAAGTTAGCCGACATTTTTTTTTTTTTTTTTCAATTTATTAATTAGAACTAAAAAATATTTTTTAAAAATACCACTTATATTTAAATAGCAGCAATTTTTTTAATTAATTATTTATTGGAAATTTGGAAATAAAGTGGAAAATATTAATTCTTCAATATTTCTTAACAGTGGCTTTTAATCTTCATTATCATCATCATCAAATATCAATCTTGAAATTGAATATCTAAATCGTGATCGTCATCATCAGCATTATCCTTATTTTCTTCCTCTGTAAAAAACAAGTTAAACAATGAAGGTCTGAAAAAACTAAAAAGATACAAATAATATGAGAAACGAAAATAATTTACCTGATTGTTCTTCCAGCGACTCACTGACAAAACCCGGTAATTGATCTCCATCGAACCGATGAAAATCATATTTACCATCTTGTAGTGTCCAACCATTGTTTTCGGGGTTGAAAATATTTATCATCTTCATACTTGCATTGTTCCAAAGCTAGCCCGTCGAAACTGTTGCCAAAGCTCACTTTTACAAGGTGGTAAGTTACTGGCATCGAAGTTTCTTAAATTCTTTCGATTGAATTCTTCATTTATATCAGATACCATGTATGTAAATGATAAACAACTGTAGTCTGGCAGCATCTACATCAATTATTCCAGGAACGTTGTAAACATCACAGATAAATTTTTGTATTATGTTGAATACACGTTCTTCTTCATCTACATCACCAACAAAATCCAACGTACCAAAACGGTGAAATGCTTTGTTGGTACTCTTCATTTTTCTTCAAAATATTAAACGGCTTTTGCTTGCCCTTTTTGAATAATAATAATTTTTCAAGTAATTTTCATGGCTTTAACAGCGCAGTCGGTCTCACTCAGTCTCATGCGCGTAGATAATGCTCTCTCACTCATAGAGATATTAAAATTTAGTTTAGGGGATGATTGGCCCCTTGGATCGGTCTGTCTTCTTGTCAAAGCTTTTAAAATAGTTGTCGGATGAACATATATAAAAATGGAGCGTCAGAATTTACGTGAAGTTGACTAATTATTTTGAGACCCTTAAAGCGTCTGTTAAGCAATATGGCCGACGGAAAGTGTCTGGGAGTATTGACAATTTATTTTTAACTATACACTCGAAAACATATATAAAAATCAGCCATGAGAATTTACGTGAAGTAAGTAATGTTTTTGTGTACCTTGATTACCTGATACTTGGAAATTGGCCGTTTGACCAAGCTAGCAGGTAGGCATACGATCATAGTACATACTAACACTACCCAATCGTCCACATTTCATCCGTCAGAAAATACGTGACGTCTGGCGGCCCTGGGATCTTGGACCATAAATATAATAGTAGAAGCACTAATATTTCATTATAATATTAAATCATACATTAAATCCTATTTATTTCAATGCAATTTGCCTAATTTAGTCCATTACGTCACTTTATTGTCTTTATTTTTTCTTTAATCAGTGAAAAAATATAGATTTTTTCATTCATTTATACATTTAAAGTCACTTTACTTTACAAACTGGTTATATTTGGAACATAGCATGTTTTTATATATTTGAAATAGATATAAAATTAAATAAAATTTTCGTCTTCAAAATAATGGGACCGTTACGTAATAGGAATTCTCATGTGACGTAATGGACATGTAAAGGCATGTCTAAATGACTAGAATATTAAAAATATTTTTCACCAAAACAAAGCAGATACTACGAACGATATATATTTAAACTAATGAAACAAGAGGAAGGGGAGAGGATTGGAACTTTCCTTTTACGGTTGCGAACTCAAGCTGGTAAATGCCAGTTTACAGCTAAAGATAAACACTTAATAGACCAAATCGTAGAAAATGGCCGAAGCTCAGAATTAAGGACGAAAATCCTGGCAGGTGGCGATTCGATAACACTTCAACAAGTAATTACAATTGCTATTACGCTTGAGACGGTTAACAGACAGCTTGATTCGTTTCATAAACAAGGATCAAGTAAAACTTTTGATATGAAAAATTGAGAAATTAACCGGGTAGATGCAAGGAAATTGCGTGCGGTTCGAAACTCAGAAAGATAATAATGTTCTTCTTAACCACGACAAATGCATCTTTAAAACAAACTTGAATTTAATTTCTGGGGCATTTACTAACTGAAAAAGGAATAAAGCCATTGGATTTGTCCAGTGTATTCAAGTAATACTGGCTTCAAAAAAGCTGGATGGCTGACATTGAAGAGATACAGAGTTTTCTTGGACTCGTTAACTACGTTGGAAAATGGATACCCAATTTAACAACACTTACAAAACCCCTTCGGCAAATAATAACACTTAGATTGAGTAGATCTCCTAACATTAAATAATAAAATACTGGACAGACGTTCAAGACGCTTCATTTGAGACCCTCAAGATACGACTGTCAAACTTAAAAACACTTGGCTACTACAACACGGTGGATAGAACGCAAATACTAGTAGATGCATCTCCAGTTGGTCTTGGAGCGGTGCTCATACAAATTGATCGTCATGGACCTCGGATAATTGCGTTCGGCAATAAAAGTCTTACTGATTGCGAGATGAGATAATGTCAAATAAGTGACCACAAGCCTTTGGAAACTATCTTCGGTAACAGATCCAAGCCAAAGCCAAAGTTTGGCAGTTTTCTTCTCCATTGTCATAGAGACTGATATCTCTATCATCTGTGGCTCATTACCAGGCCATAAACTCCAAAAAAAGTATGCGGTTATGTATGGAATATATTTTTAGGTTACAACTTCTAACTTTAAAATTGCGTTATTGGAACATTTAACATAAATTGCATCTAAGTTTATACTTTATATTATTAATAGTATGGACTTAACTATCTTCGATGATGTGGATGAAACAGATATATCATGCAGAGATAAAATTCAGGTACTATTACAAGAATTGAAAGAGCAAGATGAGGAGTATGTGGAGGTAATTCTAAAACTTCTAATAAATTGGTTATTGAAAAGTTTCATAAACGAAAGAAGTAAATAACTTTTTGGAGTCAGAGTAAATGTCACTAAAACTCAACGTGAATTGTGTATCAGTTAATAAAGATATGTTTTATTACATAGTTACTTGTAGGATTGAAAGAAAAAATGATAATATACTGGCATCAACCTTGGTATCAAAGAACTGGTTGGCTGACAAGGAAAATTGAGCAAAATGAAGATGAACATGAAAAATTTCGGACTGATAAATTTACTTTAACTGAATGTGAGCGTGTGCATAAAAATTGGTTAAAATTTGTCAAGGTTAGTTTATAAGTTCAGTAATATTAATATAGTATTTGACAGTCAACTTTTCAGTTTTAATTAAGTAAAATCCAAATTTAGAAATTTCAGGTACCTGATCAACCAATGAGGTTAGCAAGATGGAGAAGTAAAGGAAAAAGTAAAATAAGTAAATTTGGAACAGAGGAGTATGTGAGACGTTATATCATTTCCTATCTTGCTAGAGGTCTAGAAAGAAATCTCCACCAAGTATTTCAACACTTTAATGTATGCTATGGTACACTTAATAAGGGACCTTATACAAAACTTGAAACAAAAGTAATACAACTCTGTTACTACCATTTTCCTGAAGATGCTGTACAGTATGCTTCTCGATTATTATGTAGAGAAACTAGAGGAGTTCAGATGAAGATACATTTGGATTTTAAAGGTATATTTTTAAAACTACTCCTTTCTAACTAAACTCTTCACTTTGCTAATTACGGTATTTACTAATATGTGAGGAGTTTGATTGTTGACATATTAATTGGATATTACACTTTAGGCGGGATAGAAAGGTCTAATTTATCATTATTGGCTAACAGAGCGTGATTAAAAAATGTTGCTAAAATAGGTAAAACTATTCGTCATTCAGAGCTTCTGTTGTGTGCACTGTAGTAAAGTAAAAGTGTATATATCAATAATCATAAAATATATAGCAAAGGGCAAAGGTTACTTATAACATAACCCAATATTAATCTTTATGCAAATAAATACAATTTTGATTAGAATTGCCCTGGACATTTGATTTCAATAAATTTCTTAGCAGATATTGTGGTTTTAAAGAAAGATAATATGTAACTCAGGTTATAAAATACATTGGCAACAAAATAAAGATCAAGTACCATGTCCATTATGATATGCAAGGCCGATCTCAAATTAACCTATTGCCGGGAACAACAAATAGCAAATAGTGCTAAATTAGAAGATAATGTAACTAGCTCAAATAGTTACTTTTGGCTGCCTTGTTTTAACTGATAACATAATATTATAATCAGTATAACAAAGGTTATTAGGTTTGTTTTCCAGTAAAACAATGGTTTGGAATCAACTTAAAAATGTTTATTGCACAAAAAAAATATTGTGTTATCTTTAATGTGCCAACCTGTAAAATTTTCAGATAATCTTAAAAAGAAACGACGTAAAGTAAGATGGAACTTGGTCAGTGCAACAAAATTTTTAAAATTAATCATGCAGTTTACTGGTCTTCAACTTGAAGAACTAAAATATAAAAAAATTGACAGATCTATTTGGGTTAAGATGGAAGATGAGATGGATAAAGATGCAAAAACATTAAATTTTTTCTGGTACTATTATTTACATGTTCAAATATTTGTAAAATTAGACCTAAAACTTAAAACAATCAAAAAGAAAGCCATAAAAGTGTAAGTAGCTTTTTAGCTATATTTGATTGTTAAAAAACAAAAAAAAAATTAAGTCTTGAAATTATCACTGTAATTCAAATTAATATATATATTAGGTTAAATAGCCAAATTATTATGGGTTTAGTAAGAATGCAGTAGTTGTACAACTTGTTAATTAGTAGCTCTTTACTTTTTTACTATATTTAACTGTTCATGGTTGTTGGTTGGTTAGACTCTCACAAGGTTTGTTGTGTGTAACTGGTTGTGTTGTATGTATTGCTATTTGTGGATGTGTTTGTTTAGTTTACTTAGATTAGTTTTAGAGCACTAGCAGCTTCTATATTAAGTACAGAATAACTTATGTAACCTAATTTCATTAATAATTCTTTCAGAATCAAATCATATCCATATCGAGTTTGGACAGATATCAATTGGAAAGATTTAGTGCAACATTTTCCTGATGGTGTAACATCTGGGTTTTTGTATAATATTTGTGTCCATTCTGCGATACATTATACAAATTATTCAAGAGCACCACTTCATGAAGTACTTAATTTTGTAAAGGAGAAAATTAAAACTTCGTCAAATAAACGCCTTAAAACATTAACTTTAAATAATGATGGAATGTTAGAAGTTGTTTGTTACAATAATTCAGAACATGAAGATATTAAAGAAGATAAATATTATAACAACTTTTATTGATACTGTAATCATCTAAATCCTAATAATAATAATGGAATTTGTCTAATGAATTTCCTTCTTGAAACTAAAAATATTGTTTTTATAAAATATGGAACAGACGTTCTTATATAATACAACAATTATTCATTATGTAGTGATCCTTAATATTTTATTTTATTAAATGACATGAATTTGGTAAAAAGCAAGGCATATATAAGTCGAAATAAAAAGATTAAGGTTATTTTTTTGAATAGCTAGAAAGCATACAAGTGAACAATTTATTACTAAATTTTTAACTTATTTTATGCCCTTACTCTCTTCTCATATACCTTTAGTTTTATATTCTGGTGTTTTTTAGTCCGGAATAAATGGCTAGATATTTAAATAAGTGTATGTTCATGTTCTAAATGAATGTGGATAAAATTTAATTAATTTTGCATTAGGTTAAATGATATCAAAGACTTCTGGCGCCATCCCATTTAAACTAAAATTTGGTTGTCTTTACCCAATACTCACACACTTTTAAGCGATATAACGCTTAGATTTATTTTTATTTAAAAATTAATTTCATAACCGTGGATACATTAACGGATTTATTTTATTTTAGCAAAAAAACTGTATTTGGCGTGTTTTTAAAATTTCCTCTAAAAACCCCCAAATATGCTTTCCCCCTATTCTGCCCCTAACTCGGTTGAGAAACCCCTAAATCTACGGGAAAATCCTCTGATCTGACAACATTGAAACAAATGTTCTGTGTATACAGTCCTCCTTTTTAGACGTTCCGTTGCTTATTTATATTCTAAGATACAGTAGCGGCGTTACGGTGGGACGCCTTTGGGCAACCGCCTAGGCGCCCCTTTATTTTCTCTACCTACTAACTCGAAAACTCCCTAAATTTAGCGATAAAATCGTTATGTTGGCAACACTAGAATGGAACGCAGTCTTCAAATCGGAGCACTGCACTGCATGCATTTTTCAACGGGAATCCCCGACCATCGAAACATTTTCTCTTTTTTACGTTTAGGAAATTGAACCTAGACCATTAGTTAATAGTCTATACTTTTGTTTCTACACAGAGGAAGTAGAGGTAGCAATACACCTATATTCACCAAATTAGCTTGGCGACATTCAAGACAAAAGTTTGTAATAAACCGATCCAGGGGGTTTAGTCAAGATGCCTTAACAGTAGTGTATGTAGAAAGTCGAAAACTAAATTTGTATGAAAATTTGTCGACACGAACTGTCATTTTCCATACAAAAAAAAATCGGTTTTCTACATACACTACTGTTAAGGCATCTTGTCTAAGCTCCCAGCTACAAACACAAAATGTGCTATCGCCTATATCCAAGTTACAGAGTATTTTATACTATGCCATATAGTCTATTATTAAAAAAAAAACATTCTCAGTGGCAGTTGGCTGCTTTTGTCCTTGCAGTGTATAGACTGTATAGTGTTTACAAATTACAAGGGGCTTGCCGCTTGAGACAATATTATTTTGCGACAGCCTCGACCGGCGACCCATTATAGTCAGGTAACCAAAGAGTATATGCTTTGTGAGAGTTGTTGTGGTTGTCCAACTCCAAACAATAATCGCTTAACATAATTCACACGGCAGTCGGCATACTTAGTGCGTGATGGTTTAAACAAATATATACATATTTAACTAAATAGCAAGATATTTGACAAGGAGTTTCAATAATACAACCATATTCCAAGGACGGCTACATGAACTCCAAGAGAATAGAAGCCTTACTTGATAGTGATGATGAGTATCCATGTAAGATATTTTATACAAATATTTGAAAATTCGTTATATAATATTTATTTATACTGTATATATATATTAATGCATGAAACTATTGTGTCCTTGAATTCCTTCATAAAATTTTTTTTTTTGACCTTATGTGAGATGTAGATTTTTTTTATAAACTTAATTACATAAACATATATCTAGAGATTAAATTTATCTCAAGAAATAGATTTTCCTTCTAACATTAAATAATTTTTCAGCTTCATACAAAGAAGAACCGGAACTTCCCGCATATCAAAATGATTACAGATTTGAACCTATAGTATTTAAATGGATAGAAAATTATGTATCTGTTTCTCAGCAGAAAAGAAAATCCCAAAATTCAGATAATATTAGGCATGAATATATAACCACAGGGTATTTAAGCCAAAAAGATTTATTTTGCCTTAAAGCAGTTGCTAAAACTTCCAGTGATGATACATTGTTATGGTTGGTGGACTTCTTTGTACGCAAGGATATTCAGTCAAGATATGGCAGCAATCTTAAAAGTTGTCTTATAATGAATTTCCCAGAAACACCAGAAATACCCATAAATGAAGGAACTGATGGGCAAAAATTTTACAAAAAATATAAAATAGTTGTCAAAGTCTAAAATTACAATGCCAGGGAAATAGTTTACTGTATTATTAATGTCCTAATGTTTAATAAAAGTTTATAATTACTGAACATTTCCCTTTTCTAATTGTTCTAAAAACCCATTTGAACATCTTACTGATTGCTGGTAACACTTTTCAAACCCGGCTGAGTCACTATCCTATAAATGAAAAAAACATTATAGTGTATGTATGTTAGCTTAATGTAATTCAATTATACATAATATTTAACATACATAATATGGATCCCTTATAATTCTGTCACCTTCAGGATCAAAACCTCCAAAGAGAAGAAGTTTAGCCCTGCAACCTTGAGGAGCTTTTGAGTTTAGGGATTTCATGTTCTCATCATCCATTCCAAAAATATAATCATATTTATTGAAATCTTCTTTTATCAACTGAAATAACATAATACATATAATAATAGACACAGAATATTCTTCATTATAATAAAAAAATCAACTAGCTATAAAATGCTTGACTTAGAATAAATCACCTGTCTAGCATGGTTGTTGTAAGGTACATTGTGCTTCTTCATAGTATCTAGAGCTCTCCAATCGGGTGGATTTCCAACATGCCAACCACCAATAGCTGCACTATCGATTTCCCATTCACTCCCTTTATTTAAATCATTTACAGTTTTTTGAAACACACCTTCTGCTATGGGTGATCTACATATATTACCTGTAATAATATTACTATGTAAATAAAATCAAAATACCTATAAGTTATGAATAATTGCTATTACAAATACTATTTACCTAGGCAAATAAATAGGGCTTTCTTTTTCTCTCCAGACATATTTTCTCAATTTGAACTTGTTGCAATTTACCTCTACTTGACCTGTGCTGTACCAGTATTACCTGCGCCTGAGATTAATCTTTTTTTTTCCCTTTCTTGGCCAAGATTAATCTTATTAATAATTACCTAAACCAAATCTCTATGTAGACATTTGACATTTACTATATAGAATATAGTCTTGACTCTTGAGTCAGTGTAGGCAGTGATGCCAACTCCTACAGAATGTTACCGCTGGGACGTATTTCAAATACCCAATTAAATATAATATCGATTAAAAATCCCCTAAAGATTTTGTTGTACTCGGTTACTTTGGTTTGAGAGGTAATTTCAAGAATGTATCAAAAATATATTCAAGTTGTATAAAATTTCGATCTTGGAGCTAGCCACGGTTTGTGTTTAGATTTGGTTTAGTTTGTTGGTTGGGTTATAGGCTTAATATAAATTGTATATGTAATGCCTTTTTTTTAAGAAAAAAAAAATATTTTTCTTGTATAAAGTACCCCTGTAAGTAAATGTACGTCCTGAAAACCCCTAAGTTGGCATCACTGAATATAGGGTTTTGCTGTGTTGCCAACTCTCGATTATGAAACTGCGCTAACTTTGGAAGATTGTAAAAACACTTCATAATATAATATGACGGTTTTACATAAAAATAAAACCGATATTATGTGCCGAGAAGGAAACCAAACAGCATTGTATAATGAAGAAGCAATGTATACTTAGCCATGAAGTGCGATACATACCGAGTGAAATAGTTCCTCTTAGATAGATGGCGCTGTAATCGCCTCAACTTCATACTTATCTTAACCAGCTAGGACGTTGTCATTTCCACAGTTATAGAGTCTTCACCAGGAAGAGCTTCCTACAATGCTGTATGTTTTCCTTCTCGGCACATAATATCGGTTTTATTTTTATGTAAAACCGTCATATTGATGTGCCTCCGGAAAACATACAGCATTGTATAATGAAGACGTGTTTGTTATCTGCTGGTGCCTGGTGGATGTATAAAGTACAGTATAAAACACAACGCTATGATGATTATGAAGAATTAAAGTCAGGGCTTTAGCTAAAGCCGTTATTGTTTATATAACTATTTTATTTACTTGCCAATATTCTTAATCAAGGCATAAGTATTTAGCAATTATTATTCTTAGTTACGGTATAAATATAACTATATTGATTGAGATGTACAATTATTAACATAAAAATATAAAATTCCTATTATCACAACAAGGTATTTCTATAATTACGATGGTGCAAATGTATTAAAGAAAGAGTGATGAGTTTTCTCTACGAGAGTCTATTTCGCGGCAGTAATGATTAAAGAACGTAAGTATTTGAAAATTTCCAATTGCCCCGTGTAATAAAAAAATTCATCTATTGGTTGATTTTCGACCAATAGATGAATTTTGCTGTTGATGGATAAAAAATATTGTTGAATTTTTTTACTTGAGATCTTCTTGTACCTATTACTCAAAGCTATTTTTTTTTAAGGACAGTTCACACCAATTGACCTAGTCCCATGCTAAGCTGGTGAAGCTTATGTTATGGGTACTAGGCAACGGATATACATACATATTATAGATAGATAGACATATAATTACATATTTAAACACCCAAGACCTAAGCACAATACCAAATGCTCATCACATCGATGTTCGTCCCAGCCGGGGATCGAACCTGGGACCCATGGATTCGCAGTCAGGGGTACTAACCACTAGACCAATGAGTCGTCAGGACTAACTGAATTCTCACTAAAGTGATAGGGAATATGTTTTTATCGTGGTGCTTAGAAAGTTTCCATGTTGACTGGCGTCTTGAGTGTCTGTCTTAGATCCGAATACCGGTGTCAAATGTTACCACCATCATCCATGAATGCTGGTCAGTAATTTCTAATAAAGTGAACCCTACGGCCCAATGCTAAAATATGCAATATGCAGGCTGTTCTGCAAGCCATATCGAATAAAGTGTCCCTAGGAGGGTTGGAAGAAAGCCAGTCTAGTTCTATTCACGAGTCCCACGTGACGGATGATTTCACGGCTTTTGGTTTGGCTACTCCTAATACCCTAAGGGTGTGTTTAATAATAAAATTTGAAAATGTTTGTTGTTCTACATGGGGACCGCAAAAAGTTAAAACTGCCGATTTGCGAACATATGGTAAATAGGATAAATTTTCTTTTAGAATAAGTGATATTAAAATTTTTGCAATATCGGCTGGTTAAGGGGATTTTGGGTTCACTTGAAAGTTGTCACACCATGACAGCCCTCTTTTGATTGCGGGTAAATAAGTGGACAAGGTGGAGTGACGCCAACTCTTCATAAGTAGATCTTTTTCCTGTGTGGACCAGTCTTTTATTTGGGCACCCCACCTCCAATTTCCCAAACTTTTAGGGTCAATGCTTGTATTTGTGGAGAAGGCAGTGCAATTGTCGTATCTAGGAGTGTCTCCGATAGGTGTTGAATTTCGTGGGGGTGATGTAGAGACCTGGATTCCAGGTCCTGCAGCCAGAAACCTCGCGGTCAATCTGAAGCAACTATCAGATAGGTTCCCGTCGCCCGGTTCAGGTGTGCTAAAACTCAGGGTAACGGACTTGGAGGGGGAACACCCATGCTAGAGGAAGAAGGTGCCACTACGCAGCCTTTTATCCCTTTTATAATCTGTCTGCTATGATCACCCTGGTAGGTAATGTACCGACAGAGTTATGTTGAATTTGTCCGTCAGGTGCAATAGTTTGAAGGTTAGTCTAAGTAACCCCCCTATCGATTTCGTTCCAGCTTCTGTTTGAATGTATGCAATCAGAGTTTCATTTGTCCGATTGTATTAACACGTGTGTGTAATATTTTTACATTTATTTTTATTGCGGCTATCACTGCATATAGTTCCTTTTTGTAGCAGTGCCACGTTTTCTGTTGGTATGACCATTTTCCTGACAAGGTTCCCGTCTAGATGTGACCCCCCCCCAACCCCAATCCGAGGCGTCCGTCGCTAGGAAGGGGGTTGCAGGTTCTTTGTGTATAGGCGTCGTCTGATGAGTAGCTCCGAGCAACCAACATCAGTTCCTGCCCTACAATCTGAGGCAGCAGTTGACATCGACGAGGTCGGATCTTGTTGAATTGTCGCAGAAAGATCTGTACCTGGCGACAATGAAGCCTCCCGCGGGGCACGACAAAGTTTGCGAAGTTTACTAGCCCTAGCAGACTTTGTAACTCGCGAATACAACGCATAACTATGGTTTTTGCGCTGTATTTTTACCTTGGGTAGCGACATCACATTGACCGTAGTATTCCAAAGTATTCTAAATTTTGGGTTGGTGCCAATACGGATTTTTGCTAATTGATTTTCCAACCTAGGTGTTCCAAGTGTCTCACGGCCTCCGTGGCCTGAGAATCTAACTTGGAAGGTGTTCCAAGTGTCTCCCGGCCTCCTTGGCCTGAGAATTTAATTTGGAAGGTGTTCCAAGTGTCTCACGGCCTCCGCGGCCTGAGAATTTAACTTGGAGTGGTCTTGGTTGACCAGAAGGTAGTCATCTAGGAATACTAGCACTCGACATCCCTTCGCACGTAAGGTCTCCGCGACCCAACATGATACTGCAGAGAAAAGGTGTGGTGCTGACGCTGAAGCCCAAAAGGAAGGCAAGTCATAGTTTCGTATAACTGCCCTTTTTAGCTGAGCCTTAAGAAAGGTCGGTGTGATCTCGCTGCCGGTAGATGGAAATAGGCTTGTGATAAATCTATTTATCATCCAGTCCCCTGGTTGAAGAAAGTCTGGGACGAAGCCGTAGGAGATCAACCGAAAATGTTTTGTCTTTACAAATCGGTTTAGTTCTCGCAAATCTACAATAGGACGCATCGTGCCGTCGCTTTTCCTGCGAAGAACCATTTTGGATATAAAACTGGGGGTTTTGTTGAGAACTGTTTTTAGGATACCCTGCTTGATTCAGGAGTTCTATGATTATCTGCGATGTCGCAGGTGACGGTTCGGTTGCGTATTGACTTACTATTCGATTTGTTGCCATTAAAAAAGGCAGTTTCTTATACAGAGGTATGCGGAATCCGTAAATTGTGTTGGATAGTAATTTTTTTCCGTCATTGTTAGATAACGGGTAGTTTTTAAGTTGTTTATGACTATCGATTTTCTTGTTAAACGTTCGCATCGTTTCTTGTTTTATGTGGGTATTACGAAAATTATTTTTTCCATTTTGTGCCTGGTAACGATTCTTTGTATCTAGGTTTAAAAACCTCTCTTACTCTTGAAGGTTGCGGTGGAGATAACCAGAATTGCGGCACACAGAAGGTATATTACTAAGCGCAGTTTTAATACTTTTGTCCGAAATCGCACTTATTAATCTTTTACGCCTAGTTTCTATACATTCCGCTCGCTTTCCGCATACAATTTGCAGGGTTTGTTCATGCAATTTGTGAGGTGATTCTTTACCAAAAATATAGGATATTTTTGTGAAAAGATTAGCGGGTTTTAATTCCGTTGCGTTATTACGAGTCCAGTCTATGATTTTTTTGTAATCCAGATATATATAGTCGCAGCCATTATTTCCTCTGTTGAGGCCAAGAAATCTTTTTATTTGTTAAGACAACATATTTCGTCGTTAATTTTCAGGTTACAAAAGCCTGGAGACGCCAGGGCTTTTTTAGATCTAATATGTTGCCACGTGGGAGTACTAAAATGTTGGAATTTTATAAGCTTAATATATTATTATATTTTTATATATTTATTGTGTAATTTTTTTTTTCATCAGCCGTCTTAATAATCTTTTTATCATCAATATTTGTGCTACCTACTCCTAAGTCCAGAGATTTCGATTTTCCGGTTGACGGATTAATAAAAAATCGCTATAGTAGTTGGTCGGTCGGTGGGTACCCTCGTCATTGGACGCACTTGCGTTGATATTTGGTACATATCGTTGATGCATTATAAAATTTGTGAGGAAACTCACCTGATTATATAACGCGTCGATCATGGGATCGACCGTTACCTGTGCTACTCGTTTCCTTTTCTTTCGTGGCAGTCCCTCGCGCTCCGAGTTGCTATAGACGCGCTGCTGGTGCACGTGGCGTCCTCTTTGTCTTGTTCGTGACCTTGCTCGACACTTTTCTAGACTACCTGCCTGGTCGGCCCCGGCGGCGGCCTTATCGGCATCGTGAGTCTATTACGCACTTGTAATGTATAAATAATGCGTTTTGCTAATAATTAACACTAAGAAAGTCTATAAGGTTTTAAGTCGTTATTGAGTCGTTTCGGTTTCGACCGCACGCGGCGAAAGTACACAACGCTATGACTGTGGAAATGACAACGTCCTAGCTGGTTAAGATAAGTATGAAGTTGAGGCGATTACAGCGCCATCTATCTAAGAGGAACTATTTCACTCGGTATGTATCGCACTTCATGGCTAAGTATACATTGCTTCTTCATTATACAATGCTGTATGTTTTACTTGAGTATTTCGGACACGTTTTACGCAACTCCAAAAAATATGAGCTCCTTCAACTAATCATACAAGGCAAAGTGGCAGGTAGAAGGAGACCTGGCCGCAGACGCACGTCCTGGTTGAAAAACTTGAGACAATGGTTTGGTCAAAGCACCAAGTCATTGTTTAGAAGCGCGGCATCCAAAATTAAAATAGCCATGATGATCGCCAACCTTTGCAAGGAGATGGCACTATAAGAAGAAGAAGTATGTTTTCCGGAGGCACATCAATATTGTGTTATTTATAGCGAGATTCTGTAGACCATGGATGCGTGTGTTTAGGTAGTATTATAGAGTTTTTAAAAGTTTAGTTTTTTGTTTGCGTAGCTGGGTGAAACCCAGCTTCAAACAAAGCCTTTCAATTAACATATACTCGTATTTGAACATATTATCTAGAACAACCACCACCAAACTTAACTCGTGTCTTATCCAAAATTCCTTGATCTGGCGGCTAGCGCGCTGCGCGGAGTTAGCATCAGTGGAAACCATAGAGTTATTAGTCTGTGACACAGAGTAGGTTAGCATTGAGCAATAACTTAGTTATTTCTATTGCATCTCAGTTTACCTAGACGGTTCTATGAAATGACAAAAAGAAATAGGCATTTAGAGTGCGCGCTAGTTAAGTCTGCGCGCGACTGGTGGGCGCCGGGCGGTGGCGTAGCTAATGTTGCTAGTTATGGAAATTTGCTTTCCGATCATAAACATAAATGGGAGATGGGGAAATAATCTAACTAGGTAAATCAAGTGAACTACGACCAAACAATAACACAGACATTAGAAATGACTGCTTTTTATAATATCAGGTCAATTACACCATAGCTCAAGAACGCCTGGACCGAATTTAAGTGTTTGTACTTTAAAAATAAATGAAAGCATCATACAATATTTTTCCAATTTTTTTATTAGGCATCTAACGGAACGTTTAACACATTGAGTGCCATTTACTCGGATACGAGTGGTGCCGGGCCATAGTAGCGGGGCCGCTACGCCAAAATAAAGCCAAAATAAACAGTAAGGCTTGGTCGTCCACTAGTAAAATTAAACCGATTATTTCAACATCTAGTGCTAAAAAAAGCGTCGACAAAGTGATGATTATGACTCGGAAGGGTCTGAAGAATATAGTGATGAAGAAGTGTATTCGCAAGGAGCTCATGAAGAGGAGATTAAGCGATTGAAAGCTATGGTTTGTAATGGCCGCAAGGGAGCGAATATACCAGGTACGCGTGATACATCAGCTCAATCTTCAACGTTACCAGATTCAGATATTGGTTTCTCAGCATCGAGGCCTGCGCCTCGCCAACTAGAATTTGACAGACGTGGTTATTATGAGTTCATCTACGAAATTGATGGACGTTCATGGCCATCTATCGTACAAGATTATGGAGACCTACTGCCTGATATACCAGAGAATCTATTCAATAACATTTCTACGCCTAGCGTGTCGCTTCTGAGATCTAATGCAATCACTCCAATTTGTCGCCAGAGCATAATGACGCCCCTCCGGCTTTATCCGTTCTGAGATCTCAAAGTAGCACTCCCGACTTTAATCGATAACGATGATGCCCCATTACCTCAAAAGTCACGCAATAACTCACCTTCTCATCAAGGAGCCACTACCACCTGGAGCAGTAATGCAATTTCAATGAAAACTATTGACTTTACCAAGGAACAAGAACTCTTACGTGCTACCCCCATCAGATCCTTCCAGATGCATTCCATTTACTTATTGATGATGACTTATTAGATCTGATTGTTCGAGAGACAAATTCAAATGCAGTAAGAGTTGGTGTTGCAGATAATGTAAAGCGAAACTCACAAATAAACAATTGAATTGATTTAACTAGAGAAGTTCGGTTCCGGCGGTCAAACTGTTAACATGTAGGTACGTCAACGTCGTCCGCGGATTTTAATCGTAAAATAGTGTTTTAAAGTGACATTTTCGTGCTGTGAAACGTAAAAACAAAACAAAGTTCATTAAACACAACTAATAAAAGAACACAGTGAGAGTGCTTAAATATCGTGCGATAATTGTTGAAAAACCCCTTCAGAATTATAACCTCAAATTAATAACGGTCATAGACAATAGACTTGTCTCAGCTTAGCTTACCAATACCAACATTACGCCATTGTGACAGTGACATTGACAATAGTAATGTGTTGCCACTCAAAAGAAATAAAAGCTGACAACCAGTGCTACCACACAAGAAACGAAATTTCCCTAGTCATGGACAAGAACATGGAACTACTTCTAAACAAACTCGATGAGAAATTTAAAAATCAAACCGAACTTTTTACATACTCCGTAACTAAGAGCGTCATGGAGGCTTTAGACGAGAAAATGAAAACTATCACTGAGGAAAATACTAAACTCAAGAACAAAATTTCAGAACTGGAATTTAAACTCCAAAGAGCAGAGATAGAAAAGAGAAAAAACAACCTCGTCTTTTTTGGAATCAAAACATCTTATACTCAAAAATAAGCCTGACCTTCCACAAGGCGTCAACATAAAAGAGGACTACCCCAAAGAAATCCTAGACAAACGCAAACAACTGCAACCGCAAGTAGAAGAAGAAATAAAGAAAGGAAATATCGCCTATATAAAATACGACAAGCTCATTGTAAAGAAGCCGAAAGAAAATAGAGAGAAGAGGAAAAGAGAAACTTCCGACTCACCAAAGGCATCATTAGAAAAGAAAACTAACAAGAAAGCAATATTGAACAATCCATCATCCACACTACCCAAAACACATACCAGAGATATCTTAAGACCCAACATGCTAAACTATGTAGAAAGAGCAAGCTCTGATCCACAAATAAATCTCTCAAAAAACTGAATATGCCCCAGGACCACCGGAACCATCATACACCAACAATGAGTTATTTACACAAACAATCAAAAAAATATCTTCCACCACGGCTGGTCCCCGCGGAAGACTTAGACCATCACCCTCTAACAAGAACAAAAAAAGAAAAGGAATGAGAACAAATTATACATAGCAACTCTAAATACCAGAACTTTACGAACACCAGAATCTTTATCGGAATTAATTTAAAAGCATTGAAGGACCTAAAATGGGACATTTTGGGAATCAGTGAAATGAGAAGAACAGGAGAATGTATTGAAGAGCACCAGGACTTCGTGCTATTTAACAAAGGAGACACCGAAGGACAAGGAGGGGTCGGATTCATAGTTAAAAAGCACCTAAAAGAATACATAATAGAATTCATTGGAATTAATGACCGAACTGCTATACTCAACATCAAATTACCTAGCTTCAAAAAAACATGGACAATTATCCAAGCCTATGCTCCCACGGAACAAGCAAAAGAACTTGAACATGAATCTTTTTACAATGAACTATCCCAAGCTATTATAAGTAATTACTCAAAAAACATAAATGTACTAATGGGAGATTTTAATGCTCAAGTGGGAATAAAACAATGTAAAGAAGAATATGTGTTAGGAAACTTTGGCTACGGCAAAAGAAGCAAAAATGGACAAAGGCTGGTTGAATTCTTATTAGAACACAATCTAACCCTCCTAAATAGCATTTTTAAGAAAAACAAAAACAACAAGTGGACTTGGATCTCTCCAGGCGGGAATCATAGAAACGAAATAGACTATATTATAAGCAGCCACCCAAATCTATTTACGGACACAGCAGTTATATCAAAATTAAACTTATTACCGACCACCGCATGGTAAGGGCGTCACTCAAGACTATACCACCCAAACAATCCAGAAAGTTAGCTATACATGACACAATCCCGACATGCAGCACAGAACCCAACAAAAGAATGGAGAATTCCTTGTCATCACTCAGCAGAGAACTATTAGAAACAGATGCAATAGATAAAAACAAGTTACAACAAATTACAAAACAACATTACATGTCAAAAAGAACAAAAACGACCACAACATAAATATAATTTAAGTAACTCAACACTACAACTTATAATTAATGATAGAAAAAGTTTACTTGACTGTAAAGTAAGGAAACAGAACATCCAAAAAATAACTGACTTAAGCAAAAAAATCAAAGAAGGTATAAAAAAGGACAGGAAAGTTAAAAGGTTGCAAACTCTAGAAAAACATATAGCAAGGACAGGAGGAACTAGGAAAGCTTTAAAGGAACTCCGAGAATCAGACCAATGGATCCCGAAATTTAAAAACAACCAAAAAAATGTAACAGACCGAAAGAACATAAACAGAATAGCTACAAAATTCTACCGCAATCTATATTCTAACCAAGACCCCAATACACATGTAAGTCAAGAAACCCTAAATTATAATCTGCTCTTAGTGAACCCAGAACCTGACATATTACCCAGAGAAACTAGGAAAGCCATACTAAGCCAAAAGTTAGACAAAGCACCAGGCCCTGATTAAATCACAAACGAACTACTGAGAGGAACCATAGAAGAACTGGTCCCCATTCTAACTAAAATCTTTAACGGCATCCTGAGATCGGGACAGGTTCCAGAACAATGGGAGACATCCCACATCATTCTCATACATAAGAAAGGAGAAAGAGATGACATAGGGAACTACAGACCGATAAGTCTGATGTCTAACATATATAAAATCTTTTCCAAAATAATTTTGAACCGAATAAGCAACACACTTGATGAAAACCAACCGAAGGAACAAGCTGGCTTTAGAAAAAACTTCTCCACAATAGATCACATCCACACAGTCAAGCAAATTATGGAAAAATATAATGAGCACAACAAACCGCTATATATGGCTTTTATCGATTATTCTAAGGCATTTGACAGCATTAGCCACACAGCCATATGGGAAAGCTTACAGAACCAAGGAATCCCGACAGTGTATATAAACACCATTAAAAACATTTACTCTAACAGTAAGGCAAGAGTACAAATTGAAACCTTGGGTGAAACATTCCAAGTAAAAAGAGGCGTTAGACAGGGCGACCCGATGTCTCCAAAGCTGTTCTCCGCGGTGCTGGAAAACATATTTCGAAAGCTAATATGGGACCAACATGGATTAAATATAGACGGTAAAAAACTAAACCATCTTAGATTCGCTGACGATATTGTTTTATTTGAAGAACAACCAGGGAGCCTAGAAAAAATGATACAAGAACTAAATACAGAGAGCAAAAAAGTGGGCTTATCTATAAATATAAACAAAACGAAGCTATTAACGAATTCAAACAAATATGAAATAAAAATTAACAACAACCAACCCGTTGAATATGTAGATGAATATATCTATTTAGGACAAATCATCTCACATACAGACACAACTACAAAAGAAATAAAAAGACGAATAGCTAACGGATGGAAGAGATACTGGTTACTGAAAGAGATCATGAAATCCCCAGATCTGAGTACTGGTATCAAAAGGAAGGTCTTCAATACCTGCATTCTCCCATGTATTACATATGGGTGTGAAACTTGGGCTCTCACAAAACATCACAGAAACATGCTGGAACACTGCCAAAGAGCTATGGAACGAAGTATGATAGGTATTAAGAAACAAGATAAGATACGAAACACTGTCATAAGAAGTAAGACAAAAGTCACAGACATACTCACTAGAATAGATAGTTTGAAGTGGAGATGGACTGGGCACATGATACGTGATAAACAAGAAAAGTGGAGCAACATCATAACTGACTGGTGGGTACCAGAGATAGAGATGGGAAAAGGAACAGAGGAAGACAAAGCAAGAGATGGGAAGACGAATTAAAATTAACAGCAGGCTCAAAATGGAGAAGGGTTGCAAGAGACAGAGTACAATGGAAATTGTTAGAGGAGGCCTTTGCCAAGAGGCACACTGAACTCAGAGATATTTTATAACTTAAAGATAAGAGTCAACCACAAAGTCAAAGAAACAGTTCAGGATAAGAGGCTTATTATTTTTATTATAACTAGAGAAGAACTGATGATATTTCTCTGACTCCTACACACTGTAACTAATCGACTAAAAGCGATTACTGGAAACGGTACTATTTATTTAATATTCCAAGCTTCGCACAATTAAAGTGTGTCTTCTATGTGTGTGTCCTATGTATGTATCCTGTGTTTATTTGGACTGTGTGCCATATGTTAGAATTTGGTCAAGGAAAGTAAAATGAGTTAAAAACTAGTTTTGATTAATGTCCTTAGATGATTTTGATCAAGACCCTGGAATTTGAATAAAAAAACACGGGCTTATCAAAATATTGTGACATATTAGTACGCAAGAACGCACTCGCGGAACAAATATCTATGATATTAGTGAATAAACCATTGCCATCCCTAGCTCTCGGATCTGAGTGACACACTCTCATAGAGAAATAATATATACTGCACACTGTATGCCGACCACTCGGATCCGAAAAATGTGTTTTTTTTATAAAAATAATAATATACATTCATACATATTTTCAAACATTCAGCTTTACTTAATCAAAATTTGCCATATTTTTTTTTATTACTGGGTATTACTTTGTATACATTGTGTGTTTGTTTTGTTTGTGAGTTGTTTTTAATAATTAAGCTCATAGAAGAAGGTAATAACCTAAATTTAGTACCTGAAAAATTACTGATTTATTTGGCTGCTATTGTCAAACTTGGTACTTTTATATTTATACAATATTCTTCATAATGTTACAGATAAGGTCTTCAATAGACCAGAGGACCAGGATCATCCAGTTATGATGATGCTTTGTCGACCCACAGTCAGCTTAGCCCCTTTCAGAAGCACAGAAGTCTCCTGGGCACTTCGCAGACTTCGAAAAGCGACGTCAGTGCTTCGAGGATTTCTGCACTTTGTTTAGCCACAGCCTCGCATTCCAGGGCTACGCGGATGACTGTGACAAAAATATGTTTATTTAGAAGACAATGGCCCGTAATTGTCATTGTTTTGAGATTAGTTCTGTTTAGGCTAAGAAGTCGTTTTGTCATTAGCGGGTTAACTGGTGGCAGAGCAATTTTGGGCTGTCTGCAGTCCGCGCTTCACGTTCTTCCTTTTGACCAAATTCAGCGAAGGGCTTGTCGAATTGTCAATCTCCAATGTCTTACTGATCTCTGGGCCGTTGCTCCCAAATACCAGCTTCTTCCTTTTGACCAAATTCAGCGAAGGGCTTGTCGAATTGTCAATCTCCAATGTCTTACTGATGTTGGAGTTCTGCAGATCTTTGGCGAATCCAGTATAGACGTGTTTTTAGCGTTTAGCTAAATTGGCGACAAAACGATTTTGGTACGCATGTAGCATGAGAAAGATAGGATTTGTCATGACTCGCAGAAATTGTCTCCACTAAACGCTGTCATCTTGGTACCGTGCCTCCACCACACGACCGCAGGCCCCTCCTCTTTTGCGGTGCCCCATGCCCCTCTGCACACAGGGCTAATCATATTACGTAATAATGGAAGGGCGGTCGCTAATCAGGTGAGGTGTTCCTGATTAGCTTTTTATTTTAAGGACGGATTTACAAAGACGCAGGTTGTTCGTTTTCTGCCAAGAAAGATCTTTTCGTCGTGTCTCCTCAATTTGAAGGCGCTCTCCTTAGTTCGTCACACAGCCTCAGTATCCTTGGGGTTGGCATTTCGAAAGAAGCCCAATTCCGCAGTCATCTGGAAGAAAAAGCCAAACTGGCTTCCAAAAAGCTGGGTGTTTTGGGTAGGGCTAAGCAGTATTTCACTGAGGTGCAACGTATGCAGCTTTACAAAGCTCAAGTACGACCTCATATGGAATACTGCTCGCATCTCTGGGCCGTTGCTCCCAAATACCAGCTTCTTCCTTTTGACCAAATTCAGCGAAGGGCTTGTCGAATTGTCAATCTCCAATGTCTTACTGATCGGCTTGATTCTCTCTACGGAGAGTATTCGGAAGAATTGTTTGGGTTGATCCCTCCTGCCTCCTTTCAACACCGTACGAGCCGAACGACCTCTAAATTTCACCAGCATCATCTTGATGGTTGGAGGTCTTCCACAGTCCGTTTCACAAGGCATTTTCTTTTGCGAACTAGCGAACTGTGGAATCGGCTCCCGCGGGGGGTCTTCCCTCAGAGATACGACATCCAAATGTTTAAAGAGCGAGTCTACTCCTCCCTCAAAGGCCGGCAACGCACCCACTAAAAGTGGGTGTCTATGGGCTGCGCAGACTGCCCTCTGGTCGTCCCGCAAGCTCGTTAGCCCCCCTATTATATATATAAAAAAAAAATAGGAAATGTTCAGTTCCAGCCCGATGCAGGTGAAAGCTCAACGCAGGAGACCGACTATGTCAATGCTAAATTGCGGCAAATGCGAAGAGCTGCGCGCGACTAAAAGGATGACTTCCTCGTACGAAACGTAACCAGGGAGTCGCTACGGAAATCGAAAAGTCAGTATATTTTGGGGCCGAAAAGATTTTTGAACAAGAAAAAAAATTGCTTTAAAAAGGATTGTATGGCAATTTCATCTCAATAAGGCGACTTGGAGGACAAACACGAAGCCTTAGCTCTAGCTATAAACAAGACATGATCCGCAAAACAAACGACCTCATCGAAGTCGGAATAAAGATAATAGTAAAAAATTATGGAAATCTGTAAAAAATATATTCAAAACTTAAACGCAACTAAATTCTAATCTAACAAACTCCTTGATCTACCGGAGAACCCTGAAAGTCTTTTGATATTGTAAACGGTTTTTTCAGTTCGGTGGGTTATAAATTGGCTTCATCGGAAGTGTCGTAGGCTTACTTCTGCCCCAGGCGATGATAATATAAGTAACCGGTATGTATAATATAAGTGGTCATTTCATTAATTATTGCTGTACCTACTCATATCTTTAATCTTATTATTGAGCAAGGTATCTTCCCTGAATCTTAAAAAATAGCTAATATTACACCCATCTATAAATTATGCAATAAAATGAAAATTTCTTTTAAAAATTACAGAAAAATAATTAACGTCAGATTACTTAATTACTTGGAAAAATAATTTGTCCTTGCCAACAACATCAATTTGGGTCCAGACATAATAGATTAAGGCTATGTTCACCAATGTCGTAGTTATCCGAGAATAGCTATACCAAGGATAAACATATTCGCTTGAATTTAATCCCAGACTACTCACTTTACATTTCACCATGTAAAACATCCGATAAACTAGTCTCAGATTAGCTATTCTTTGGAATAGCCGTTATGCTTATCTGTGGAAGTGTATATAAGGTGAACGAACGAATGAGTGTATAATGAAAACAAATTAAATGTGCAATTTCTTTAAAGAACATGAAGGTTAAATGGAACTTTTTACTTTAGTTGGATTATACGTCAGTTTGAAGCTGTCATGGAACCTACTTTGTAATCTGTGGTCAGGTCATAGAAGCTTTGTTTTGCCTGAGTGTTTATTTTGGTTTTGATTTGAAAGAAGAAAATAAATAACAGAAACAATATCGTTCATGATAATGACCGCTAGAAAAAGAAGTCCTAACTGGCAAATGTACCAGTAATCCTACCTGATAACTGACCATTTTAATCTTGCCTTGGATATGGATATTGATGACTGTGCTTTAATATCTGTAGAGGATGCTGGAAATACCCCTCTCACTCAAAAGAAAAATTGGAGCAGCAGACGCAGACCTACTTTACCGGTTTCTTCAACTTTAGAAGAGTTACATAAAATTAAAATAAAAGCTATGAATTTTGCTGCTGAGGAGAGAGAGGACGGAAAAAAATTTGAAGTTGAAATAAAAATAAAAAATGAAATATTAAAACGGGAGAAAATCAAAACACGAAATCTTTTTGCACAAATGAAACATCGAAGAATAAATAGAAAACAGCTGACATGACATGGCGGCCATTTTTATCCAAGGAATATCTCCGTATTCGTTCAAAATTGGGCGTATAAATCTTATCCTTGGAATAACGTTTTATTCTCAGGTTAAGTAGTTGGTGAAATGTAAAATTTGCTATTCCAGGGTTAATTCCTTGGAATAAAACTTATCTGAGTTTGGTGAAATTGGCCGTAAGGCTATGTTCAGATGACCGCGCGTAGCCGCGCGTCGCCACGCGATTGGAGCATTCACATGACGGACGGTATATGTACGCGCGCCAGTGTGGCTTCAACATTGATTGACAATGGACGTGGAGGAGGCAATTTGCTTATGGATTTTATATAGAAGACGATACTGGGTGCATCCAATTTTAAGTGACAGACTTTCTTCCAGCCTGTTTGTCACTTTGTATCCCGACTTGAGGTTATACGAAGATAAATTTTTTAACTATTTCCGGATGTCAGTTGCATCCTTTGATTTTTTATACGATTCTATTGAAAATGATTTAAAATCCAGATGCTATAAGATATTGCATATCACCAAAAGAAAAACTAATTGTAACATTAACAAATCGATAGGCACAATTTCATCTTCGGTACTCATTTTGCATCGATCTATGTAGAAGCTCAAGAAATTTCCATATAATTGACGCAAGATTAAACGAGTAACTACTATTAAGTTTACTCTTATAATCAAGACTTATGTTTAATTTGATTTGCTTTAAGGCTTAGTTCATATGTTTAATACTGACTGAATTCGTAAGGCTGGCATTGTCCATTATTTCTTATGGGAAGGTTTTATATTTTCTATCAAATTAGTGTTAAGCTGTTATGGTAAAAAATTAGTTTAAAATAAATAAATAAAAAAGTATTGTATTACTTACACTTACAGTTTAAAATATACTTGTCTACATAATATGCTATTCCCTAATTATTTTTATTTACTATGTGTAGGGTTCCTGGATCATATTGAATTATACAAGTTATGACAAGTCAATATTTATTTTTCACACACCACAAAAGATTCTTATGCTGCCAGTTAACTAAGCGCTATGAAAATGTTGCTAAAGAAAAGTTCCGGCTACTGGCTTTAAGTGTTAATTTTCAGGTAATAACTTTACTATACAATATTACTATAACAATAACTTTAATAGGTGCGGGCATATTTTAAAGAAAATCTAACACCCTAGGAAGACAAACTTATCTTAAGAAATACTGAACCGTACATATTGTGAGTGTGTTAAATATTATTAGGGAACTCCATTAATACTATTTAGTTGTATTAATTAGCATACATCCAGAAATACTACCACGGCTAAGCTTATGTTTATAACTCTATAGAATCGATCGAAAAGATCGGCTATCAAATACCTACTAATACAAATTAAAGATGAATCTCCTACTGGTATTTTAAACAATTTTAGAGCTTGGCCTAATTATCTTATTCATACTCTATGCTTATTATCTTATCGAGGATCCAAATGTTATGAATACACGTCATATCTGTGCGTACATAAAATATTGTCTTAAATCGTGAAGTTCAATTAAATAGTAGCTAAACACCATTCGAACATTCTAATAGCGATTGCAGTGCGCCACACAAAGCATAGTTAAAATTCTTGAGTTTATGAGGATTACTATTTCTACTTCTTAAACTGCAAGATTGCTGCTGTGCACGTTATTCCTATAGCTAAAACCTGGAAATGTAGAAAACTTATTAACATCATATAGGTAGAACATATAAGAAACTATGCAAAACCAGTGAAATAATTTATATATTCATTGTTATTTATAAAAAAATATTGATAAAAAAAATATTAATTTTAATTTTACTTTCTTCGTCTAAATGAGTGTGTTATTACCCAAAGTGAATATGTATAGTTTGATGCCAATCGATATCTATTTTAGTATGATAAAACTACCAATGATATAGTAATTAGTTCTCTACTAACAAGAAAAAGAAACAAATTATGATAACTTTTTAGTACATTTTGGATTAGTATAAGATCCCGCTATACAACGACCTTCACCGAGATGCTTATTTAATGAAACGTATTTTATATTAAATTTAATATGTCAATAAATATAATCCATATGGGTTGTCTAGCAAATTTCAGTCCAGAGTATGTTTAATTAATAATTAAAAAAAAATATTTTTTTAAACATTTCACCGGTATGATTATTAGATAAATTCTATACCAATCGAAAGTATGAAGCCCATAGAATATGCAAACTTTATGCTGCCCATTCTTTTCCGGTCACAACTATCGGGTTGCCTGGTATAAACAGGTAAATCTGTACTAGCATTTTGCAACGGTCTGTTTATTGAATGAAATTTAAATGAAATTAAAGATTATTTTATTCTGAACACGGTGGTATAGGGTTGTCTGCGAAAAATCAGTCCAGAATTGCGGTTGTCGAATTTTAAAAAGTAAAATATTGCTCCAAGTGAATGTGTGCGACTGAGAGGTCCCAACCGACCATCCCATGCGATAGAAGAGGACACAGCATAGCAGCTGTTTAAAGTCCGCCCACTTAAAGAATGAGAGTGCGCATGCTATTTGGGCTTGGAAAAGAAAAGGACAGCGATGGACTCGTATAATTATGCATCATTTTGGAGTAGTTTATTATTTAAATAGAGAAATAGTTATTTAATTTTTTTTTAATCAATTAATTATTTATGTGTATATTTTTTATGTGACACTAAAGTATATATACATCTTTAGTAAAAAAGAAGGTTGTAGTGATTCATATATAATAATACCCTGATTAAAAATATTGATTGAAAAAAATTTACCTACTACATGCAAATTATAAATCTATAAATGTAAACAGAGAAATTGAAATCAATTGAAACTATTGGAAAAAATTCAAAACCCATAAAAGTGATTTTTTTTTATTCAGGGTAATCTTGCAAATTTTATTTTTATTATAAGAAGACAAAATAAAAAAAGGATGCGTGTACTTATGTACGCGCGTAAGAAGTTAAACTTCTTTGGCTTTCTTTATTTTTTTAAAATATTAAATAATTAATAACAAATATTTAACGTTAATAATATTTAATATTTAGTATATTATTCAATTATTAATTAATATTAATAATTATTTATTATTTTATTATATTATTCATTCAATTTAATAACTACGTATGTTTCATAACCTTTTAACTAAGTAACAATAGGGCTTTGTGAAAAAGCATTCCTAAATTTATTTGAAAAAATAATTAAAACTCCTTTATTTGTTTAAAAGGTAAATGTCATTATGGTCATTCAAAATTCTTAGCATAGCTGCTAACTTCACGCATATTCTATTTCTTTCTACTTGTAGATTGTCTTATTTCCATCTCGCTCGCGCACGCTCGGCGCCCATACTGATAATTTAGTGTCACGGTGCGCGCATCGTAAAATTTCACTCTCATCAATTTTTCATAACGCGCCTAAAGAAGTATAACTTCAAAAACAACAATTAAAAAATTACTTCTATTTATTGTAAAAAATTAAAAATACATTTTTTTTTTAATTATTCAGAATCCGAGTCATAGGACATAAAACTACGATCTTCAACTTCTGAATCTTCTTCGTCATCACTTTCTGTTTCACTTTTTTCGACAATGTCTTCTATCTTTAAAGGTGTATGATCCCCAATGAATCCTACTGGTTTTAAATATTCATCTAAGAACCGTCCGCAGTTCTCAGGCTCAAATTTCACGCATATTGGATCCGTTGCATTAAGCCACATGGAATTTACGAAAATAAAATATAAAATATATATTTTAATATATATTTCAATGTATATTATTTTATTATTATTAGTTTATGTTTATAAGTTTAATTTTATTAATATTGTTACCATTACACTATATGCCATCTTGTATCCTAATTAACTATGTATATTATAGTTTTTTAATATATACATATATATTATATTTTAATATAGAAATATAGAAGATGTATTAGGTAAGATAATTTTAAATCATAATAATTTTAGCAATATTTTACTTTTTAAAATTCGACAACCGCAATTCTGGACTGATTTTTCGCAGACAACCCTATACCACCATGTTCAGAATAAAATAATCTTTAATTTCATTTAAATTTCATTCAATAAACAGACCGTTGCAAAATGCTAGTACAGATTTACCTGTTTATACCAGGCAACCCGATAGTTGTGACCGGAAAAGAATGGGCAGCATAAAGTTTGCATATTCTATGGGCTTCATACTTTCGATTGGTATAGAATTTATCTAATAATCATACCGGTGAAATGTTTAAAAAAATATTTTTTTTAAATTATTAATTAAACATACTCTGGACTAAAATTTGCTAGACAACCCATATGGATTATATTTATTGACATATTAAATTTAATATAAAATACGTTTCATTAAATAAGCATCTCGGTGAAGGTCGTTGTATAGCGGGATCTTAGACCAGATACTTATACTTTAAAGTATAGATACTAATCTAAAGTGTGTAATTGACACATAACTTTTAACAACAGGGACACGTGCTATATTACCAAGAATGTTTAGTCGTCTCATAGTTTCCATTTAGCTTACCTTAATAAGTATCGATCTTTCTATGGTTATGATACCAAGAGGTGTGTAGGAAAAATTGTACGATATCAATTCCTCGTAAAACGTATTAACGTTAAGGAAAACGCGGAACGCGTAGTTGTTCATTGTCATTATACGACCCATCAGCAATTTTATGTCGGCAAGCTGTAAATATAGTATTATGTAGTTTTTTATGTAGGCAAGATGAAAAGATAGTATTATGCAGTTTTTTTATGAAGGCAAGCTGAAAAGATAGTATTATGCAGTTTTTTATGTAGGCAAGCTGAAAAGATAGTATTATGCAGTTTTTTTATGTAGGCAAGCTGAAAATATAGTATTATGCAGTTTTTTTATGTAGGCAAGCTGAAAAGATAGTATTATGCAGTTTTTTATGTAGGCAAGCTGAAAAGATAGTATTATGCAGTTTTTTATGTAGGCAAGCTGAAAAGATAGTATTATGCAGTTTTTTATGTAGGCAAGCTGAAAAGATAGTATTATGCAGTTTTTTTATGTAGGCAAGCTGAAAAGATAGTATTATGCAGTTTTTTATGTAGGCAAGCTGAAAAGATAGTATTATGCCGTTTTTTTATGTAGGCAAGCTGAAAAGATAGTATTATGCAGTTTTTTATGTAGGCATGCTGAAAAGATAGTATTATGCAGTTTTTTATGTAGGCAAGCTGAAAAGATAGTATTATGCAGTTTTTTATGTAGGCAAGCTGAAAAGATAGTATTATGCAGTTTTTTATGTAGGCAAGCTGAAAATATAGTATTATGCAGTTTTTTTATGAAGGCAAGCTGAAAAGATAGTATTATGCAGTTTTTTTATGTAGGCAAGCTGAAAAGATAGTATTATGCAGTTTTTTATGTAGGCAAGCTGAAAAGATAGTATTATGCAGTTTTTTATGTAGCCAAGCTGAAAATATATTATTATACGGCCTTTGGAGGTTCTAGGTTAAATTAAACGTGTGATGTCGAACTTCATAACGAATTAAAGACTGTACACTGTTTGTTCTTTAAAGGCTACCGATGTTTTTGATTAAATGCAAGTACATAAATGTTTGGGTGGAATTGCAAATTCCTCTCTTTAACCGAATTGAATAAATTAGTTCCGTGGATATAAAAACTGTTTTTATTTACAAAAGGGTTGTTGATCATGAACTTGTTATATTCGATCAGCAAAAATAAGTTTAACACCACACTCCGCCAATACCCAAAGCCGCATGAGCTATCTAATTATAAAATTTACGGTCATCAGTAGTCGAGTAGAGCCATCGCAAATTCGCACTTGTTTCTTTATTTACTACGATTGAGGATCATACCTTACAGGTGATAACTCTAAATGGGTGAATGATTACAAACATGGTTATAAAGTTGTGTATCCCATATAACCCCATGTACCACACGGGCGCACCCCATGTACTGGGATGGTTCCAGTAGCGAATATTTTCTTCAAAACCTAGAAACAAAGATATTTTTAATAAAGCCTACAAGGAAAACCGTCCAAATAAACTGAAGAGTTTAATAATATAGTAAGATAGTAGGAGAAGTAGAAGAAGTAATTCAGCTACGAGTATGAGACTTCGCGCGTACTCCCGTAGGTATATCAAAATCCAAAACTTTTGTCTCCTTTCTGAAGTGCTAAGTAAAAGTGCTAAAACGTACCTATAGGATATTAGCATACGAGGGTCATAATTTGTGCTAAGTACTGACTACGAATCTAACCCTCAAGAAGAATTTCCCTATAGTTAGTAAACCCAATGGTACGGACAATAATATTCCAAATTGAATTTGATATAATTTGTCAATTTGGTAATAATATAGTTTTATTGCGTTTATTTGTGTGATGATTAGGCTTAAGAGATAAATAAATCCATGAAAAGTTTTACTATCGTCGGTTTACTCACCATTTTGAATAATACTTGCTATGCCATAAAAATATAAAATTATTCTAATTAAAATGTTTAGTAAAATGAAGAAGAATATGGTTTCAAAATGCTTATTCAGTTTCAAATATATTGTTTTGATACTGTCCAACAGATCATGTAGGTTTTTTACTTTTTCATCCACTGAATGTGTGTAAAACGAATGCGTAGAATCATCTGCAAATAAAAGTTGATATAAATAGTTGGTTATACTCAATAATAGGAATCCTTATCAATAAACGTTGTTTCTTTTTCTGTTTGTGATTCACCGGTTAATATCAAGTATCAAGAGGAGAACGTGGAAATACCCTGGGAGGGTAACACTGAAAATGTTTAGAACTGGCCAGTTAGGAACATTGCTAATGAAAACTTTTTTGAATTTCAGTTTTAGAACTCTGGTAACCTAATGTAGTAGTAAATTGCATTTATTTGTCAGTTGTTTTTGTGAATTGGCGGCAAATATAAAACTTTTGTTACACGTGAAAATGAAGATAACGCGAGAAAATGTTCGGTCAATGATTTATTATGACTTTCGTTGTGGGCTTACTCAACAACAAAGCTATTACGTTAATTTATTTATAATTGGTTAGAATTTGTTCCTTTAATAGAATCTTATCTTACCTGTGAAATCATATAATTGACCTAAAAATTTGATATTTTTAATGTCTAAAGGTTATTTGCCAATTTAAACGCTGAGAACTTCGATATCAAAATATAATATTTCGAATTATTAATACATATTAATACAACTTGCTCTTGTAACGAGACACATAAGACGTGATTACGGTTTCTTAGATTTGTTTTATTGGTTATACAAATTTAGATTTATTACTTTACTAACTTAGCCTATTCGAAAGAGTCTCTATGTGTGGGCCCCACTGTAGTTTGCCTGTTGTCTTGGAAATAATTCGACAGCTGCTAAGGAGGGAGCTTGTAGTTTATTGTTTATCAGAATGCCAAATCGTAAAATGACTGTTTTACGACTGATTTGAGCGCGACCGCCGCTGTGAAAACCGCTGTGAGAGTTCGAAAAGTGAGTTACAGAATTGCAAGGCAGCGCCCTCGAAGCAGGATCCTCCTTCACCGCGACAATGATTCAGCGCACTCCGCAAAACGGACTGTTGAATATTTGACTATGGCAGGTGTCGAGATAATGAGTGTCGCCATAAAATTCTGACCTGGCACCCTGCGACTTTCATTTATTCCCAAGAACTAAAGATAAAATTCGAGGTATTCGCTTTACGAGTCCTGAAGATGCGGTGAAAGCGTACGAAACTGCCATAGAAGAGACCCCTAAGGAAGAAAGGGCCCACTGCTTTTCTCAGTGGTTCCATCGAATGCGACGATGTGTAAAGAGGAATGGAGATTACTTCGAAAAACAATAAAAGTATTGGCAACTTTCTACATTAAGCCGTTTTCTAAACATTTTCAGTGTTACCTAGGTACGTATTAATATTTGCGGACTTCTTAAGCCTTCAATTTAATTTTCAGTGAAACCGCACTGTTACATTTTAGTTACATTCATAAGCGATCATTAAATATGATTATCTAAGTGATAATCATATTTAATGATCATATTATATATGATATTTAATGATCGACAAACAAATTGGGCCCAAATCGTAAATTATAATAAGTATTTTCCTTAAACTTCATGTAATTATCTAATAACTTACCGCACACAAGACGATTATCGACAAGATCTTGTAATTCATCTTTTATGTATTCGATTCTTAATGATACCTCAATGTAACTGATGTAAATAAGCATTTGCAATACACATATGGAAAAATATTTAATAGTTACACTCATGAATATGAAAGGAAGTTCTGTAAAAGATATGTTTGAGTTAATTAACGAACAAATCTTATAGTGGAGGAAGCTTTAATACTGGCTAACTATTAAAATAAGGCACTCGGCGTGGTCGGGCTCATATCAGCCCACTCAGCTGCCCACTTAAGTATTTCCGAACCAATTCGACTTAGGTTCCTTCAAGAAAAGAGCGTACCAATTCTTAATAATCCAGCAACGCACTCGCGAGCCCTCTGGCATGGAGTGTCCATGAGTATCACTTAACAACAGATGAGCCTCCTACCCGTTTGCAGTTTGCGTTGTTCTATAAAAAAAGAGGGGCCCGTCTACAATAGATTCCCTATATCGCATTTGAATAACTGTTTACGTGCAAACTCGATAGAAAAATGGAAGCACAGATATGGCAACGGCGAAACAGCTGCAATAACTAAGTTAATCCTTCCAAATGTTGTCTCGCCTTTTCTATTAAACAAATATGGTCACGGTGGATTGTTTGAGTATCTTTACAGCAATACAGCTGAAGAGACGGTCTTAAATGTACTGACTGACTGTCCAATGTATGGATACGATAAGTATAACACAGACCAAGCTATGGGAATAAAAGTGATGGAGACTAACTTCTGAGGCATCTTTCTGGAATTTGCTGTAAATGTCATACAAAAAATATCGGTTGTCTGTAAAGTCGGTTTACTGACGACAGTTGAACGTGACAACGTCATAAGAAAATACTGATGGAATGGTTGCATTCTTCAAAAGAAAATTTTAATTTTATTTGTTAGATAGATATTTTGTATGGATATAGAGAAGGAAGTAAATGGAAATCACAATTGAATTGATCAAGTTACATTTATTTGTACGCATAAATACAATTATGTAAATTTTGTGTGCAAGCGAGAGCGCGGAACGAGTGCTCTCGCTTGCACTTCAAGCCTTAAATGGAACGCCTCAGAGGTAACGCCGCATGAGTCATGTTTTTCGTGCGTGCAGCCGGCTCCATCGAATTATAAGACGTTGTCACGTCAAAAGTTGTTAAAAGAAATAGGTAGCAGTGCTTAATCATCAATATTTAATACCTGACGACAACATAGGGGTAGCTAGAAAATATATTTAAAAAAAAAGATTAAATTCTCCAACCAATGTGTGTCCTCGATAATAGGTGCGGACGTCTTAATAATAAAATAATATAATTGTAAAACACTTATAACACTAAAAGCAGTGACGTAACTTTATCTTCATCTGGGGCCCGTGGCAAATTCTTTTGATGTGGCCCTATCAGTAAAAATCGTCACGTTGTACTCAGTTTAATTTAATAAACTTAGAGATTTTCAGCGTACTCAATTACACGTTGTATATGTCCCACTAATGGCCATAGGCCTTCTCTCTTACGAGAGAGGAAATGGTCTGTAGTCCCCACGCTAGCATACGCGTGGGAGACTTCACATTCATCCATAGAACATAATATCTCTTGGGGGCCCTATTGGGTCGGGAGCCCGTGGCATTTTGCCAGCCCTGCCACCCTATTATTACGCCACTGGCTAAAAGCGTTATTTTTCCTAGCCAGTGCCAGCCAGTTACAATCAGATATTCTAGTTTTTTTCCAGATATAAAATAAAATAAATAAATAAAATAAAATAAAATATGTTTATTATGGAACATAAGATACACGTATCACTTATTCCACCTCATTAAATTTGAATTTGTAGGCATCCCTACTCATCGGCAAAGAAGACAGAGGGTGTAGGCCGAGAGAAAAACCGGCGTAAAAAACTCTCGGTACTCTTTTAAAATAGCAAATCATCAAACAACACTTATTTTAAAACAAATATCGCAAATTAATTAGAAGTAGCCTGTCTAGCACTAGTCCCAGGCCCTTTTATCAACTAGATAATCGTTAACTTTATAGTAAGCCTTTTTACACAGCTTTTCTTTAACACATTTCTTAAATTTATTAAAAGGCAGAGATTAAAGAGCCTCTGGGATTTTATTTAAGAAGAGTATCCCTTTTCCCATAAAAGAATTACTAACTTTAGATAGTCTAGTACGGGGAAATTGCAGCCTGCGTTTGTTTCGAGTATTAACATTGTGTGTATGTTCTATTCTAGTAAACTTATCACTATTTTTGTATACATACATAATATTTTCATAAATATATTGCGAGGGAAAGGTAAGTATATTAATTTCCTTGAATTTATTTCTAAGAGATTCCCTACATTTTAAATTATAGATTGCACGAATATATAAGTAACAGAATATAAAATAAATACCTTGAATCCCAAACTGAACTACCAGATTATAGGCGTAGCTTGCATCCAATAAAAATCTTGTAAGTGTGACGAAGATGATAATAATTTTGTATATCCTTCCGTTATCACGAGGTATCTTAATTTTAGCACTAGCCTAAAAGAAAATACATCCTTTATTATCATCATCGACAGTAATTGTTGGAGTCAAATCATTTTGTGAGTTCCTCTCGGTAGCATTTCAGTGTGATCAACCTTCTATGCCTTCTAGAGCTATTTATTTTTACACAATAGTTTAACTGAAACGTGATTGTGTAGTTATAACCTTACTATAAATATTACAACTATATCAGTTTAATTAACACAATCACTAAATGATGGGTCGAGTCAGCTTATATTAAGTGATACCTTGCTTTGACCGTTTGTTCTATGAAAAAATGTCTAAATAGAATATACAAACCTTATCAAAAGCTCTCATATATTCTAAAAATTCCCCAATCCTCCTATAACTATTTAGTGACGCAGCGATAGAAATGATGATTGATGATGAGGCCTCAGTAACCCACAAAATTATTGTAGCATTAATCATAGTATATTTGTTGAAACTAGTATTAGCTGAGGCGTTGCCAATATATGCAAATACGTGCGCTATAACTAAAAAATACCAAGTTACAAAAATTTCTAATAGCATAATGTGTATGAAATTTAAATTTAGTAATAAAAAATCGTCCTGGAATAATTGAAAAATACTAAACTTGAATTACAAATTTACAATACTGTATTACTAACGATTTGTAACGATATTCGTATAAATAGATCTTAAATATTTGATTTAGAAATTAAAGGAATAAATTATAAATATTTATTTTTTATTTTTAATATAGAAAAGTATAATAATCAAATGATTTCATGTCTATATAGAAGAGCTTGTTTTGCTATACCTACTTATAAAGAAATATAAGGACCAGGTAATTCATGGAACCGCTACATCACAGAACATGGCTAAAACAGCCTATACACTGTAATTATTTAAAAAAAATAAAAATAAAACAACGTGGACATGAGTGCCTCTTTTCTTGAGGGTCTCAAGACGAAGCGGAGGATTCACGATACACCAGCTGTCCTCCGTACAGGTTTTAAACTCTCTTTTCGCGACTTTGTTCCTGTAAAATCCACACCCCTGCGCTAGACTTATATTATGTATGTGTATTCTTTCAGTCAAAATATATTTTTATTAATTGCTGCTTTATTAAATAATTGATGGTGCGCAGCGGGCCATGGATCATTAGACACATCAGTCAAAAATGAATTGTAAACTAGTACTTAGCCACCTATTATTATTTACCAAAGATATAAATCATAATTATAGGACAAATTCAACAAAAACCGTTGGAAAGTTTTTAATATAGGATTATGAGACGATTAAATCGAGCAGTATTAATTGAGTGGTTAAACCTGCAATTCTAAAGCCTGAGGTCGTGCGTTTGAAGTCTGTCTGTGCCAGGTCTATTTACCAATCTGCGCAATTTACTTGCTCGTTCAGTCAGTTAAAGAAATACAAAGAGAAAACGGCATGTCTCTGACACAAAAGCCAACAACGCTCACCTACTTGCGTATAAAGATAAATTATTAATGAAATAGACGCGAAATAAGTCTGCTCCATGCTGACCAACTTTTTAAAATATGGTTGGCCTAAGCTACTTCTACTCCCATATCTTGCCTTGCGAGATACAAGTGCATGTATATTCGCTTTGTTGAAAATCACACAGCTTCAATATAGTCTTACATGTTTAATACGCACAGATAAGTCAAGTCAAGTCAAAATCATTTATTCATATAGATAACACAATGTACACAGGTATGTGTTATGAACGTCAAAAAAAATATATGTATATGAATTAATGCTTCTAATTTTACATTTACTGCCAGTTCTCAATATACTCACTTTTTATAATTCACCAGGCAATAAACTCTCCGCCACTCTATTTAATAACCAAGTTTTTTGTTTTACACAACGTTTGTAAGGAGCTGCAACTCTTACACCATTAATAAATAATAAAATAAATTAAAAACAAAGATTTGTCCTCTATCAGCAGGAGGCATGGTGTAATAGGAGCACGCACTTACATTCTTGAGGGAACCACACGCAAATACATAGTCGAAATAACAAACATCATACACGAATTCAAGTAGGTACGACCAGTCACTACAAGTAGCACCCGTTCACGAGTATGACGCATAGCCAGCCATTGGCCCCCTCGCCCCCTATCTTATAATAATTTGAAATACTCTACTTACTGATAAATGTAATCAGGATATAGCCGTAAAATGCATAAGATCGTAAAACGCGAAATTGGTAGCCATTTTTTTTGCGAACTATTGAAACAGGGCCCATACCAAAAATGCGAAGTGCGTATAAAATTAAAACCATGGTGTCACGAATGAATCCACTTTTCACGTACATGTCTGCAAGTAAAAACCAGTAAAAAAAATTAATCCGACTTCAAAATGCATTTAAAACTATATTTGTTAACAGGATACTATCACGGTTTGTATGTATGACACGGTACAGGCACCTCAAGTCTCGATTCTGAACTTTTAAACCGTTTTAATTCATCGTTATATAACGAACAATAATAACGCAGCGGTGATAGTTAATTATTTTAGGTTTTTTTAGGTTTAAGAATAACTTTATTTTTTATAAGAATTGCATACAGACAATTATATCTTCTTCTATATAAAAATAAGTCAGGTTTTCCTTCCTGACGCTATAACTCCAGAACGCACGAACCGATTTCCATGGTTTTGTAGTCGTTGGAAATGTCTCGGGCTCCGTGAGGTTTATAGCAAAGAAAATTCAGGAAAAAATTAACAGAAAAGCGGAAAATCTTTTTTTTTAACATACAGCGTCATCTCTGATACATAACATGTACTACAAACCAATATTTTCATTTCAAATTCATGAAAGATATTCCACAGTTGTGCATTTGGAAAATCGCCAAAGAGTTTACTTCACTGAGGCTAATGCGGCACAACGAGCTGAGAGACCACCATCGACAACATTGACTAGCTTCTTCCAACGAATACAAAACCGTGGAAATCGGTTCGTGCGTTCTGGAGTTATAGCGTCAGGAAGGAAAACCCGACGTATTTTTATATAGAAGATATATTGATTGCGTTATAACTGATTCTGAGTTTAATATCCGGGATAAAATATATTTCCGAATTAAGTTCCGTCTATTACTGTCAAGCATTTGAACGGATAAAAAAATGTATTTGTCTCATACGCGAAAAGTAACGCTGATTTTCAAAACGAGTCTTAGATCGAACTATGATTAGTTACATTTTTTCCGCTTATATCGCAAACGCAGGCTGAACCCTACGATATTTATCGAAATAATGTACTAAGTATTGTAAACTTTGAAAAGGTATACAGAAAACTCCGCGATGGTATATGTCTATCTCTTATGGATATCCCACATGTTTTTTTTTTTTTGCACCTTGAATTTAGTATCAGCATTGCACCCATGCGAAGCCTAGCTAGTTACAGATAATTTAATGGGTAACTTAAGACGCAAACCACTTCAAGTTAATGAACATATATTACCTTAGCCAAGATTTCTATACACACCTGATTTTTTATATATTTATAAAGGAACAATTTCATATGCAATATGTTAAAAACCAATGTCCGTATGATGCGTTAAAAGAAACACCGTTCTATTTAAATATGAACACATTCATTGATTAGTTGTTACGTAGTTATTAGTAGATAATATTTAAAGATTGTGGCTTCAAACCTACAAAGCTATAGAAATAATAACTATGTACCGTACAAACATAATTACCTTTGGGCTTTACTAGCAAGTGCTTGAATCAATAAATATGCGCGCCGAATATAGTAGGTATTATTTATTCGTCAAGCGTTTACCGATATTTCGATCAAAATTCGTCCACTGTGTACCGTTTATATATGGCTAATTGAGTGATAAACAGGGCTATTCAGGATAGGCTGCGACACTGTCCGAAGCAGGATAATGATTTTTAGATTGTATGTATACAAATTATAATTGCCTGTACTTAAATATGTAATTGTAGGTGTATTGAATCATGAATGGTTAACGTGTCTCTTTAAATATATTAGTTAATTATGACAATGGTATTAGTAATAGTACGTCTCGGAGGCGCTATTTGCATTAAAACCGATTTCGGAAACGATGGGCGATTCTAATCAGTATTACATATATGCAGGCACCGCGTACCTAGAAACAACCAATCAGAAAAACTCATCAAGCGCTCTCTACAGTATAGTGATTTTCTGCAGCTAAAGCCATATGGGTAAAATTATTAACTTGCAACACTGTAAAAAACTATTGCTGTAACTTTTGCGGCCACTCTTGGGTATATAGCACCCTCCTCCTTAGATAAGGAGGGTGCTTGTAGTTTATTGTTTATCAGAAAGCCAAATCGTAAAATGACTGCTTCACGACTCATTTGAGCGCGACCGCCGCTTCGAAAACCGCGTTACAGAATCGCAAAGCTGGTATTTAATCTGAGTATATAAAGTATCAAACAGATATTATATTATTCTACTATAAATGTGGCCAGTCTTGCCATCTTCAAATTTCTTGTTCTGATTAATAAAATATATTCTCTGTATGGCGGCAGGTGCTGGATAATTATTTGTTGAGTATTTATAATTTATTCTTTAGTAAAATTTGCCGTATAGATTAAGAAAAGAGAGACTGAGCGTGTTAGCATAGATAAGATATTTTGTTATTCGGTTTTTTTTGCATAAAATTACTTATAAATAACTTGATATTAAAAAAATATGAAGCTTACTCTCATTATTATGACTTATTGATCAAAATCTGATTTGCTTGCTCTTAAGTGTATGCTATAAAACTTTTGAAATCCCAGAATTACATACAACTTTTATCTCTTATTTGGATTTAACGAATGGCTTCCAAAATACAAGACTCAAACCCTATGCGTCTCTAGCCTAGGCAACTCTTTTGGCTTATTAACAACTAAGTTCTAATATAAAGACATGACACCATATAACGCATATGTAAGAAGTTACTTGGAAAGTAACGCAATGATGTGGGGCCACGATATGAAAAGAAATACTCAACAATGGTGGAGCGAATACAAAATAAGTTTACTCGCTATAGGTATGAGGATCTATGGGATTTATCCGTTCTACCCTTTAAACTTAAAGGGGTTCCCAAATCTTACAGATTGTAAATGAATAAAGCCTTTTTTTTTTCAACCGACCTTTGTTCGCTGTGGGTATGATTGGATACACTCAGCTAGGGGTAAGGAGGGATCTAGCTATTACTCGGTACCTATTTGAAATCCTTACAGGTAGGTTTGATAATGCAGATGGGTTATACAGGTTAGGGCGACGAGTACTGATAAACTTTTAAGATAAAATTTTAAGAACTTCCATAGTGGGACATACATGTATGTACTAGTTAGGAAAATAGGTGAATTAATGTACATGCATGTCGAGTTTGATGTGACGATGTTAATAGATATAGTTAAATCATTTTTATTTACTACAGTTTCGGTTCAGGGGGTGTATTA